TAAAAACATTTAATCTATGATTCTACTGCAACATCAACGGGTGTTGCAAGATTTGCAGTTACAAGCACGATTTTGCCGCATGGTTCATATGTATCTTTTCACTTCGCCGCATCCTTGACTAGCATATCCGAAACGCTCCATACTGACTTTGGTCCCATGATACCAAAACTATCGACATGTTTGGCTAGCTTTTTCGAAATCTCCCCGTCAGCATAACAAGCTCCCGACTTTAGATTCTTCTTATCTTCTAATGCGCAAAATACAATATTTTGGGCTCCTTGCGTTGTGGTTCTTTGAATGAGTCTCATGATGGGTGTCGCCAACATCTTTTTGACCATGCCCAGATTGGCATGACGGCCCAATTCCGAACGACAGAATCCAGGGCAGACCGAATACGTAGTGACTTCTGGTGGAAGAATGGTTGCCAGTTGCTTGCAGGTGAGGGCATTAAAGAGCTTGGAATCGCAATAGGCGGGCGGGGCAAATCCCTTCTTTTCGCCTGGAGGAATCTGGCGAGCTGAGTAAATGTGGTCATAGGCTTCAAAGTTGAGCTTTCCCGATTTCAAGAGGGAGGATGCCACGAAGACAATGCGGCCGTCTCCTGACTTTTTAACATTCTCGACCAAACTGTTGGCCAAAAAAAAGTGTCCCAGGTGATTGACACCAAAATGAATCTCGTATCCATCTTGGGTCTTCGTGGGGGATGATGCGAGGGGTTCTGATTCGTCAGCATCATCACTGGTAGCGGTTTCTGCAGGAGGCACCCAAACTCCAGCATTCAATATCAAGCCGTCGATAGTGGAATATTGTCTGTGAGATTGAATGGTTTTGACAAATTCACGAACACTCGCCAAAGAACATAAATCCAGCTCGAGGCATTCCACATCTGGATTGCCAGTCGCCTTCATTATACTTTCCATGGCTTCGAATCCCTTTTCCATATCACGACAGGCGATCACCACAGTGGCCCCACGTTCGGCCAAGTCCTTTGCTGTCTCATATCCCAGACCCGTGTTGCCACCGGTGATTACATAGACCTTGTCATTCAAATCCAAGTCTCTCTGACAAGCACGATAGTCAATCCATTTTCGTGAGATGCTGTGACGAAGCAAGAGGGCAGAGGCACCCAAGATGGCAGCGGAAGCACCGATTCCTTTGGCAACATTCATAATCTCTTTGTTGTCTTTGTTGTCTTTGTTGTCGTTGTTATAGCTGCTCTGTGGTTAATACACTCCTCTGCTGCAAGTGTAGACCGGAATGCGAGGAATAGAGTGGAATAAATATCATCATCGAATCGATTCGAATCCATTCAGTCACGCGTCACGCGTTGGTTGAGAAAAATCTGAAATCAGAACCCTTTGAGGGGGTGACGTGGAGGCCAGATCCGCCTATCCGGCGTCGGGAAATGAAAAAGATACCAAATTTGACGGACTGCTTCGATCTCTCAAGAATCACACCAACTTCAAACTTCATCATCGGTTTGGGAACTTGCTGAAGATCGCGTTCATGGAATTTTCGTAGGGATGTTCCTGCGTTACACCGCTTTCCATCGTTACTACTATTAGAAAGCAACAAAGCCATGATGTCAACTGATGAATCGTCCCTACAAGCAGCTATTAATGAGAGTCAGAAAGCAGTAGATGCTGGATGCATGCCATTTGGTGCTGTATTGGCAAACTCCAAGGGAGAAATTCTGGCCGAGGCTCATAATGGTAGCAAGGCCAAGAAAGAACGAGGCGGTGCGGGGGACGTGACAAAGCATGCCGAAATGGAGCTCGTTCGCAAGATTTCCACTACGATCGATCTGGATATCCGAAAGACCTGTACCCTTTACACTTCGACAGAACCCTGTGTCATGTGTGCGGGTGCCATTTACTGGTCGGGTGTAAGTCGCATCGTGTATGGAGCTTCGGCCAAACAATTGGAGACTCTTTCCGGACCAGGAGGCTTTGATATTCCTGTTGAAACACTCTATTCCATGGGAAATGGAATACGTCCGATGGAATGCATCGGTCCATTGCTCAGTGAACATGCCATGAAAGTCCACCGAGAAAGTGGAATTTGGAAGGGGTGTCCACCGCCATCTGCAGATAACTCATTTCAAGCCAATGCTGATATTGAAACAGAACGATCTTTATTTACTAGTGGAATCGGATCTGCAGCTGCTGCAAAAAGTGGAGATTACTCGGTACCTGTCATTGACCTCTCGCAAGGATCCGATGACGAAATTGCCGAACGTCTATGGAATGCCGCAACGACTGTCGGGTTTTTCAGCTTGGTGGGGCATGGCATTCCACAGAGTGATATTGATGCAGCCTTTGAAGCTTCCGCCACGTTTTATTCGCAGGAGCAAGCGGAAAAGGAAGCCATGTCCCCGTTTGCTCGTCAGCTGAATTCAGGCTACGAATATATGAGCCAAGTTCGACCATCTACCGGGACGGCGGACCAAAAGGAAAGCATGCAAATTACATTTCGAGAAGGAGTAATGGATGGCCGATGGCCTACAACACCTGGCGACTTTCGAGAGGTTTCGGAACGACTCGCCTCGCAATGCCACAAACTGGCCAATCGGCTCATGGATCTATTGGAACCACGAGCTTGTCCCAACCTGAAGCCAGGAACGCTATCCAAGGCGCACAAGTAAGTTGATTTTATGAAATTTGGAAAATAGCTACTATGATTCGCAACCTTACAATTACTCCGTACAACGTGTAACGATAGCTTGGGCGTTTCAGATGGCCAATGTACGCTTCGCATGCTGCACTACACACCAATGGATGCCGAAACCGCCAAACAATTGACCACGCCAGATGACAATGGGCGTATTTACTGGAGAGCTGGTGCCCATACTGATTGGGACTGCTTGACGCTGTTGTTCCAACGTGTTGGACAGGCGGGGCTCGAGTGCATGTCCAACCCTCAAGATGCCACCAAAGATGGCGCCCGATGGACTCCCATTGATCCAGTCGAGGGTGGGATTGCTGTCAACATTGGTGATATGCTAGCGCGTTGGAGCAATGGCCGATTGTACTCTAATTTGCATCGGGTGCGAATGCCGACTCCAGCAGAGTGCACTCCTCCTTCCTCCAGATATAGTATTGCTTTCTTTGCGCAAGCAGACAAGTCTGTTTTGATTGAAACCGATGGCGCCCAAGAACCTATCACGGCTGGCGACTATATTTTGTCCCGTATCAAGAGTAACTTTGCCAAGTAAGAGGTTGACCATACCATGTTGGTTCATTGATGCTTTTAATCTCGTAAGGTCTGTAGGTGCGAAACTGTACGTTATAAATAACCACCTAGGTTACGATTTGCTTGCCAAGTCTTTGCGGTAGTCAAGGCGCTTCTACTGCAGATGTACCAACGGACAATTCGGCAACATATTGAATATGACGATAGACCATTCAATTTTCGTGCAGTTGTTCATGGTATTTGATGCGGTATTGGCTCGCTCTTTTCGATTTCTTGTCAGTTTGAGTCCGAATTCACCAAACAATGCTCCTTGTGGCACATCACCTAATAACAATCGAGAGTAGGGGCGTTGTAGCACAAATTCCAATCTCTCACTTTCCACCAAAATAATGTTTGGTCGTAGAACTCATTCCATGGTGGCAATCGAAAGAGCTTCTCTCGGGATTGGGGTGTCACACGGTGAGCCCAATCCGTCATTCTTTGTTCGCTCTTCTTATTCACCACCACAATCGGAGATCAAAAGATTGTAAGCTTGACTCACTCTTACGAGACAAATCTCGCTTGGCCCGTTCTCAAGTAGTAATCTTGATGATACCCTTCGGCGCGATAAAAGTCGAGTCCCGATGCCGACTCGGCGGATGTAAACAACTGAATAGGATGAAGTTCAGCTTTCCATTCGTCTACTGCTTTCGTTGCCGTAACCTTCTGATCTTCAGTCAGATACCAAATGGCAGATCGGTATCGAAGGTTTTGCTTTTTGGGGGAATGCATCTTTTTCCAAGCTTGCAACAGTTGCTGGCATGATACTTCTCGAGGGTCAAATTCTATCCACAATGCTTCAGCATAATCGAACAACTCTTCGTAGGATGGATTAGGTTGTTTCCCACCCATGTATCCTGCAATGACCGCAACAACTCCATCGAGGCGCTGATACTTGAGTTGCCCAGTCCAATATCATCCACAGGCGACCAGCAAAACTTCATTCTTTCCATCTTCTTGTGGTGTTGGTTCTACAATTATACAAATTTCGGGATCGCTCTCAGTTGAATGAGCTGTGTGGTCATCGTCAGAGTTGGAAGTCTCCATGCTTCGATCGAGTTGCCTCTAGTAGATGCATTCGCACACAATCCTGTAATAGGTGAGAGGTGAGAGTGTTTTAAAATCCGTGCGCAGAAGGCCGCGCGAGCCTATCCCACACCTCTTTCAAGCAATACTCATAACAACACGGAATTGAGTACTACTTCAATAGTTCTACATAATTATACCTTGAAAAGAATGATAGGTGACTCCCTCCAACTCCGGAGTGTCGACAGTAGTTGATTGTAACATGATGCTCAATTCTGTAACCTATTCTCGTTATTGGCAGATTCTGCTTCTGCAGTTGACAGCTTCAACGTGAAACTCAAATATTTTGTGGAGGGTTATGATTGGTTCTATGCCTCTCATTTCGTTTCGGGGAAGTTCTTCCTGCAACCGATGATAACTTGGCATCCAAATATTAGACCTTGCGAATACACGCTCAAGTGCAACTCACTTGAATGTGACCAGAATGACAGGTCGATTGACGTCTTCTCAAATCATGTCACAATTGACGAAGTAAGAGATGTCAGTATTGAAACCACTGCTCCCTATGCCATTCACGCTGGTAGCTTTGATGAAGTTACTTTGATCGTTTTTTATTGGGACGGATCACGGTGTTGCGATGATTTTGGATCACTCTGTACAGGATACAATGGAGGTGAAAGCGCTCAACTTCCCAATGTTCCGGAAGCCAACTTTTGGAACGGAGGTGCAAATCCAGGTGCTGGAAACACTGAAACACTGATTAGGGAAGCTGCAGGGAATGCTCTGATTCTTGTCATGTGACGACTGATCGCTCACTAGGGGACCGTTCTTGTGATATTGTCTGCCATGAAGCCGACGATGATGATTATTTGATGATTGGAGTGATGCCATTTTTTCAGGAACATACAGTGCAGGTACAAGTGCAAAGAACGGTGTGGTTATTGGACTCCTTGGTATGTCTCCTTGGCCTAAGTTTGACAAGTCTCGCTCTCTCTTTGTTGGTATCTATTTGAAATACCAAAGCAACTTCATCTTTTTGAAACAGAGCATATTCTTGGACGACGAATAGAGTAAACTCGAAACAGGTCTTTTTCTTCAGCTGTACTTTCTGTTGCCTCCAGATAGAAACACTCGAAAGGGGTCGTTAGAAAGTGCCAATTTTCACCTTTGTTCAATGCTGGACATGTTCGAAGGCCGTGCCATCCACACGGGACATTCAATCGTCCCAGTCCTGAACTCATTGTTCTTCACTCTTCGTTTTCGTCTTCGGAAGAAGATGCATCACTAACATGGCTTGCACGCTTGAGAACTATGCGACCAGGAGCCAGTTCAGGAAATTCTTCATTGTCGTCGTCTTCCAAATTATTATCAGTTCGTTTTACGTTTTTCTTCTCGAAATCCGCCTTGTTTTTCTTTGGCTTTGCTCCACCTTTGGACTTTTTCTCTTTGGAGGCACCGTTGCCAACCAATGCTCTGAGATTCGGGTCCACCCATGCATCAGTCTTCTCTAACAAACTTATCATATCTGTGGCTAGTGCCTTCAAGTTGCGTGTAAAAAATGAATACACAGTACCCTCTTGCCCACATCGCCCCGCTCGTCCACACCGATGGATGTATTGCTGCAAGTTGGATGGAAAATCGTATTGAATAACGTATTGCACGGCAGCAATATTAATCCCTCTGGCAGCGATATCGGTTGCCAGCAATAAGGGTCGCTTCCCACTCTGAAAAACGTGTAGACTCTGAGCTCGCTGTGGTGTTGACAACTGGCTGTGCAATGAAATGTGTGCGATGCCTTCCTTTTCTAGTAGCCCTGATACATACTTAACCTTTTCGATGCGAGCAAAGAAGACTATTCCCAAGGGCACGTTGCGTCCAGTTTGCTGCTTCTGAATCATTTGAAGCGTCGACATTAGCTTTTTTGGCTTTTTGTGGTCGCTGCAAACATGAAGGACCTGTTTCAAATTCGGAGGAATCTTTCCGAATGACGATTTTGCGGCATCGACTGAATCCACTTGCACCAAGATATAGTCATCGTCTACCCACTTTTCAAATTTAGCTTTGGCCTTGTCGGGATAGGTTGCAGAAATCATCGCTAATGTGGTGCTTGGAGACTTTACGATCCCCAGTATTTCCTCCACTTGGGGGCCCAAGTCTCCATCTTTGGACAACTGATCGGCTTCATCAAGCACGATCCAACTAGGTTGAAATGATGTCGCGAATGTGGAATCTTTCAGCAAGTCAAGCAGCCGACCTGGTGTAGCGACGACAGCCAGCGTCTTGTCATTGACCTGATCCATCATCTCCCTTTGCGATTTCTTGTCCACGCCACCATATATTGGGACGACCAGATATGGCTTTTCCATGTTACTATCTTGCAAACCTTTCACAATCTTAGAACATACAGCAGCGACTTGTTGTACCAGCTCTCTTGTCGGGACAAGCACCAATAGAGACTCTTGCCTCAGCAATGAAGGAATTCCATACGCCATCGTTTTGCCACTTCCTGTTGGAGCAATTCCAACGACACTTTTTTCCTTCTTCAACAAGATTGACCAAAGCTGGCGTTGAATGGGTGTCGCTTTCCAGTCCTTGTCGTTTACGACATACTTCCACAGCTTGTCGACATCAGATTTCGACGACTCATCACTGGATAACTCAAATGGTGGCGGAATCGTGTAGTCGTCGCTACCAGTGTACGAAGCTTGAACAGCGACGGCGTTGCCTTCATCAGATACTCCTGAATCTCCTTCTCTGGTTCGTTTCTTCTGGGCTGTGTCTTCAGCCTGTTGATTGTGCCGCCTTCGTTTTCCGCGTTTGGCCATGGTTTGTCAACGTTCAAGGTTTTCCGTGATGATCGAAAATACGAAATGATTGGTTTTGGGTTGACTGTTGATTTGATTCGTTCGACCATTCAGAAGTACAGTGTCTTAGCCTTCGCGTTCTACAACACATATAATACGACCTTTCGAGACTACTCGTAATGTGAAGAATGTTTCTTTTAGTATTACCTGACGACACGTTCACATAATTATGCTCTCTTGACATCGCAGCGTACAGCATGGTGCATTTCCGCAAGAAAGATGTTGATTTGATTAGTCGAACTGATTCGACACCACAATATGTTTCATGTCTTTTTCTTGTGCATACTGTGACTGGTCAATTCGAATATATGAGAAATGAGCCGTCTATCAATACTATTCTGATCGACACATATCACCGCGAGCCCTCAACACTACAGAAGTGAGAGATCGTCATCCACAAACCTATCTTCAAATTCCCCGTCAGCATCAAATCGACATTCTGTCCTCTTTCCCATCAGTTGGTAGCGATTGTCAGCCACTCCGTCATAGATTATGTCGCGCAGGAACTGGGGAACAAGGTAGCGGCCTAGTTTCGCAAGATGTTTCATTGGTAACAGTGGAACAGGTGACAATTCTTCAGAAATGACCAGAATGGCATCCGATTTGATGAATGCTCCAGCTTCAGTTACGACAACAATCGAACTAATGTCATCTGCTTGTCTTCCGTTGACTTGTAATAATGATCTGCCAACGTTGCTTTGCAGGGCAGAGAATCGAAGCTTGCCTTCAGGATCCCAGTCAAGAGCGAGGTTGACTGCATTATTGCATAAATTACAAACACCATCGAATAAAATAATGGGTCTTTTGTCTGTTTCGAACACCCGATTGGATACCGTCGCAGGATCTGCCATTTGTGTGGCCGCCAAGGACGTATGTGTCGACAGTGTCTTCTTCAATTGGTGCGAAGCTTGAAAGCCAAATGATGTGCTGGAACGTGCCAATAAAACAATCACTGTAGTATATACAGAACTTTTCATGATTCTTGGTTTCAAAAGGTTTTGACTACTGTTGCTTTTTGGGTATCGTTGGTACAATGTTGTTGTTTCGGAAGCTTCCTGTACTGTACTGTATGTGTTGTTCTTTTTTGCTGTCGATGTGGTTCTTGGGAATGAGAAATCAGATGAGTGAGTCATCACCATTCGAACGGATCAAACAGGAATCGGAGAAAGAGAGAAAATAAGTTATTATTAGGCGCCAAATATAACTTCAGATCTTTCGCCTCTCCCATCATCAAAAAGAGCAAGTCAATAGGTAGAGGACAGCATATCCCGAGTCCTTATCCTCTCACACGAAGAAGATATGAGAAGAACATGTACTTTGTGCCGGAAAGCTATCATCGTTGGAGCAAAGGGACTGGTGAAAAAGGGAAATGCAGGAGAAAGAAAACTCCTTGGAATCAATCACAACAAGAACACGACAACATCGATGATTCGCCAAGTTTTAGATGGCGCCTTGAAAGAATCCAATTTGTCCGTTAACGATTTGGATGGATTTCTCGCTCTTCCTTCTCTTGCCGAACATCACATCATGGAAGCTCATTTTCAAGCCACATCGCTCGGCTTATTCACAAGGAAAGCGTCATCTGATGCCAAACGACTTGGCCAACCATCACTACTGTGCCGAACTATCGATACTGGTGGAGGAGGACCAGTGTCAGCATTATTACAGGCCCAAAGCATGATCCAACATGAAGGGCTGAATTGTGTAGCTGTTGTTGCTGCCGATTCTGTTGGAAGCATGGACAGTAGGACCTTTCTGCAGAGAGTAGATAACATCTTTGGTGACGAAAGTGGCATACCTTCGCCTATCATCCCCAATGGATACGATCGCTACACGCAATATCAGATGCAGAGATATGGTTTGACACGAGATCAACTGCGGATGGTGGTGTGTCTTCAGTCCTTTCATGCGTCGAGGCATAAAGAAAGCCTGCTATACCAAACAGCACTTGAGCTACAACCCTCACAACAGACAGAGCACATGAAACGAGACACACCAAAGCCTTTTACTGCATTGGATAGTATCCAACAAGCACCTTCTGTAGCTCCAAATATCTCCCTGTTGGAATGTGCGTATCGCGCAGATGGTGCTGGCTGCATAATATTGACAAGCGAGTCCTTTCTGAACGAACGACTACGAACAAGTCTCGAGATGGAGCAGGTGAAAAAAAAAGCAGTGACAATTCTTGGAAGCGGCGAGTCTTCTGGCCCCTTGGTCCCCCCAGCCAAAGAACAGATTGGTGGATTTCCATTTGGTTCTGATGCAGCCATGACTCAAGCCTATCGCCAAGCTGGAAGCTTGAAAGCGACCAACATTGATTTCTTTGCTCTCTATGACTGCTTTCCCATCTGCTTGATTCGTGCTTTGGAAGCAACTGGCATTTGTTCGCAAGGAGACGGCGGTAATTATATCGAAGCGCAGTACTCCAAATTGATGAATGCTGTGGACAGCGGAACCGAAGAAGAGTTGATACAAGATCCCACATTCTTTCCAGTCAATACACATGGCGGTTTGCTATGCTATGGGGCACCTTGGGAGGTAAGGCTGTTGATAAGCTCCTGCAAACATTTGTGGAGTTTTTCTTTTCGTTGCCATTTGCATTTTGAATGTATCCAACTGCTCACCATCATTTTTATAATATCGTTTGAAATAATTGCTGCAGGTGCCGGCCATGTACAACATTATTGAAGCATGCCAACAGCTCAACGAAAATGCAGTTGGAAGGCAGATCGACGACTGCAAGCGTGCATTAGTTTACGGAAATGGTGGTATCTTTTCATCGTCGGCGGTTGCAATTCTGGGGAAAGCCACATCGTGATCTGAAAAATGGCTTGATTATTTTAAAGGCAATCCCACTGTAAATGCATGTGACAGGGGAAAAAAATGGTATCGCTAGTATCCTAATACTCCTAATAATAATAATAATAATAGTAATAATGAGGAAACAACCATCAAGTCTACTTTATATATATATACAAATATTTTGTCAAGGAGCATAGTGTCCAATAGTGTCCAACATCCACGAACACCTACTGACTTGACAATCTGAAGTTAATTCTCGAGACACTTTACATGCTCATGGATCCAAAGACCATGTCTTGCATGTCATCGACAACATGCTTCATCTTCTTTGATGACTTGGAACTTCCGGCGGTCTTCTTTGTTCCCTTTCCTCCCTTTCCTCCCTTTCCGCTGCTGGATCCACTCATTTCACCCTTTCCGCCCTTGCCAGAAGATGATCCCTTGGATCCTCCTTTTCCTCCCTTTCCGCCCTTGCCAGAAGACGATCCCTTGGATCCTCCCTTTCCGCCCTTGCCAGAAGACGATCCCTTGGATCCTCCCTTTCCGCCCTTGCCAGAAGATGAACCCTTGGATCCTCCTTTTCCTTTTCCGCCCTTTCCGGAACTGTGTTCGTCCATATCATGAACGTTCAGGACGCGGTAGCTTCTTCGAACATTGGCGTCTTGGGCAACGACAAACGAAGTGCATGCAAGGAGAAGAAGGAAAGCAAAGATCTTGGACATCATTTTTTTTAAAGGTAGTGTGATTTTCTTTCAGACTTGTGATTGATTTGTGAGGGAGTTCTGTTTTTTTCGGAAAATATGTGAACGGGATGAGTGTCTTGTCCGTTGAAACAATGTGGCCACTGGCCCTAAGAAATGAGGTCGGATGGCGTCACAACGGAGAACCGACGCCGAAAATTTGCATTCTACCAAGATTCAACAGTGAGAGACCGGTGGTTCGCCCAAAAATACCATGAGAAAACTTCCGTTTCACTTTCGCTACAAATATATTTCAAAATGTCAAAATGCACGTAAAAATATTACACGTACTGTACTGACTGTAGTCTTTAAAAAATAGGACTTCTACCGATACGTGTAGTGTACGTGTACTGATGATAGATGTGTAAAAAGAAAACGAAGGGGAAAAAAAAACTCCGCATGCAGTACTGTACTATACGGTGAACACTACAATGACTTGCAGTACACATGTACCGGTTCCATTTCGCACCTACCCCTACTCTCACCAGCTAAAAATAGGAAAAATGCTTCGTATTGCCCAAGTCCAATTTCAAATTGAACCTACAGTACAGTACACGTATCTGGATATGCTCAGTGAGAGGAGTCGTCAGTAAGTTGAAAGTCGCATTCACACTTTGATAACCCGGACATTAATACTGTAGCCGACCGTAAAAAATATTTGACAACTGATGATGAATGAATATCAAATGACTAGAATAATATACATACATTTGTACATTACATACCGGTATACAAATACTGTAGCAATTTCATAATGCCTATATCCAAAAGTCAATGGAGTGAGAAAAGCACAACCTGGTCCACAGCTCCCACATCTTGCAAAAAGGTAAAATGAATAGCTCCACGAGGTTTCGATCCTCGGACCTTTGGGTTATGAGCCCAACACGCTCCCTCTGCGCCACAGAGCTCGTCTTGCTGAAGAGACAAATTTATAATTAAGGAAGGTGAGTAAAAGTCTACCTGATGTTTTGATTCGAATGAGTCGTTTTTCCGGTACTTGTCGAACGCATACGCTGACTCGCTTCGTTTCAGTTTCGTTGCGCGACCATCATCATGAGTTCGCACTATGATAATATTGGATTCTCATTTTTGGATGATGATTTGTGCTCCTCCTTTCAAAACACAAACACATACACTTCTTTGTATTTCAATTCAATGCAAAGGATTGTTCCATATTCAAGTCATACTATCACGAATCTTACTCTTTTGTTGCTCTAAACACTATGGAATCTTCAGGTTCGCTTCACAACAACAATATTGTTGGAACCAACAGCTCTTTTCGCACCAGTCACAAAACCATCAATTCAACCTCCGAACCATCCAACAATAAGAAAAGGAGGCGATCCGCTTCATTTGTCAACAACAACAACGACAACGACAACGGCAACAACAACAACAACAACAACAAAATGGACGTTTATGAGGCTTGTGTGGTGTAAGGTGTATCACAAAATGCATGTCCTGGAACGCTTTGTCCTTGTGCCAACCACAGGGTCTCAACTGATACAGAACGCAAAGGTCCGCAGAAACGGTGTCGTCCTCGAGAATCCAAATGAACTTGACGAAACCAATGAATTGGATACGGATTATTTCGTCGTGAATGAATTCAAGTCCTTCTTCTTTGGCAATAATGATGAAGTTCCAGAAGATCTCATCATCATCAAGTTGATTCTCACTTGGACAACCACAAAGTCAAAGGTTTACAATTCAATGCAAAGGATTGATCGTTCTACATTCAAGCAAGTCGTACTCTCACGAATCTGCTTGCCTTATTGCACTAACACTATGGAATCTTCAGGTTCGCTTCTCTACTGATAAGACTAATACCACGTTTGCAACAATGGCATTGGCGACACTTGACGAGATCAAAGAGCTAGATTGATGCAGACGATATTCATAAGATTGTTAATCTCTTTTGGAACCCACACCGATCAAATTGTCCAAAGTTGGTACTAAATTAATTACGAAGATATCCACAAATCGCCACGAACTTGAAAGCAGTGGCAATATGCTGCTCTGCTTACAATATACCAACTACCATCGTCATACAGCATACATCTGCTACAGTACTACAAGTATTGGATGTTGCATCATTCAATGTTTCTTGCACACAATCTACCGTACCGATATGTAACTTTTCTCCTAACGATTACTGGGTATACGAACCGGTATGATATGGTGTAGTTAACGAATAAAAGAATGACAGCAGTACAGTGGGGCGTTTGTATCAGCGCCTTGCGAAAAGACTTTTATTTGTATTTCGCAAGGTGGTGGAGGATTTCTCGGGACCGTCTTTTTGGGCAATCAGCACAGCCAAACTTCAACACCAATGGTGTACAGTACCTGGGTGGAAGGGTGGAAATATCGCAAGTACCAGGTACCTGATACGATACCAGTCTGGAGGTACCGAGGTACCGTGCCGGTACCCTGGTACTCGTACCAGTACTGGTATTGACGATTTTGTTACATACCTCCACCTCCACGGGGAAGAGAACAATTTACGAAATAAATATGTTGCATATATCATAAAGCGTTTCGCGTGGTGGGGCGCTTTTGTCAACTTCATACTTGTGTGGTATGTCTGTTATTCAAAAATTTACCAACCGGTACTCAGGAGAACAGGGAAGGCACTGTTGGTCATATTTTATATAATAGCCATGTGGAGAGCCTACTTAGTACACGTGTACAGATGACCTTTTTTCCTTTACAATCGACATTTTTGCAAATGCCTTCACAAAACAAAACTCGCAAAATAAAACTCACACAAAAAAACTCATCCTATAATTTGGTAGGCACAAACGATTATTGGAATATGTGCAATGGATCAAACTCCAAAGGGAGTGAATCATCTCGAACCTCCAAAACGCAGAAATCAAGCGATGCAAGTAAAGGAAGCCATCAAGCGAGTCGCACCACCGCCAATTCGCAATCAAGCAAACAAAAACAAAATGAGCTCGGGATAAAAATGGCTCAGCTCGGATTGTTTGGGCGGAACAGCGAGATCAAGGTCATCCGTAAGTGTCTCGATGACGTTGTGGCGACTGGTAAGAACAAGCTCCTCTGTATTTCGGGTCTCTCCGGCACTGGAAAGACAGCGCTTGCAGCCACCGTGGCCAATGCAGTTGCCAAAAAGAAGGGAATCTTTTCCATGGGGAAGTTCGACCAAAAGCTCCGAGGTGAACCATACGCTGGTATCGCTGCGGCTGGAAGACACATCTGTGGAGAAATTCTACATCTCAAGCATTCAAACGAACATATGGGCTCTCTGTCGTTTGAAGGCATTCAAGAGACGATCATCAAAGAACTTGGACCTGAATTGGCGACACTTGTCCTCATCCTGCCTGAAATCGAGGATATCGTTGGCACCTCTTCGGAATTTCTTGCCCAGGATGATGGACAGGGCGGAAACAACGGTGGGAACAAGGAACGTTTGAATGGTGCCATCCGAACTTTTTTTCGTACCGTAGCTTCCTTTTTCAAGCCACTTGTCATGGTATTGGATGATATTCAGTGGGCCGATCTACCATCCATCGATCTGATGGAAGTATTGATGACAGATAATCTCAGCACCAATTTTATGCTCATTGCTCTGTACAGATCAAACGAAGTCGACGACACCCACATCGTGAGCAAGTTCATCCGAACTCTTGATGAGAAAGAGGACGAGTACGACTACGACACCACAAAGATCGAGGTTGGAGACCTGAAAGTCGAACAAATCGAAGAGATCTTGGCTAATCTTTTACACATTCCGAGCTATCGAACGTCCGACTTGGCTGAGATCGTCCATCGAAGGACAGGAGGGAATGCTTTCTTTGTTATTAACTTCATTGATATGCTCAGCAATGAAAAACTTATTGCATACTCGAGAGCCGAAAAAAGCTGGGTATGGGATGAAAACCAAATTGAACTTGAAACGATTGCCACCGACAATGTTGTCAGTCTCCTGAAAGAGAAAATGAAGAGCTTGCCCTCCAAGATGCAAGAAATTCTTCAACTAGCAGCATGTCTCGGAGCAAGCTTTCGAGAGGAGTTTCTATCAAAAGTGGTCAAGGATTACTTCAAAGAAAGTCCTATGAAACCAAGCGAGCTTTCAGAATGGTTAACCAAAGCTGTCACTCAAGGCTTTCTTAATATCGATAGCGTGGGTTACAAATGGGTTCACGATAAGGTTCAAGAGGCAGCTCTTTTCATCACAAGCGAACAGGATCTTCAAACGATGAGGTACGAGGTCGGTACTATTCTTCGTCGACGACTATCAAGACAAGAGCTGGACAAGACCTTGTTTGTCGTGGTGAATTTGTTGAATATCGGTATTGGAGGTTCCATGTCTTTGGCTGTTGCTACGTCGCTAGCGGAACTGAACTTTCGAGCGGCGAGAAGAGCCATGCGACTATCAGGGTTCGAGATTGCATCCAATTACGCAGGTGTCGGCATTGGTTTGCTCCCACAAGACTGCTGGCAATCGCACCATGATTTGACTCTAAAGCTCTACGCCCTGGCCACGAATGCGTACGGTGTGCTGGGGAATGTTGAGACTATGCAAGTCATGTATGATGAAGTGTTGAATCAGCCGAATCTTTCACTCGAGGAGAGGTTTCCTTTGTATGTATCAATGATTGAGTCCCTGTCAGGGCGGGATGTACAAGCCGCAAAAGATCTATGCTATGATGTACTTGAGCAATTCAACCACCCCCTTTTGAGAGGAGGAAGGAAACTTGCGATTTACACTCGTCTGAATCTCATCAAGAAGTACGACAAGAATCTCGATCCAAATCTTGCATCGACTCTTCCTGAAATGACCGATAAAACTGCTCTTGCTGTCATGAAAGTACTATCAACACTATTGGTGTTGGTGTATGTAAGCGACAAAAGAGAGCTTCCCCAGGTTACTTTGAAGATGGTGGCCCTTGTCAACGAATTCGGAGTGTGCGATGAGGCTGCCAATGGATATGCTTATCGCGGAGGCATGGCAAGCAATTTGAAGGTAATCGATGCCTATGCCAAGTTTACTCAGACGGTCATGGAACGTTCAAAGGATCGCTACTCGAAGGCTGCAACAAAGATGTACTTAGGTTGCCTCCAGAGTAAGTTCATATTGCTTGAATTTGGTCGTACACGAAATGTGGTCTAACGGTACAACACTCTTGTACTCCTTTGTTTCAGGTTTCACTCATGACATTCGATCGGTCCAAAAGGGCTACTACGAAAACTATCATTATAGTTCGCAAGTTGGAGATATCCAAATGTCTCTTTACTCATTCATGATGGTTCTCTATTATGAACTTGTCAGTGGAAGATCCCTCAGAGCAGCTGCGGACGAAACAAGAGAAACCATTCGAAACATCAAGTCGATGAATCGTGGATGGCAAGTCCATCTTATGTCCATAATGTTTCAAGTCATCTTGAACATGCAAGGACAGTCCGAAGACCCCCTTGTTTTGAAAGGAGAAGCAATAGATGAGGCATTGCTTGATCCAGAGGCATCTGGCGGATTGGACTATACCTTGCTACATGGTTTCAAAGGGATCATATTTACCTTCTGTGGGAACCACCGAGCGAACGCAGAAGAAACCCTGGAGAAAATGCCTTTTCTTGTAGATGCAATTTCAGGAAATGCTATCGCTTTTTGGTTCCAGATTTACGTTGCAATTTCTTGTTTGCATTGTGCTCGTTCTTGTGGCAAGCGATCTTCCAAGTATCGAAGGTATGGAAAGGAGACGAGCAAAAAAACGAAGACATGGATTGCCCAAGGATGCCCTAACTTGAAGCAATTGGATTTACTCATGGATGCAGAGCTTGCTGTATTGGCCAACGACCCGGCGAAAGCTTGTCGGGTCTATAGAAGGTCTGTAGAGGTCGGCAAGAAGGTGCATCGACCAAACGATGCTGGATTGGCATCGGAGAGGCTCGGGGAATTTTTGCTAAGCATCAACGACAAGGATGGCGCAAAGGCAGCTTTGCTTGAAGCGATGGACCTCTATTCTCTGTGGGAATCGGACTACAAGGTGGAGTCAATTCGTTCGAAGCACGAGGAGTTGCTCCGACCAGTGAGTGTGCTTCGACAGGACTGAGCGAAATACATGCGCGGTGGGATCGAATCAACCTTCTCTCTATCCATCCAATTCATATTGTAGGCACATATTAATCCATTTTGTCACAGAATTATGTTTCAGTACATATGTGTCGGAAAATGGCTTTCACGAAAAGTGTTCATTCCTTTTCGCTTTCAACTTGTTGTTCAATTTGAAGGTTTGAAAAGTTGAAAAATGATTGTAGACGAATGGCGAAGTCCAATTCAATGTATCGATGACTCATGTGTATCTGTCGCGCCTGTAAGAGCATTGTGGCTATCCATTGCGAATCAATTCAAGTCCTCCTCTTTGGCAGTGGAGAAGTTGCAGTTGTTTACTGAGTGCGGATCAATTTCCTGAGATCTCATCCGTCCACGACTCACTCGAACTGTACGCAGTTTCACTGTACTGGAATTTCAGACGTGCCACCTGTCTGCAACTGTTGAGGTAGATTTAGGACAGACAGATATCATCATCCGTTAAGGATCGCCTTTTGGCCGAGTGACCAGATTTTGCGCTGTCAGGACAGACAGATATCATCATCCGTTAAGGATCGCCTTTTGGCCGAGTGACCAGATTTTGCGCTGTCAGGTTGTGAGCCCAACCATGCGGTCGCCACTTCGAGTCTCGGACTCAGTGCGACATTCTTCTGCGCAATCGGATTGCTCGTGCCAAGACCTCCACTTGGTCTGGGGGAGGGATCCCACTCCAACTGATTTCAGTCAGTTTGGGGGAAAGGGATGTCTGGTCTTCGTCCGCTCACACTTGCCTAATCTAAATCTAATATGCGTGCTCCATAACGCGGTGATGTTCGCACGAGAGGGAGTGTTGAGGTAGATTTAGGACAGACAGATATCATCATCCGTTAAGGATCGCCTTTTGGCCGAGTGACCAGATTTTGCGCTGTCAGCAACGAAGCATCTTTGTGCTTAGTTTACATTGCTGAAAAAGATCAAAATGAAACACATCAGTAAGACAATGACAACCTTGACCAGGTTGCGTCAACATTACGAAGAGGAACAAGAAATGGAACGCACACCAGAGCAAAAACGGCAACAACTCCTCGACAACAGTTGCCTGACTTCATCGAATTCGATGCGACTTCCGTCCACTGGATCCTTGTTTTCTCTGCAGGCCCCCTCATTGAATTCTCTCAATTCTTTGAGTTATCGTACTTCAATGAATTCCTTTCGAAAGGGAATGGCTTCCATGAAGTCTATTGACAGTATCGATATCGAGTCAGTAGATGATATTCTCTATTGTGCAGCAAGAATCCAAAGTGCAAACCACATCATCCACTACTACTGTCGCTGGTCTGCCCCCTCTACCATCAGCATCCTTCTCTTTCAAGAAGGCTTCCCATCTCATGAACCTTTACACTCTTGCTCAGACGAGTCAGGCACAAGTACACGATTCTTCCAATCAACTGGTTTCAAAAACCCGGACTATCATCACATCTACATCCAAGTCTAGTAGTAGTACAACCAAGGAAGAACCATTCACTAGCGCTACGAACATGGAGCTTGATCCAGGCAGTATACTTACCTCCAGAGTCGTCCCAGGAAATAGTATGCGCATACCGACTGCTATATCAAAGCCCAAGAGCAAACGCACTGCCGCCGCAAAGGCCACAGTCTCCAAGGTCAAGCCACAATCTCCTACGACTACGCCTACTACAGCCACTACCAAGAACAAGCGGATCCGCCGCAAGTGGGTCCGCCGTCAGGAGCCATTGTTATGCAAACTATGACATAGCTACCGAAATGGATGTCTTTCTCGGTAAAGGCGGCAAATCCAGTCATAACAAAGGCACCATGCATTATCTTTTTCAAGCGAATTTTGGCTCTTCAACCAATTTACAAGACCTTGTGTCGAGACTGCAAGGCTGCAGTGAGTGACCAGGTCGTCCAATGGTTCAAACAAGAGATCCATGGTCGTTTTTTGAAACGAGAACAAGCTGGAACACCCTGGTACATTGCCACGGATGATATGGCTCGACTAAAGGTTTCGCAAGCCTTACGCGCCGGATAATACAAAGTGCTGTCTGTACTCGGATTCGTTCAGACGAGCTCTGAATCAATCGCTCGGCTTGCAAAACAAAATCCAATCCTTGATACAGTATCAGCCTCCACACTTTTGTTTGATGTTTGTACTGTTGCTTTCATCCTCTACTGTATTGTTGTAGTTAGAGAAAATGGAAGAGCTAAATGAGTACTTATGATTGGTCGATCGGATCAAGGAATGAAACAGAAAACAACAGGCGAAGCTGAAGACAAAACAGCAAAAGCTGGTATGATACCTTCCTGATTTCCACTTCGGCGAAAACAAACCAATAGCTTTATATTCAACAAGAGGGTATCCTAACTTTCCACTGGTGACACGCAGCGATCTGTAATTCAATCCATCACCATGAAGACGCAAGCAAAAACTGACACAAACGATTATGATATTACTGACCTTTTGAATCAGCCATCCAGGATATTGCCCCCCATCCTACTGATTTCGGTATGTTTCAAAATCATCTTAATGCCTACGTATCGGTCCACTGACTTCGATGTTCACCGCAACTGGCTTGCTGTCACACATAATCTGCCGCTGTCGGAATGGTACTTTAATGACGTCAACGGGACGACGGTGCACACCTTGGATTATCCACCCATGTTTGCATACTTTGAAGCGTTCCTATCCAACAATCCTTTGACTTCAAGAATTGTACCTCTGGGAGATCGATGCCTGGATCTGTTGCCAGATTCGGATAACACTCCTTCCGAAGATTGTATTGTCTTTCACCGATGCACTGTCATTGCGAGTGATTTGATATTTTGGATCGGCGCCTACATGGCATGCCGTTCCATGTATCATGGAAAACCATTGTATCGATCGTCCATGGCTTTCTTGCTTATAGTCTGGAATCCCGGTATGCTATGGCTCGATCATATTCACTTTCAATACAATGGAATGTTGTTGGGATTGTTTCTTGGATCTCTTGGATTGTTGATGCAAGGCAACAATCTTGGTCCCAATAAGCGGGGGTATCATTTCTGTCATTTAGGAGGAGCGATACTGTACGCATTCTTGCTGAACCTTAAGCACTTGTACTTGACGTTGGCGCCACTGTACTTTTGTTACTTATTAATGTCCTATTGTCAAATTGACGGAAAGGGATTTCAATTGAGAAACTTTGCCGCTTTGGCCAGTGTCACTGCCATTTGCTTGCTGGCACCATGGGTACCATTTTTGCTGCAAGAAGATCCTAAAGGTCAACTACTTCAAATACTCGCCCGACTCTTTCCATTTGGTCGAGGTTTGGTGCATGACTACTGGGCCGCCAATGTCTGGGCACTCTACTTGCTGGCCGACAAGGTAGTCAAAGTGGCTTCCCCTAGACTCCCTTGGATTCCTATTTCGCACCTTCCCGAACCCACTCCTTTGGTGTGTGCGGTACTTATGTTTGTCTCGCAGCTACCAGCACTGATAGTGGCATCCACGCGGAGATCCAATGTCAAATTGATTCAGGCTGTAGTCTACTGCTCTCTCTGTTCCTTTATGTTCGCTTGGCACGTGCACGAGAAAGCCATCATGACGGCGTTGATCCCCTTGACACTGTTGGTGTGTCAGAATGATGATCGAAACAACAAAGGCTACTCGCATTCGCTCTTGTTTTGGCAAATGTCCCTGTGGGGCCTTTTGGGTCTCTTTCCGCTCTTGTTTCGACCCGTCGAGTTGGGCTTCAAAGTAGTTTCGTATGTTACCTTTATGGCCCTGTGCGTTCAATTCTCCAAGGAACGCTTTGGAAGCTTTCGAAAGCTCTGTTCCTTGTTGGTGGGAATTGTGATTATTATCTTGGAAGTCTTGCCAATTCAAGGAAAATGGGAATTTCTTCCACTCATGATAACATCTATCATCTGCGCCCTGGGTTTAGTAGCATGCTGGATTGTCAGCCTGGCACAGCTATTGGCGGTGGAAGATGAACGAATAAAAGATAAGAACATATAGTAGTGTTTCTTGTTTCTAGATCTCTTGGCTTTTATTGTTACACATCCACATCATTCTACTATGTTGCTTAGAGTTTGGTGCCGATGGAAGCTAGAATCTTGGACAAGGTCTTGGAAGGATTCATGGCCTTGGTAGCCTTTTCCGCATCGAGCAAGTAATATCCTCCCAAATCGACAGGTTCTCCTTGAGACTCTTTGAACTCTTCGACAATGGCGGCTCGTCCGGCAGAAAGCTCTTCAAAGAGTGGCTTGAAGGCAGGGTCTTCTTGGGACAAAAAGTCGGCCCAATAGAGAGTAACGTAGTAGTTGGTGGCACGGTTGTCAATTTGGTTAACAATACGAGAAGGACTCTTTCGGTTGTCGAGGAGACGTCCGACAGCCTTGTTCAAGCATTCACCAAGCATGGTAGCCTTGTCATTCCCCGTACTTGCTCCCATTTGTTCAAAGGCAACAGCTAGTGCCAAGTACTCTCCCAAAGAATCCCATCGCAAGTGACCCTCCTCCAAAAATTGTTCCACGTGCTTGGGTGCCGATCCACCAGCGCCCGTCTCGTACAGACCACCACCGGCCAAGAGTGGAACAATGGAAAGCATCTTGGCAGAAGTACCAAGCTCCAAAATGGGAAAGAGATCTGTTAGGTAGTCTCGCAAGACATTACCAGTAACCGAAATGGTATCCTTGCCGGCAGTTGCGCGTTCCATGGAAGTTCGAATGGCATCGACTGGCTTCATGATACTAATATCAACTCCATCCGTGTCGTGATCCAACAAGTATTCATTGACCTTGTCCAATAGAGTTCGATCATGGGCCCGATTCTTGTCCAACCAGAAAATAACTCGGTCTCCAGTAGCCTTGCCACGAGAGACTGCCAATCGGACCCAATCCCTGATGGGGTCATCCTTGGTTTGTGCCATTCGCCAAATGTCACCCTTTTCCACTTGATGTTGAAAGTAGACTTCACCCGAGTTCTTGTCGGTGACAGTGACAATACCATCATCCTTCATTTCAAATGTTTTGTCGTGGGATCCATATTCTTCCGCCTTGCGGGCCATGAGCCCCACGTTGGCAACATTTCCCATGGTGGCGACATCAAATTGTCCATTGGTCTTGACGTAGTTGAAGACTTCTTGGTACATGGTAGCATAGCAACGATCAGGAATGACACACTTGGTATCTTCCAATTCGTTCATCTTGTTCCACATTTTACCAGAATCACGAACGACGACGGGCATGGAAGCATCAATAATGACTGAAAACGAAAAGGAAAAAAGGGGGAGAGAGGAAAGAGGAGGGTTAGTGCATGGATTTGCCGCTAGCAATGGTACACGTCTTCTTCACTACAGAACATTACTTACTGTCATTTGGCGCATGCAAGTTGGTAATTCCCTTGTCAGAATTGACCATGGCCAACCAAGGACGATCCTCGTAACAGGCCTTGAAATCATCCAAGACTTGAATGGCCTCGTTGACTTCCAACTTTTCCTTGACGACTTCAAAGATGGATCCCAATCCTTGATTGGGATTGGCTCCAATCTTTTCTAGCAATTTGCCATGCTTGGCAAAGGCATCCTTGTAAAAGACACGAATGCAGTGTCCAAACATGATTGGATCGGAAACCTTCATCATGGTTGCCTTTAGATGCAAACTAAATAGCAATTCCGAATCTTTAGCATCTTGAATTTCATCCTCAAAAAAGTTGCACAACTTGGTAATGGACATGGTCGAAGCATCAATGACTTCTCCAGCTTCGAGCGGATTGCTCTCCTTGAGGACGACCTTAGCACCATTCTTGGGAGCAAATTCAATGATCACATCAGTAGCTTCTTTCATAGAGGTACTTTGTTCGCTTCCATAAAAGTCCCCTTGGGTCATGTGTGCCACATGCGTACGGCTGGCCTTACTCCAAATGCCCATTCGATGAGGATTCTTTTGGGCGTATGCCTTGACGGGAGCTGCGACCCGACGATCGGAATTGCCCTCTCTCAAGACGGGATTGACGGCAGATCCCATGATACTGCTGTACTTGTCCTGAATTTCTTGTTCCGACTCATCCTTGGGTTCTCGTGGATAAAGTGGAACGTCGTATCCCTTGGCGCGCAATTCGTTGATGCAGTCTTCCAATTGATTCAAAGGAGCCGAAATGTTGGGCAGCTTAATGATATTGGCCTCGGGAGTCTTGGCTAGTTCACCGAGATAGGCAAGGTTGTCGGGAACCCGTTGATCCTCTTTGAGTTTCTCGGGAAAGAGGGCCAACACACGACCCGCCACGGAAATGTCACACGGGACCATGTCGATCCCGGCCAAAGCCCCGATCTTGGAAACGGCAGGAAACAAACTGTACGTAGCGAGAGCTGGAGCTTCATCTGTTTCCGTATAGATGATGGTACCCTTGACTTCTTTCAGCGGCGTGTAGGCATGATTGGAAGTGGGAGGTGGTGGAACGTTGACAGCTGAAAAGTATCTTGGATAGGCCAACAATCGAATGCTGCGAGGGGCAAATCGTGATGACTGCTGTCTCGAAAAGGCAGCAATGGCGGCGCGGTGAAATAACATTGTATTTTATTGTTGCGCGTTTGTGTGTGTATAGTTTAGTGGTTGTTTACGAGATAGGATCGATCAGTTGTTGCCAAGGATCTATCAACTCAAATGATGGAACAAGATGTCAATCATCATTGGTGGGTGGCGAAGATCTCAAGTGAGGGGGTTCGCATCTTCCACGTAGACTTTCTACATACAACTGAAGGCAGAGTCGACTGGGTCGGGAACACTTTACCCTTTCGCATCACATTGGGTGACTTCTGGTGCGAACTCTTTCAGTCGATTGCTAGAGGGTGAATAAACACTTTCAAAAAAAGCCAAGATCATCATTGCTCAAAGGGCCAAGTCCTTGCTAATTTCTTTGCGGATTATTGCATCCAGAAAAAGTACACATTATAATGAAGGTCTGGAACGCTACAATCTTTCTAGTACTATCCCTTTGTCTGTTGGTTATCGCTCCTGGCGCTTTGGCTGCCGTCAAGGGAGAAAATTCGGGAACACAGGCAACTCTAGAAGACGAAGAAACCTGTTCGAGTGAGGATGGTGGTACTTGTGCTTCGAGTGGTGAGGCAGTAGTACAAGTGGAGGATCTGTCACGCTGTGAGGATAGGAACGACGGGTGCCGGTATTGGGCCGATTCGGGAGAATGTTTGACCAATCCACGTTACATGTGGGTCTACTGTGCGCTTTCTTGTGGGAAATGTCAAGTCGAAGAGGAGTGAGTATTATTTTATATTGGACGTCTTCAAACATGCTCCAGGAATGATGGCGTCTCACATTAATTATTTCATTCCTTCTGCATCATTCATTTACAGCATCCAAACTTATGGAGAAGGAGACATCGACATGGGAGTCGAGCAAGGATTGGGCTCAGCTTCGTTCTCACCAGATAAAGTGCTCATGGCCATTGCAGAATCCGAGCATTACCTCAAGACGACCATGATGAAACAGAGCATACGAAACAAATGCAAGAATACACATGCCGACTGTACGGTTTGGGCTCTAGATGGGGAATGTGAGGAAAATCCAGGATACATGAAAATGAATTGTGCTCCCGCCTGTCAATCCTGCTACTATCTTTCGACCGAGACCCGATGTCCCATTGACCCAGAGGCACCTCTTGCTTGGCAAGCAGGAGACCTTGATAGAATGTTTCAAAAATTAACTCAGGAACCGTATCTAACAAAGTACAATGTGACCATATTGGCGTCTCCGAACACGAACGGTCCATGGGTCATTACCATGGAAAATTTGATTCAACCCGATGAAGCGGATCGATTGATTGCTTTGGGCCAGGAAATGGGATTTGAACGAAGCAAGGGCATGGCCAAGATCCATCCGGATGGTACCCCGGAACATGTGGTCAGTGACGCTCGGACGTCTACCCAAACCTGGTGTCGAGAAGATTGTTCGGCCGATCCCATGTCCCGTCAAGTGATTGAACGATTGTCCAATCTCACTGGTATTGATGAAATGAACTCGGAGTACTTACAACTACTGGAGTATGAACCGGGTCAATATTACCATAATCATCATGACTATCTGGCAAATGAGCTGAAAAGGTACGAAGAACAAAAAGTGGATCTTTGAACAAATCATTTGATTTCCAATAGGAAAGATAGGAACTAATAATTTGCTTCCATCTCGTACTCATACACCCACAACAGGCAACAAGGAGTTCGTATTTTGACGGTCTATCTGTATCTCAACAATGTAGAAGAGGGAGGTGGAACCGAATTTGATCAACTGGGGATTACCGTCATGCCCAAAAAGGGAATGGCTCTGCTTTGGCCATCAGTTCTAAATGAAAACACTGCGGCAAAGGACGAGCGGACCACTCATGCAGCTTTACCAGTTATTAAGGGTATGAAGTATGGTGCGAATGCCTGGTTTCATTTGCGCGATTTCAAGACTCCTCATGGCAATCATTGCACCGAGTGACCGAGGAATGAGTTTTTGCAAATTCATTCCAACTAAGCAACGTGCCTTGGTGGGGGAGAGAAGAACACGGTAGCTGTATGCATATGTTGAGTTCACTTTAAAAAACGAAACGGCGAATGGCTGGCTTTGGGATTCAGTTCTACAGGTATGGTATATACCAAATGATAGCTCCTACTTGAAGAGCCACCTTTGGGCATGGAACAGAAGCCGTAGCTGAGGATAACACTAACCAACCCAAAATCATGACATAATATCTAATAATATAACGTGGGTCAAAATACAGTAAATCGGGCTAATGTGGTTGTTGGTGTATCCCTTGACGTTTTGCTAGCTACAATACAATACCTACACGTACATGGTACGTGTACTGGCACAGCTGGACTTTCTACCACCCGCGACCAAAACCCGAATTGAATACGCCGAGTATTCATATTGAGCAGCGCTCTTATTTTTGACACGATAGATTTACTGTTCCCGAGCCCCAAGGTCGCTTCAGTTCACACAGCTGTCTTTGCTTGTTTTTCAGCATCATTCCGTTTGACACAACCAACTTGGGAGGCAGTCTTGGTTAGTTTCTGAACCCATTTTGACCTTGTGACATCTTCAAGTCAAATTCAATTGGCAAGTTGAAAAGATGGTGCAGCTTAAAGTTGCCTCCATGTTCTTCTTTTCCGGGCTGGCTGTGGTGATTGCTCTGGTGGTCGTCGTGTACGTCGTTGCTTGGATTTATGACAGGGCGTCTGGGTCAGTGGAGGCCTTACTGACTCCAACAGAGCTAGAGGAGCGACGGATAGCCTCAACACTGGTGAAAGAAGCTGGTTTGGCAGGTTTGCTACCGGATGAAAAGAACCGAGTGATGCGCCATTTCTTTCAAGAAAGCTCGACAGCGTGCATCAAGAATTATTCCCGTATTGATATAGAGGCTCCAAACGACAGATCTGAACCTGAAAAGGCTGATGCTAGTGATGAAAAAAAGTCTGGTGCAAGGGAAGGAACCAAGCGAGCTGAAACTTTGATGAATGCGAACTCCAAAAGTGATAACGATTCTTCGAATACAGATTCCAAATTGACCCCCAAATCTCAATGTCAACAGGATACTGATGTCGAAGCAAACTACAGCAATGGGAAAAAACAAGGCAAATTTAAGTCAAAGCGCAAGCATGGCTGTAGCTGCTGTAAGGGTTCAAACAACTTGAACCGAGGCAGCAAATTAACGCTATCAATTGGTATCAATGTGGATCAGAACAAAAGAGAACTTGATAAAAATGGAAAGCCGAAAAGATTTGGGAGAGAAAAAGAGAAAGAGTCTTCGGGTGGCGATACTGAGAAGGAATCCGAGGAAGGCGTTTGCCCAATCTGTTTGGTTGAATTTGGTAAGCGAGATCTGGCTGAAGAGCCGTGTGAACTTATCAACACAAAAATGTTTTCTAATCTTTACCGATTGACTTCCACTATCAGAGGAAGGAGAGAACATTATGATTGGGAACTCCTGTGGACACGTGTTCCATTTTGAATGCTTTATGCAATGGGTTGAAAAGAACCACACAGACTGCCCCCTTTGCCGATCGGAGATGATGACTTCGGAGAACTTTTTGACATCGGCGTATGCAGTCCTGGGAGAACAGCGGGTGAATAAACTGAAACACATCAATGAGGAAGCCGCGAGAAGATTAGCAGCTTGGGAGGCTGATCAGCCAGAAGAAAGAATAGAAGAGTCAGCTGGTGATGAAGCATCATCCTCTTCAGAGCCAGTTGATCCGTCGGTCAGACGGGATCCTCCAGCCAGAATGGCTCCACCAGCAGCAGCAGATACTTCCAGACTGACCGTTGCGATGGTTCAATAGTACAATTCCAGAGCAGAGTTTCTATAGATATTTGAAATCCTGATCTTTTATCGCTTTGGACTCCACCATTTGGATATTCAGTGTTCGATCTTGGCTGTAGTCCTATGTAGTCCACTGGAAGATTGGTCATATACCTCTGACCTATAGGTGCGATAACAATGATGGGCTGGCCTCTACCTAGTGTAATACGATACCGGGTAGTGCCACCGATCCTCTCCCAATTTTGGGGGTGGATTTTATAGGACACGTGGTTCAAATGGGTGAGTCAGAGTGGTCACGCGAGCACAAAGTTCCGATTTTCGAAAGGATGAAGTTCCATCTGCTGGCAACAAACTTCGAAACCAATTTTTTCACCTTGAAAGAGACTAATACCTCTGCTAACACTCACGAATATAATATCATTCTAATACTCTAGACAATGGTTGATTTTGAAGGAATGTTTCAGGGTTCCCTGTTTTTCGTCTCGGGTGTTGTTGTCATCATTGCGATTGTTGGACTTGTCTACTTCATTTCTTGGTTGTTTGACCGTACATCAGGTGAAGATCTACTGACACCAGATGAGCTAGAAGCGAGAAGGGTTGCTCCAATATTGGTACGACAGGCAGGGTTAGCTGGACTTCTCAAAGACGAACAGACAAAAGTGATAAGGTATCATTTTGAAGCAAATTCGTTTCCATTTGTGAAAGAAACCAACGTGACGAAGGCATCAAAGGATGAATCATTAAAGAAGACAACGGAGGCTTCCAGCAGTAACGATGAAAACCTGGAGAAGACTGAAGAATCGAGTGTCGTTGTAGACAAAGAAGCTGTAAATGTGGACGGGGGTGAGACTGATGATCCGGCATCTGACGATGCTGAGAAGGAAGAACAGGCTGACGATGAAGCTGAAACTTCAAAGATTGACGAGGTTGAGGAGAGTAAAGATGGAGACATTGAGGAAGGAAAAGCTGAGTCCACAATTACAACATCAATAGTCAAATCGGAAGAATCGAGCGAGGATGATTCTCCGGAGATAACTGAAACCAAAACTGACAGTAAGTTATCGTGCCAAGATGATGGCTCATGATCACGATGGACCGAGCTAACACTTTGCTTGGCCCACTTCGAACAAAGAAGATGAGAAGGATGACTTAGAGTCCAAAGCCGATACGAAAGAAGATATCGTCGACAGCGACGAAAATTCAGACGAAGAAAACAAGGACGAGCCAAATCAAGGCCCTGAATCGAAGGAGGCGTCAGCTGCAATTTCTGATGATTTAGAAGAAGCAGAGGAAGGCATTTGCTCCATCTGCCTTGAAGATTATGGTAAGTGCTTGCCGAGAGATCGTGCGAAGAGGAATGAATCGTACTGCGAGTTGAATGAATCTAATCCAATGTGTCATGATCGTCTGTCCCATTGTTCTCTTCTTTGCAGAGCATGGAGAAAAGGTAGTCATTGGTAGCTCGTGCGGTCACATGTTCCATCTCGCGTGTTTTATGGAGTGGGTGGAAAAGAAACACCTCAACTGTCCCATTTGCCGGTCCGATATGATCACCCCTGATGAGTTCACAGCCTCCTCCTATCAAGTTCTCGGTGAAGCCCGAGTGGACAAGATTCGAGGAATCAATGAAGAAGCTGCTAGACGACTGGAAGCATGGAGTATAAAGAACCAAGAGGAAATCCAACAGCGGCAGCAAGCAGCTGCAGCGGCAGCAGAGCCAGAAGCTTCCACTGAGGAACAAGCTGCGACCACTGAAACGGAAACTGACGTTGAAACGGGAAAAGTTGGAGCTGAAGCTGAAGGGGAAGCAAAACCAGAGATCGAAACCGAAATTGAAGGGGGCAAAACGATTCCTGAAAACAATAACATCGTTACCACGTCCTCGGATGTTTCAGCTTAGAGCAAAAGATTCCATGCGATTCATATTCATTTTGCTATTTGCTGGTTTTCAAAATTTTCCCAAAATTTTGCAAATATGATTTTAGAAGATGCAAGCACTATGTTAAAAAATACCTGCTTGCGATGATTGTATAATTCCATCTTTTATTCTTGTCTTGGTTTTTATTTTCTTCTACAACATTGCAATATGATAGGATAGTTCTGGTTCTATGTTTTTAATGTAGTCTAAGTAAGCTCTTCATTTCAAGGTAGGAACAATAAAATTATTTGTTTCGCCCATTGGTCCAAAATTTGAAAGAAAGGCACTGTACAGTGTACAGTACCTCTTGTGCGAGTGAAGTATCATTATAGATCGGAAATCAACGTTGCATCTGGCTTGTATCCTATTGTTGTTATTCGTTTAGTTCTAGTTTTAGTTTCGTATAGTATAAATTATAAATAAAAAATACTAGTTTCATTCTTCTTGTTTTTGTTGTTGTTGGTCTAACTGATATCGCCCTCTACTGTCGACCTTGAATCCTCTTCTGCTTCCTCCTCATCATCTTCCCGAATGACATCCTCCAAAGCATTCAAATGACGACTGGAAGTACCCACAAATCCAGAAGTATGAGTCGAGTCCCATTCTTCCGAATTGAATCTGGCAGCCATTTCACCAAGATTGACCGACGACCGACGTCGTTCCTTGGAAAAGGCATAGACGGGGGGTTCTTCATCCGATTCTTCTTCACTCGATTCATCAAAGTCATCCCATTCTTCTTCGCTGGACTCGTCATCATCTTGACTAATGAGACCAAGTTTGATTCGTTTGCTGATTTCAGTGGGAGAAAGAGCGTTCAAGCTAACGCTATCTCTTCGGTGTACGTATTGGTTCTTGTAGGCCGGACTGCGGTTAATGACTTGTAATTTTTCGCCATCGACCAAGATACATCCGGCCAAGGCTTGGGAGCCTTGGTTGTGATCCTTGGATGTCGAGAAGACTGTAAAGACACGAGCCCCCTTGGAGACAGCGACACCTTCGGCGTGTGCTTCGTGAGCCCGCATAATGTAGGAGAATCCCTGTTGTGCCAAAAAGTCAGTAACGGCCTTGTTTCCAAAGCAAATGGCCCCGCCCCCTCTCAGCGACTCTCCAAATCCAGATTCGGGGTCAACGCTGTACTGTTCTTGTTCTTCGGAAGCCGGATCGCTCCAAATACAATCGGATGCTACCTGTTGGTAGTCATCATCTTCATGTTCGTAGGGAGGATTGATACCAGCCACCTTGGAAACGTTCAATATATCTTGAATACGAGTAGTATTTTCGCCTACTGGTCTAGGGATACCTCCGTGAACACAAAAGATATCTTGATCCACCACACCGCAGAGAGGCAATCGATCAAAGACTTGATTGCAGGCTTCCCAGATGCGGTATCCGATATCATCACCAAAACGTTGGCGGCACTGGTAGATGAATGATCGTTCTCCGTAGTGTTCTTCCCATCCATTGACGTCTCTAGTTTCGTGGTTTCCTCTCAAGAGAAAGACCTTGTTTGGCAATTGCAACTTCATGGCTAGAAGATAAGCCGTGACTTCGAGACAAGACATGCCGCGATCGACATAGTCTCCCAAAAACAAAAAGTTTCCAGCCGTCAGAGACATGCCCAATCTCCAGATGTTATCAGAGAAAAAGTGAAGATCCTCCAAGTTTCCATGAATGTCTCCAAAAATATAGGCTGGACTTTGCAAAAAGACCACACGGGGTTCACCTTCGAGGACATGTCTCACTTTTTGGCAGAGCTTGAACAAATCCTTGGCAAACTGTTCGCTATTCAGGTAATCTAGATTCTCAGAAGGACGTTGAAACATGTCCATAATCCGTAGAGCGAGCGGATGATTACTGTAGTCATTTTCTCCCGTGGGCAGATTGGACATGACTTGTCGTGTGCAAATGGAAGCAGTCCGGCCCATCATTTCACGCCGGGATTGCAAAAAGGGACGTTGGCCAATGCCGCCATCGACTTGCTGAATGTGCACTGCAGCGGGGGCTATTTGACGTCTCTTACTGTTGGTGCTGCCCTTGTTGGCTTGATTGGCAGCTTCCAGCTGGTTGGTTAAGGAATTGATTTGGTCTTGCAACTTGGCAATATCTTCATTGTTGTTGGGGTCGCTCATCGTAATGCTATTGCTGTATGTTTGCTATGATTGCTATGATTGGGTATTGATAGCTATACCTAGGAATAGATATGCGTAGATAGAATTGTTCTTCTAACTCTCGTCCTGGATGGTTGGTTTGGGAATGATTGCGATTAGCGAAACCTTTCAAGAACAGCAATGATGCTGATACAAAAAAGGAAATTTGAAACTTGCAAGGTGGTGGTCACGTTGACACAAACAAAAAAAGAAGGAAACGGGTGACTGCCTCCTGGAAAGGAGGCACAGAGCCGGCCGGTGCTTCTGTTTGTCGTAGTATTCCTACACATTGTGACAGCAAAACGACATTACGTCCATCCGCTGTCCTGATCGTATAATATTTTTCGATCGTATTTTTGGTGGAAACGAAACTATTCATCATCATATTCGGGTTGACAAACAACTAAACAAGTTCCATTAAAAAACTCAAACCATCACGCTCATCAACTTCAATCCAAGGTTCGGACAGTTGATTGTCTCCATGTTGGAATCACTGCTGGTACACGTACACGACAACAACAACATCAAACGATAAAAAGACATTCAAATTCGTATCGGTGCTGATAAGATTTCACAATACTATCACCGTTCGATTGATTGATCGATTGATTGAGTCAAACAATTCATTCCTCTTGGTCTTTTCGTCATTGCAGATTCATCATCATCATCATCGTCATCATCTCCTCATCGTCAGTATGAACAACCAAAACCACCACAACCAAACTCGCAACAATAATCGAATCGTTCTACTCTTTGATTTGGATTGTTTTTATGCCCAATGCGAACGGGTTCGACTTGGTTTGCCACTAGACACAAGTTTGGCCTTGTTGCAATGGAATTCGACCTTGGCCGTGACCTATCCCGCACGAGAATTTGGAATTCAACGGGGAGATTCCTGGGATGCCGTAGCACAAAAAAGCAAGGGCAAGTGTCATGCGATTCATTTGCACATTTTGCAATCCTCTAATAGTAATAGTAGTAGTAGTAGTAGTAGTAGTGGTAGTGAAAAAGGGGGAAAGAATCATGAGAATGATACGAACGATGATGAAGAAAATAAGGAGGATGACATTGGAATGGAAGATCAAGACGCAGACTATAAAACAGCCTTTGACAAAATCTACAAATTGACACCACCGCAACAAATGGAGGAGAGGAAGCAACTGGGTGTTCGAAAACATTATTACGAGGGCAAGGCCTGTTTGGAACGATATCGATTAGCCTCCATGACGATCTTTTCTGTAGTGTTGGAGAGTCTGACCAAGCATTTGGGTGGAAAAGATCATTTCGTCCTGGAACGAGCGAGTATTGATGAATTTTACTTGGACATTACCAAATATTGCTACAATAACGATGGTTCTGACATCAATAATGAAGGTCATGTACAAACATCCTCTACAACTGATGATTCTTCCAAAGCAAGCACAAGCACAGGCAAAGGCAAAGGCATACCAAATCAAAAGCCTACTGTTGTAGTCGGAGATTCTTCCATTCACAATGAAGATGACGAACAATCACCCTTAAAAATTGCACTGCATCGAGCGTGTCAAGTGTCACAGCAGATTCGAACCGACGTTTGGAATCATTTGGGGTTTACCATGTCGGCGGGGATTGCCACCAACAAAATGATGGCCAAATTGGCAGCGGGCTATGGGAAACCAAATGGTCAAGCAGTCTTGCATCCAAACAATTTTGAGACCGTCATGGAAACGACCAAAATACGAAAGGTCCGCAATTTTGGAGGCAAACTGGGGAAAAAGGTGATTCACACAGTGTTGGATGAAAAAAAAGATGCCACCATGGGGGACTTGGCGCAAGTTCCATTACCAGTTCTCTTGCATCACTTTTCGCAAGAAACAGCATTGCTCGTATTTGATGCTTGTCGGGGGAACGATAATGAACAAGTCAAGGAGACGACTGGCGCCTTGGTCAAATCCATCACTGCCTTCAAATCATTTACCGCCACGAACCAAGTGGCTGAAATACAAAAATGGCTCAACATTATTGCCAATGAAATTGTCGCAAGAGTCGCAAAGGACAAGGTGCGCAACAAGCGGTATCCCAAGACTTGCACTCTCAATTATACCTACTATACGACTCGCAATGGACAACGCCCAAACGATGGCTCCCATCGGAGCCAGCGGAACACCAAGTCGGTTCGATTGCAGTATCCAAATGAAGGCATGAAGGCGTCCAAAAAGGCAGAAACACTACAGGAGCAAGCCATGGAAAAGCTGATTCCAATTTTGCAAAAACAAAAATTGCGAGGAGTTGGCATGTCGGCCAACAATTTTGAACCCATGGGACCTTCAGGAGTTTCGTCCATTGAAAATTTCTTTTCTTCTTCTGGTGGTGCCGAAACAACAAAGGGGGGTGACGGTAGGATCGCATCGAGCCATCGATTTTCGAATCATCCACCACAGCAACAATCCATGCTTCGTTCTGATGGCGTGGAACAATACTTTTCTTCCAAATCGGACATGATCGCAGCAGAATCCCTCTCGTTGTCAGAGGCAAAACAAGGTCCATTGCCATCTCTCAATAACGACGACAATGATCCACGAGCCATCACTCCAGATGGCAGTACAGAAAAGAGTGACGAAGAGTTGGCCAAAGAATTGCAAGCTAGCATTTCCAAGAAAGACAATGACGATAGCAGTAGTTCCAGCAATCGACCTCCACTGGTGGTCTCGAAGGAACCACCACCAACACCCGTTGACAACGATATGGAACTGGCGCGACAATTGCAGGCAAAATACGATCGTGAAAATTACGTCTTGACTGCCACCAGTCGACGATCGACAGCTGGAGGTCCACCCAGAAAGAAGGCTCGAAGTATCAAAACCTTTTTTCAGCCACGATAGGACCAATACTGTAGTATTGTGATGCAATAAGGGGAGAAGAGAAGTTGATCCTAGTAGCCAACAGTGTTGATTCATCTCCTAGTTAGTAACAGGGCGTCAGTTTCATTTTGATCCATAGAGATTTGGTTGTTGGTCTATTGGAACTCATTCGTCTCTTCCAAATAGTTCGTCAGCCGTTGATCCACAAAGGAAACTCTATCCAAGAGCTCAGGTTCTACACCGCCATGGACAGATTCGAATCCTCTCAAGGCTTCCTCTGTCAAGCCTTTCATCTCCACAGCAAATTCTCGGCCCTGAACCGTAAGACCTGCATCTAAGACACCAAGCAATTCATCTCTGTCATCGTACCCCATCAGCTGACCAAGTACCAAAGTTGCCTCGCCCATGTCTGCTCCAATCTCTTCCAGTACCCTAGCCTGGATTACCCGAAGTAGTTCAATGAGACGCGTGCTCTCTGTCGTCATTTTCGGGGCGTTGCCTATTCTTTCACATTCTCCTTCGATATGGCGCAAGAATCCAGCTGTAAAGTTGTCCCTTTCGACCTCCATGAGTTCATCCATGGCATCCTCGCTTGATTTCATGGCGTTGATAATTTTTCCCAGTAGCTTTTTATTCTTCGAATCCAAACTTTCCGCCTCTTCCACGAAAGATTCCGCAAAGCTTAAGATACTTTCAATCACTATGACAGTCCGATTAAACTGCTCTTCCCCTTCGGCTTTGGCATCTTCCACAATTTCCTTGATAATGGCAGCACCTTCTTGTCCCTGAAGGGCCGCAATGGCGCCAATGTTGTTGGCCAACAGTTTTGGCAGATGTTCCGGATTCGACACAGCCACGGAATCCGCCACTAATTGGCGAAATTTTACTTTCTTTCGTCGTTCGGCATTCTCAATTTCTCGAATCTCTTCTTCGTCCAACGGAGGTGGAGGTGGGTCGTCGCTCTCGTCGTGGTCATGATTGTGATCGTGAATACTATGATCGTGATTGTGATCGTGAGTACCATGATCGTGATTGTGATCGTGACCGGCGTGTTGGAGAGGACTAAGACTCCTTCGCTCCACACGATGATGTGTTAGGAAGGCTTCCGAATATAGAAGAGAGGAAGCAAATGCTGCAACAAGAATCAATGATCGAAACATCTCGTCGTAATAATAACTCTGGAATGATTTTTATTCTGCAGATGTTGCAGACGTTGATTGATTCGAGGGTGATGGGCGAAGAACTGACACCGGTCAGACTTCACATCCATCAGATCGGATTGGTCATTTGTGATCCAGTAATTGACCCCTTCGACTGTCATTTCTGGTACTTTTTCAACGTAGTCATCCCGTAGATCTTTCCGGAACGTAAAAACAGCAACAAATGAGCATCAACAACCAGCAGAAGACCCGACATCCAACTGTTGAGGTCAAAACTACCACCACAACCCAAGCTCCCTTCGATTATCAAAACAAAGAATGCGTCCATCTCGCATCCTAAAGGTCTTAGGCCTCTTCTGCGCTGTCAGTTTCACAAACGCCCAGGACGAGCAATCAGGTGAACCTCAAGTTCCCGACCAACCCACACCCTCTCCGGCACCCACGTGGGGAGGATGTGTGGATGGCAACCTAAATCCCCTTGTCACCATTGGTGAAAAGACAACAATATGTTTGGTTCTTTCCAACGGCGTCAACTGGAATGGACAGGTTGTTGATTACGTCCGACTGAGCTTTCAACCAATTGCCGACGAATTCTCCAGATTCATTGTTCCTGCTTGTAAGTATCACTATATGCGCTGTGTGTGTGTGTGTGTGTGTGTGTGTGTCTGGACTGCTGTAGTGAAGGTGTCTGATTGGGGCTCGATGTTCAATCATGTCACAACAAGACCGTTCTTATTTATAGTTTTGCTTTCCTGTTCCTATTCGTCCAGCCTACACACATTTGATCAGTCAAAGAGGTTCCATATCAAAACTAGGAAACTTTGCCGACAAGGATATTGGCATTCATGTCTCATCACAAAATGGGTAAGTGACACTAGGGAAAACGACTCCAGGGATGTGTAACAACAGACACTCACACGTTCCGTTATGCCACAAATACAGTGTTTCCTTCCAGAAGTTGTATTACGACGTAGACGAGGCAAAGATCTATCCACAATTGACGGCCATTATTGATGTCAAGGACGGAGTGGTCGACGGAATCACATGGGATGACGGCTGCATTTTTTGCAAAGACTTGGAATGCGGCATCAACACGTTTGGATTCGATGGAGAACCAGCTGCAATTCAAACACCTGCCGGAGGCTGCGGAAAGGACAAGTCGGTTTGCGATGAAGGGGTTAGTAGTCAAAGTACCGAGTGCGACATTGCCTTTCACGTGGTATGGACTGGAACGGATGCAGATGGAACACCATTCCAATCTTCTGCCTACCGATTCTCTGCTTTCCCACAACAGGATTTCGTGGATAGCTTGAATATTCCAACATCGTTTTCGGATTTGGGTATTACTATTGGTAATTAATTTACATGTTAATTTTGAATGGGAACTGTTGCAATGTCTTTGGTTACGACTATAGCAAGGGAACCGATCGGAATACTAGACGCTCAATTGGGCTGTTACGAAGGTGGGGATATAGTTTTATGTTGCTTCACGTTTGAATTGACTTTTGAGCTTTCAACTCCTTGGGATCGTGAATGTGAACTGTTCCGCTTTTCTTTGCAAGTTCGATCTGTTTCTGTCGTTGGGCAAAACGCTCCCTCTGCTTCTCGGTGATCTTATCCGCACACCATTGGCATGACAGGCCCTCGACGTAGCCCTTGTGTTCCAAATCTTCAGCGCAGAGTGGATGTCGGCAAGCGTGGCAACTGGTAAAATATTTCTCGCTTGGTTTCAGACCATACGAAACGGCTACCCTTTGATCAAATACATAGCATTCTCCATTATACAATGAATCTTCCGGCTTTACAGTATCCAAATAATTCAATATCCCTCCTTCCAAATGATACACAGGAACATCTTTGGGTACCATCTTCAAAGCTGAATTTGTAGCTTTCTCGCATCGAATGCCACCGGTACAAAACATGGCTATCTTCTTGGGAGCCTTGTCTCCACTGATATTTTTCTTCATCCAGTCTGGAAATTCTACAAAGCTCTGGGTGTGTGGATTGATAGCATTTTGAAAGGTTCCCACATCAATTTCATATTCGTTTCGAGTATCAATCACAGTGCATTCTGGATCTTTCAAGAGCTCATTCCATTTTTCAGGCCCAACATAAGTTCCAACACATTCCGTTGGATGAATATCGTCTTGATGCATGGTGACAATTTCTGATTTCAGCTTGATTTTCAGCCTAGCAAAGACGGGCTTGTTGTAACTTGATATCCTCGTACGCAGCGTGTTGCCGAATTTCCCTTGAATATATTCATACACTGGGTCGTTATCAGCGGATGGTGGATAAGGATAACAGATTGTTCCATTGATTCCCTCGGTTGCCACCAGCAAGGTCCCCCGTGCTCCAAATTTTCTCAGTTCGTTCTCCAGTTCTTGTTGCAATTCCTTCAGGTTGTCCTCTGGCAGCGGGGTAAACTTGTACAGAGCGAGAACCCGATGAGGCATCGACGCTGGACTCGCCTCCTCTGCAGCCATTTTCGGAAGCGTGTACTCCTTCATCGATCCAAGTGGTGTGTGGTGCTTGCTTGTGGCTCTAACACATCCAACATTATGGCTTCGGGTTGGCGCAATAAAATTTGGAAAGTGGTGATCGAAAGAGACACGTCGCACGAAATGGACGCGCGATCATTTGGTCAGTGAGGAGGATTATTGATGTTTGCTCTGAAGTAAGCCTATCTCGCTCTACAATACAACTACACAACTTAACATTAAACAGCAGAAGTCACCTTGATTCATATAACATCTTTGTAATCTCCATATGGTAGGATGCTTGCGAGTTTCGCACATTCGCACATTGTTAACAAGCTCTTCCAAGAATCTACTTTTTTGCGTTCTTCACATGTTGGTTTTGCCCCGTCGATGCTGCTCACTAGTTTGATTTTTTTCTTTTCACATGTTGATGTAGAACCATAAAGTATCGGACCAGAAATTATTTCGTTTTGACGTAGAAGCTTTCGTAGAGACCTGTTGGGTCCTCCTCCTTCACGTCAATAACCTTCGCTTGTTGATTGAGTCCAACATCGCCCTTTTTGCACCATCGAATGAACCCAGCCATCAATTTTCGCTTCCCCTACATGGATTAATCATTTGAAATATTGTTGAGTGGAACTGAAAAACCAAGAGGAGCTTCCAATCTGTCATCCAGTATGTTGTCTTCCCCTTTTACGTCTTCGTCTCAGGAATCAAGGTATCTGTCAATCTTACCTCTACATATATTTCAGCTTCATCACTTTCATCTGGCGGTGACATTGTGCCAACAAGTCTGCGAAATTTTCCAGCCTTCAGGATAGTGGTGATTATGATAGTGGTGGTGAAAACATTGTCAGTCAACAAATGACTTAACAGTCAAAAACTTCGACATGCTGAGGTTCAGAAAAGCGACTCACTTCATTATTCACACACGAACGGTAGTATCCACCTTGTACGGCTCCCTTGACTGTAATACGACGGGCAACAATCTCATTCGGATCTTCACCATCAGTTGCTCGAAGCACTGTCCTTTGTTGATGTTGTCTTGTGGGAGCAAATCCTTGAATTGCAGTTGTCAAAAGAGCGAAAAGGACGAAGATATATTGCTTCATTGTTCCTGATAGTCTGGGTAGCTTATTGCTGAATGAATCGATGAGATAATGCCTGATTGGTTCACTTCTGGCAAACGATTACAATTTCCAATTGATGGTATGCAGTTGTGGTTCTCATTCACTGATGCCGATCTTCGATTGTCAGCTTCATCGAGCGAAATGAACGACTGACGTACTATATGTGACATTGGGGGTATTTTCCGTTCTGTGAAAAGGGGGATCTGCAACTCATCAACCACCATCACGCTCAATTCCATTACCTGTGCTATGCTATTCAACATACAACCAGAATGATATGGAGAACTAATAGTGCAAGGGTCAACCTTTCTTCGCTAAAACGTCGATGCTTTTCTTGGTCAGTGGACCCATCCAGCGGCGTTGTATCTTCCAAAAACAAAGGCTCTCCTCGGTTTCAGACTGTGATCGGATTGGAGGTCCATGCTCAACTTGATATTGCCACAAAGCTTTTCAGTGGGACCCCATTACCCAAAACTTCTACTCTATATCAAACTCCGAATACTTCTGTCTGGCCCTTTGACGTGGGTGTTCCTGGAGTATTGCCACGGGTTTCCCAAGAAGCAGTACAAGCTGCTGTTCTGTCGGCGGCTGCCACCAAATGCCAAATTCCATCCATGTCTCGGTTTGAGCGAAAACACTACTTCTATGCTGATTTACCGTTGGGATATCAAGTCACGCAACAACGATGGCCACTTGCTCGAGATGGAGTTCTGGTGTGTCAGAGAGAGCTGAAGAAGAAGCGAAAGAAAAAGGGTGAGGTTGGCGAGTCCTTTGTGACGAGGATTGAACGGATTCAATTGGAACAAGATACCGGGAAAACAATCAATGCTACTCGTAATGGAATCACCGAGTCGCTGGTAGACTTTAATCGCGCTGGTTGTGCACTTATTGGTAAGCAGCTGGCGAGCTGAGCACGACATTGGTCCCTTCAGATCGCTCACAATTCTTTCTTGTGACACTTTCACATTTCCAGAAATTGTCTTTTACCCCGATTTGCGATCTGCCAGTGACGCTGCTGTAGCTGTTGAAACGTTACGGACGCTCCTGAAGCATATTGGTACTTGCAATGGAAAGATGGAAGAAGGGTCTCTTCGATGTGATTTGAATGTCTCTGTTGCCCCAATCGAAGATGGAGATAAAACTGATGATGTTGGGGATGACGATGAACTGCTTCATTCTGCTGGTAATCGCGTAGAAGTGAAAAACTTGAACTCCATTCGACAGGTTCAACAGGCGGCGCAATACGAAGCAGTTCGACAAGTGAACGCCTTGATGGCAGGCAACCCAACAGCACAAGAAACCAGAACATTCGATGTGACGAGTGGAGAGACTGTAGTCATTCGTAGCAAGGAGGGAGCAAAGGATTATCGGTTTATGCCAGAACCCGATCTGCCTCCCGTATCCATCGATGAGGATACTTTTGATGGGCAGAATTTAGAATCTTTCCTGGAGACTGCTCTACCGGAGTTGCCTCAAGATGCTCGTGACCGGTTGCAACGGGACTATGACATATCTGCCTACCTGGCAGGTGTAATAACAGGCGATCCTCCAGCGATTCAAATGTTTGATACTGCAGTGGAAGAAGCTCAGGGCCAATTGAGTGAAGAGCCCGAACGAGTCATCAAACAAGTCCCTGAGGCGACAGCCAACCTCTTGTGCAATGGACTATTTGCTCTAGTCCGTGAGGACGATGTCAAGATCAAAGAGACCCTGGGTGAAGATAACTCGGTCAAGTTCTCTGGAGTGAATGGGAAACACCTTGGTGGAATAATAGCTCTAATGCTGGAAGGAAGCATTTCCAACACCATGGCGAAGCAACTATTGAAAATACTGCATGAGGAGAAGACCGAAATGACTGTAAGACAGGTGGCCGACGAAAATGGTTTCAAACTGATAACGGATCCTGACGAGTTGACCCGGATTTGTCGGGACGTCATTGATGACAGTCCGGAAGAAATGGAACGATACAAATTGGGGGAGAAGTTTGCGCAGAAGATTACAAAGGTGTTGATGGGCAAAGCCATGGGAAAGAGTAGAGGAAATGCCCACCCAGAACGCTTGAACGAGACTCTGTTGGAAGTCTTGGAAGAAGTTGTTCCAGCAGACGACTGAGCCAGCTCCCCAACGATATTTAGCTAGGGAGGCCATATCTATATCAGATTAAGTTCCCGAAGTTTTGAGATTGCCAGCATGCATCCCCAGCCTCCGACTAGATTCATTTCTCCATTGGCAATGTATTCCATAATCTCCCCGATTGCAACCCCAGGGACAATCTCAATGTCTTCCTCGTCATCCAGTGGTTTTGGATTTATGGCAGGTTCAGGATTCAATACCAAGTAGGCATGGATATTTGTCAATGCATACTTGTCCATGGCCGTCGCCGCATTGGTCAAAGGAATCCACTCGCCTCCAGTCAAGTGACACTCCTCCTCGAGTTCATGTTGGGCCGCCAAGTAAGCATCGTGTCCGTGCTTTTCTTCAATGAGCCCAGCACCTACTCCCCAGAGTACCTTGTGGGAGGCGGGCATGTATTCTCGTATCAACGTGGCAGTCTTGGTCTTGGTGTCAAAGGCAAAGACCAAGACGGCGGCATCCCCAGTCTTGACTCCCACCAGATCGAAATCGACGACCTTGCCGTTGCGCATTTTTACTTTGCGCTGAACAATGGTTCGCCACCCACTGTAGGCGATTTTTTCGTCCAAGATTTCGAAGGAAGACGACGATTCTTCATCTCCATCCTCGGAGCCCCCTCGAAGTTGCAACGTGTTCTTTGTTTGGATGGATTCCCCGCACTTCTTGGAAGCGGGTAATGACGGTGGTATCGTGCAAAAAGCCTGGATGACGCAGTTTGCCAAGAAAGAAACTATGATGAATAGAATGGGCGACGATAAGATCCTCATGATGGATATAGAGTAGTATAGCAGGTCACAATAAGTCTGTTGCCTAATATTGGTGTTCGAGTTTATTGTGACGTTTCAATTTTGATGTGTGGTTTGAATCTTGGGTCATGGGTCTCAGTTTAGTCGTGAGTCCAGTCTGTTGTCGTCCGATCTTCCAACCAACCACTTTTAATTTTTTCAGATCCATCCGTCAACGAAAACAAAACTATTGACAGACAACAACAGTTCCGAAATCATCTGACATTGTCAACGACAATTCACGACAAACTAGTTTTATTTTTTACAAAACAAGATGGCTACCACACGAAGATCCAAAAGGATCGAATCCAAAAGCGCACGTGAGGAGCATGTAGAGGTGGAAAATGTTGTGACTGCTACTACGAACGAAGACGACGATGATGACGACGATGAAGCTCCAGAAGAAGTATCGACTCCCGAACCGGGCAAGAATAGCAAAAAGAAGCAAACTGCCAAGGCACGAAAACAGCAAAAGAAGGAAGCGATGAAATCCAAGGCTACTGGTGTCGGTCTCAAGATTTCCATTGAGGCCGCCGCAACAAAAAACAAGAAAATTGTATTTGGTGACGATGAGGATGTGGAAGATGAACCAGTAGAGGAAGAAGGTGAACCTGAGAATGATGATAACGAGGAAGAGAGTGACGACGATGATGATGACGCTATCGAAGAAGTGACAGGTTCCAAGGCACGAGAAGATATTCTGGAACAATTGAATGTGGAAGAAAAGTTGGCAACGAAATCGAAAAAGAAGCGCAAAAAGCGAGAACGAAAGCAAGTTGAAGACGAAGAGGGTGAAAGTGACGACGAGTTTGACGAAGCCTTCTTTGCAGAACTGGAAGCGGCAAAGGCAGAAGAGCAAAGAGAACTGGCAAAGACCAAACGAAAGGGAAAGCATACTACCTTTGTTGTATCTCACGACGAGGACGACATGGACGATACTCCCAGAGAGGTGGATGACAATATACAAGTAGTCGTGCTCAAGAATCCACTACAGGATTCTACGGCAAATGCCATTGCTGCTGTCCCTACCAACAAACTATCCCAGCAAGCCACCATGTTTTCTCGAGGTTCCCTTGACAATGGATCCGACGGAGTGGCGCGCGGTGCCACTGGCAAGAAGCGAAAGTGGCAAGTGGACAACACGTGGAAGCGATCGAAGAAAATGAAGAATATGGTCCGAGTGAATCGTGGGGGCAGAGGCGGCAAAAACAAGAGCTTGGCTCCCACTATTTTTGTCACGAAGTGATAGCTGATAGCTAGTTACCATAATATGTCTAGAAATCCATCTTTTCCATCATTAGAGTGCCGTCCCAACTTTCCTTAGGAGTTCTACTTCACCAACTGTTCCCCATTGGTTCAGTGCAATACCGAATCGCCGACTCTTTGTGTGGTATCATCGTGACCCTCCTGTGGTTTCAGAATTTCCTTCCACGTGGAAGCCCATGCAAGCAAGACCGGTCACGCGATTCACGATAGCCGACGTAATCGATCTCTTGAGAAAAAAACGAAAGACCGCATTGGAACGAGATCGATCAATTGAAGTTCCAGTGCCTTCCAAACCTTTCATGATGAACAGTCTCCGTCGAGTGGCTCTTGTCTCATTGGTCTACTTCGCGGCTAGTGTTGGTGCTCAGCAAGAAGCTAGAAACGACATTAATTCCTGGTCGCCAGGAAAACTTCGCAGTCGGGGTGATGAAGCTTTGTCGCTACGCAATTATGACGAAGCCTTACAGCTGATTCGCAAAGCTGCCGAATTGGAACCAGAGAATGGAATCAACCATTTCAAACTCTTTCGCGTTCAATCTCGTATGCGCAAGCATAGCGACGCTTTGGGGTCCATCACCAAGGCCGTCGAGTTGGATCCCTCCAACAACAGTTATCGCAAATCGAAGGCCAAGTTGTTGAAACAGTTGGGTCAGTGCGACATTGCCGTGAACGAATTGAAGTCAATTCAAGGGGATGATTCAGAAGAGTACACTAAGCTCTATGAGGAAGCATCGCAGTGCGAGAGTGATATTCTCCATGCTGGACACGCCATGTTGAACGAGGACTACTATTCCGCGTCTCAATATTACCAACGTGCCATTAGTCAAGTGGAACAGGCTTCTGATCTCTTGTTTCTAAAGGCAGAAGCGCTTTACCACCATGGTGACTACTACGGTGTCATTAGCGATACTGGCCAAGTCCTCAAACAACATGCACAAAACCTGGAGGCATACCGACTACGTGGCGATGCCTATGGCCGATTGGGAGAACACGATTCGGCGATACAGCACTACCGTGAGGCACTCAAGTTTGATCCAGAACACAAGGGGTGCAAAGAGGGGCACAAGTTTATCAAAAAGATTGAAAAGAAGCGCAAAAAGGGAGATGATGCCTACGACAACGGCAACTTTTCAGACGCCATTCAATTTTATACTCAGGCCATGGAAATTGATCCTACCCATACTGCATTCAATCGACCCACTCAATTGAAAATTGTCAAGGCATATTCTAGATTAGGAAATCATCAAAAGGCCTTGGCAGCAGCTTCCAAACACATCGAGGAAGAGGAATCATTGGAAGGTCTGTGGGCTCTTGGAGATGCTCAAACACATGCCGAACAATTCGAGGATGCAGTCCGAACCTTCAGTCAGGCTTATGAAAATGCACCCGATGGTGAAATGAAGCAACAAGCGAAGAAGAAGGTCCAGGAAGCCCAAGTGGCTCTGAAACAAAGCAAAGAGAAGAATTACTACAAGATTCTGGGTCTTCCACGCACGGCTTCCAAAAAGGAAATCAAATCTGCCTACCGCAAGCTCGCCTTGAAATGGCATCCTGATAAGAACCCTGATAATCTCGAAGAAGCTGAGAAGATGTTTGCCGACATTGGAGAAGCATACGAAGTTCTGTCGGATGACGAAATGAAGGCCAAGTACGACCGAGGTGAAGACGTCTTTGATAACCAAGGCGGTGGTGGTGGTGGCGGAGGTCATCACTTTGATCCTCGCATGTTCTTCAACCAACAGTTCCATGGTGGAGGCGGTGGACAACGTCGTGGCGGGGGTGGACAACAGTTCCATTTCAAGATGGGTTAATTGTTCAAATAATAGAAAACCAATCACAAAACAAGGTACTAGGCATCGATTCTTTGTTACAGTTTTCAAATGCATTATGACTGTGTTTCATGAATCTCTAGTATATGGTATTGCAAGCATTTTTCACCATCGTATGATCAATTGAAACCACAAGATGGGTCATTCATGCCACCGAAACAGCACACCATTCGATCCAGGTTATATTGCTTAATATATTGTTATTATCGGAACCATGAGGGAATTTCTTCTTGCGAGTCTTCCAAGGCTTCCCTCATGACTTGTTTCACCTCGTCCAAGCATCGGTGTGAGGTGAGTTGACGAGTGCCATTGATTACTTCTTTGCCCTCCGCATCAATGATGCGAAGGTACCCCCATCAGCTATTGGCTAGTCCAGCACCCCAATCTTTCATGGCACGATTGCGCCGAGAATCGCCCCGGTCCCACGTATTGAAGGCGCAAGGAACAAAGAGTTCTTCGGCAGCTCGTTTGACAATGGGATCTGCAAAGATTCTCCCGGCGTCCTTGCACCCTTGTCACCCGGACCACTCTACAAAGTTGGCAAAGATGGTCTTTCCAGTCAATCTCGCAATATTAATGGCGGCGTCAAAGTCGCCATGTTTGCCGTCGGCAGTCAGATTGACGTAGTCGATAGTGCCGAGCTCCACATGCTGTTTTGGTGGGGGTTGCCATTGTGGATTAGGATTGTCCCTGACACTTCCTGCCAAGCCTTCTGCTACTGCGCTCTTCTGTTTTAGTTTTGCAAAGACTCCCATGGTAGTAGATTATGAGAACGGGTTTTGCATCGTGGTGTTTCGTCAATCGATCATGGGAGAACGAGTTGATTGATGCTTGGGCAGAATTCAAATTTTCAAAACGCGACTCAATCAAATCGGGTCTGATGTTGAGGGGATGCACCCAAAGTAAGGGGGACTATCGACAGATCATCCCCGCGTGAATGAATCGTCGAAAGATATTTTTAAAAAGTGATTGAAACACCCATCTAATCAATCAATGCTATCCAATGGTGCTTCGAACGGCATCTCGTTTGGTGGTTTCCTTTGCGATCACTTCAAGGAACGCAAGAAGTCTCACTACTGGTAGTACAGTCGTTTCCAGACTCAATGACAGTTCATTGCTCGACTGGAACAAAGAATCATCTTCATCATTGACCAGTTTCCCAGTGTTTGATCCGGCTTCTCCTGGCACAGTCCTTGCCGAGGTCCAAAGCGTAGATGCTGCAGAAGCGATCGAAAAATCCAAAGATGCACTGGCTTCATGGAGGGATGACACAACTGCCTCCTTTCGCTCGACTTGCCTGTCTGAATGGAGTAGACTTGTCAAATCGAACAGTGAAGATCTTGCCATCATCATGACCTTGGAGTCAGGCAAACCCTTGGCAGAATCCAAGGGAGAAGTCAATTATGCGGCGACATTTCTAGATTACTACGCAGCGGAGGCCATTCGCCCTACCGGTGCGGGTGGGGGGTTCATGGTGCCGTCTCCCTTTGCCACACCGTCTGGTGGTCCAAAAGGAAACGTGCTGGCCGTGCAACAAGCAGTGGGGGTCTGTGCCCTTATTGCACCTTGGAACTTTCCAATGGCTATGATTACTAGAAAGGCTGGACCGGCGTTGGCGGCGGGATGTACTGCCATTGTGAAACCCAGTGAATTGACGCCCCTGAGTGCTATTGCCTTGGATAATTTAGCAAAACAAGCTGGTATTCCCTCCGATGTCTTTCAAGTTGTGTAAGTTACATACATGGAATGAGACTATGGGAATGCGTGTATAGAGAATCTAACTTATGTTTTGGGATGCAACGCAGCACTGTAAGTACTGAAGAAACGCCAAGTGTGGGGGAACTTTTGGCAACAAGTCCACACATTCAAAAGCTTAGTTTCACAGGTTCTACGAGGGTGGGAAAGCTTCTTATGAAACAGAGCAGTGAGACTGTCAAGCGCTTATCTTTAGAGCTAGGTGGTAACGCTCCCTTTGTTGTATTTGAGGACGCAGATATCGACCAAGCGGTGACTGCCGCAATGGCCAGCAAGTTTCGAAATGCGGGACAAACTTGTGTCTGCGCCGATCGTTTCTTGGTTCACTCTTCCGTTCATGACATCTTTGTAGAAAAGCTGGTGGAAAAGACAAAAGCAATTAAAGTTGGTGCGGGGATAGAAGCTGACACCACCATGGGTCCTCTGATTACTCTGCAAGCAGCCGATTCGGTGTTGGAGAAAGTTCGAGCCGCTATTGAAGAAGGGGCTACTTGTGAACTTGGAGGGAACCGCCTCGATGGTCAGTTTTTCGAGCCAACCATACTAACACATGTTTCAACTGAAAGTGACATATGGAAGACGGAAAGCTTTGGGCCCGTGGTTCCTGTCGTCAAGTTTGAGACGGAAGAGGAAGCTTTGACGATTGCGAATGACTCCTCTGTCGGCTTGGCATCCTACTTTTGCACAGAAAATCTTTCAAGAGTCTTTCGGTTTTCCAACAGGTAAGCAAGCCTGCATGATGAATGTGATGATTTCGTCTTCAAACCTGAACTCTCACTCTCTGCTTTTAGCCTCGAAGCTGGCCTCGTTGGAGTTAACGAAGGGATTATTAGTTCCTGTGTCGCGCCATTCGGAGGCGTCAAAGAAAGTGGCCTGGGTAGAGAAGGCAGTCACTTAGGCCTGGCTGAGTATCTGGAAACAAAATATGTCTTCATTAATTCCTAGGTCAAAGTTTGGTGCCGTACTCTGTAGGTAACGGTATTAGACTTGGACTATTTATATTATTACACTCATACTTGAAACAGATTAGTCGAGCGAGTGAGTCAGTCGTCAAATAAAAAAATTATGAACGTTGCAAAACCCAAAGAACGGTCACGCGCGCGTGCAATGCTATAAAAAAACGGTCACAAAACTCGAAACACACACCAAATCAAATTTCAGAACGCAATTGAACCGCACAAAGATCCTTCCAAATACCAGAATGGGGGAACTGGAAGAGGAAATGCCTTTTCCAGCTGGAGGCAAAGTGATATTTTCTGGTTTTATGAAACCTAGCGATTCTCATGAAGACAAGCCTATTGATTCTCATGAAGACACTCCAAATTCTCAGAAAACCGAGAAGACTCTCCCTGAGTCTGTTGTTTCAGATTCCAGTGACGAGGGAGTTGATATTCCTCATTTTTTGCAACCTCTCCTAGGTATGGACTTCATGCCCTTTGTACAGTCGACTGGTAGTCGCGGAACCATATCAAAGAATTCCCCTGAGCCATCACCGAAAGGAGAAGTTCTTCAACCGAATACATCAGCCATCGCCGTTGTGACCGATGAGCCTCGTGAGGAGCAGATAGCAGAAGAGGACCTGGATGGTTATGCCCAGGAGTATGCAGAAATTGTAAAGGCAGCCAAGAGAAAGAAAAAGAAGAAGAAACTGATTCGTCTCATCAGAAAAAGTCTTGGAGGCAAGAGTAAAGCATCATCCAAATCGGAGGAAGAAGATGTTGAACCATCGGAAGAAGTCAACCTCAGCATGTCCACTTGTGAATCGTTTAGTCTTCAAAGTTTGGATGGCGATTGCGATGATGCTAGTGTCGTAACTTCAGAATTCCTGAACTCAAGCAACCTTGACACAAGCATTGACTGCAGCGTTTCGTCAACCACAAGCAAGAAGAATACTGGACGGAGCTTCTTCAAGAGAAAAGGGAAGAAATCGAAAGCAGCTTCAACCAATAATGAAACTTCGATTGCGGCCCATACTTCTGGTCACTCGGGTGCTGAAGGTACATTGAAGTGGCTCAAGACCCAGCAAAGTTGTATGCAAAATCACCAATCTGAAATGAACCAAGTCCAGTCTGATATGCTAGCTCTTCAACAAAGGAGTAACGGAATTCAAAAGCGTATGTTCGCTGTGACAGATGAGATTGCAGCCTTGCAAAGTGCTTTACAGATGGCAGAAATGAAGTTGCGAAACGAATTGAACGATTTCGAAGCCACGAAAACGGAAATGACACGGTTGGAAAAGTCAGCCGAAATCGCTGCCAAGGCTGTTCTAGAATCGTTCAAAACAATTCAAAATGGTCCTCCTGGTGAATTCCAAAATATAGAGCCTCTAACGCCTTCTCACGCTGCTGATGCTGCCACTGCTCCAACTCCAAAGATTGGTAACTCTGACTCCACTCGTCAATTGGCATCTTTTCAAGAACCTCAACTGGACTATGAGATCAAAGCAGATGCATTCATGCGCGTACACGATCTGAACATCGAAAACAGCAACACAAGTGACAATCCTGGATTTCTTTATGTTGACGATAACCTGAAGCCCATCCTAGAAAATCTAGCAAAGCTTGGTCTGGATAATATCAGAGACGAATCGGAAAGATTCAAGGCCACACGTGACACCAAAAAGACGCTTTCAAAGTATGAGGAAAACGGCACTGCGACCAATTCTGTGCAAGGAAAAGATGTTCTTGTGTGGATGGGAGACTGCGGCCACAAAAACCACGGATGTAGGTGGCCAGTTGTCAAGGCAAGAGGCCTGATCCAAACGTCGCCAAAGGAGCTGACCGAGTTCATGTTGGATTCTTCGCGTATCAAGGAGTACAACGAAATGTCACAAGGACGAGATGACGTTGTCGTTTTTCAGCAAGATCTACACACCTCAGCTGAGGAAAGCGCGATTGGTCTTCCTGGGGCCATCAAAGTTTTGAGATCACGAAACAAGCCAAAACTTCTGCCGAAGGCCATCGAAATCACGTCCCTCATGTATGCGAAGCCTTTAGAGGATTGCCCAGGCGCATACATGATTGTAAATAGGTCAATATTTGACGATGCCGAAGGAACATTGATAAACGACAAGGAAAAAATTACGAGTGAAATGCTGCTTGGTGTGAATCTCATTCGCCCAGCAGAAGACGGCAAGACTGGCAATACTGTGAGTGAATTCAACTCAATTACTCATATTTACCCGCCTGGCGTTCCTGAGTTTTTGGCCAAAAAGGTAGCGCCAGCATCTGCAACAAACATGATCAAAGATATTCAGAAGCTTTTTGATTAGATCATCGGATGCAAACCGTTCTTGTGTCAGTAAAATAAAAGATACAGTATTCGTTATCCAACTAATTATTCTTCGCTTCTTGCCTAGTCTTCATCAAGGCCAATAGGCGAGAAAATTTCTTTAGCAGAATGGGTATCTCTTCTCTCATTAGAGTGCCGCATCCTCCCCAAACTAATCTGTCTGGGATATCTTGGACATCCTCTCCAACATACTTGACAATCTTGAAGCCAAACTGTTTGTAGTATTTCACCAGTCTCTTGTGTTGAAATTCTTCGTCGTCAATAGCCAAGAATTCGGCTATTGAGCACCCTTTTTCCAAGCCGTGCAGCATGCATCGATAGCCCAAAAGTAGCCCAATAGCTGCGCCGACACCACCAAAGTCAAAAGCTGACTCCCCTCCTTCTCTTCGAGCCTTCTCCACCATTGGTTTGTATACTTCCATCTTGTCCAAATGCAGAATTTTTCCTGCTGGTCGTACAAAACCTTCCACATAGCCCAAGACTATAGATTCATTGAATTGTGCCCGTGCCACGGCACGATAGCCAGGTCCAAAGGTGGAGAAGGAAACCACAAAGCCACATTGGTTTATTTGTTCTTCCAATTCCTCCATGGTCCATGGTACGGGAGGAGCTGCTGTTGTAACTGACGAGTCACTGCTGCTAGCCAAGTATGTATGCCTTTGAACAGAGCCATCAATTATTCTAGCTTGTTGATTGTGAATGTGATGGTAGGAGCTTTTTGCATGAGATGATACAGTTGTAGAACTCGGTGAAAAGCAGCTCGTGTTCTGCGCTTGAAAGATGAAACCCAAGAGAACTGCATAGAAAATTCTGCAAAGAGCCATCGATGATTGACTGATGGCGCGGACCATTTTGTTGCAGTGTTTCTAAGGTAGACTTGACGTCTACCGGTACTGTAGTTTGTTGCCATCAACATCGTCGTTGTTAAAATCGTCAGTCGGTCTTCATGGTCGGTTGAGTCAGTCAGTCAGTATATACTGTTGACGGACCGACGCGACACGATGACATCACCTAATCTTCACACCAACCTCAAGCACAAAAGGATCCCACGGCAATCATGGCAAGGACCACCATGGACAAGGGTGCGCATTGCAGGACTGGTTGTCGTGGTCTCCTTTCGCTATCATTATGGTCTTGGGTAGTTGAAGTTTGTGTTTTGCAGTCACTGCTGCAGCATACTGAAGCGTTTATTGTTTTTCCGTCAACAGGCCGGCGCAACTTCCAATGCAAAGCTTCAGCTGAATCGTCATCCACCTTTTCAACAAAATCACTACTGGGCCGCGAAGAGGCTCAATCTGTCATCAATAATGTATTAATGCCACAAGACCTATACGGTGATCGCATCGGACTGGGGCGAGATGCCCAAGGAATTGAAGCAGGAACCGCATTGGATCCAAACGATCCCCGACTGGCCATGACCTACGCCGAATTTCCATTGACAAGTCTGGACCAATTAATAGATTTGGGCTTGGAGCACATGCCTTCCAAATCGCAAGCGGCGTCTCGTCCCACCACCTGCATGATTGATCTTGGATCTGGTTGTGGTCGGATCGGCTTGTACCTTGCCATGACACGTAGAGGAGGAAATCCTGATGATAGTAGTAGCAGTAGTAGTAGCAAGGCTTGGAATTTACATGGAATCGAAATTTCAGACATTTTGCACCACGAAGCACTGGGGTATTGCCAAAAGGCTGTCGAACATGATTTGATCTATCCATCATTTTCATCTGCAAGCACCACTACCACGAACACCATGTCATCAGAGGAGGAGACGAATAATACTCTATCCTTGCACCTGGGACCTGCTGACAACTTTGGCAACCTTTTGAGCGAGGCAGACTGTATCTTTGCTTACTCTACTGTCTTTTCGGCCAAGGTCTTTTCGCCTGAATTACGAGCCTTGATGTTGGGTCCGGAATGGTCTCAGATGCTGGGTAAATTCTGCAAAGATGGCTGCGTGGCAATTACTACCGATCGAGCATTGGATCCAACGTATGGTTGGCAACTGGTGGACCGGTTGGATGTCGAGAATCGTGAAGTTTTTGGGACTACAGGATATGTTCATATCTTGAAGAAACAATAAATCGACTTTGTTTGATTGAAAAGGATGGCATGTTGGTTTTGCTATAGTGCTATGGTCATCTACTGTATGATGATTGATTGCAATACGAGGGTTGTATCATCAATGCAGGACTGATTGGCTATTTCTCCCTCACAAGGATACAAAATTCCTCCCAGTATGTTTTTGTTCACTTTTTAACTGAGAACGCGACGGCGTCTACATGGAACCACCAACTCTTTCGATGAATGTCTTTGATAATCATCTTGTTGTTCACGCACACACATGAGTGTCATGTATGTATTGGTGCCATTTACTTGTGTTGGTTGGCTTGGTAGATTTTCGCAAGGGCGACGATTGATTTGAATTCCTGCCAAAAAAGAGAAGTTGCTTGGAACCAGCGTGACTGCCCTAGCGTAGTAGATGGGATAAAATATGACCGAATCAATCATTGTATTCATCAATTCATTCATTCATCTGCTGATGCTGATTCATTCCACTTCCATCAACAACTTCCTTGTTCACTCCCACTACAACAACAACAACTAGAACAACTGCTACTGAGTAGTCATTCGATATTGCGATGCATCATGTTCTCGAAACCACGAGACAAATTGTTGAATCCCCTCTTCAATCGTCGTGTTTGGATTGTAACCTAGTAGATGCCTCGCCTTTGTTATGTCGGCATAGGTAACTGGGACATCACCCTGTTGCATGCCCACGGAATCAATGACAGCCTTGGCATTGACTTGTTCTTCCACTAATTCGACAAAATCCTGGAGCAAGACGGGTTGCCCATTTCCCAAATTCACCAGTTCGGGTTGGTGGGTATCCACAAAGAGAGAATTCACAACTCCTTGGACAATATCACCGACAAAGGTAAAATCTCGTTTGGATTGTCCGTGATTAAAGACTCGAATGGTTTGTTGATTGGAAATCTTGTCGGTAAAGATCCAGGGTGCCATGTCGGGACGACCATAGGGACCATAGACGGTGAAGAATCGCAACCCAATGCTATTGAGTTTGTATAGATTGAAATAGGTTTGGGCCAAGAGTTCGTCAGATCGTTTGGTGGCAGCATAGAGGGATGCGGGATCCTCGAGTCGATCCGACTCTTGGAATGGAATTTTGACATTGTTGCCATATACCGAAGAAGAAGATGCAAATACCAATGGCTCTTTGGTTAGACCGAGGGCCACCATGGTTTCCATCAAATGTACAAAGCAGTCGACATTGTTGTGTGTATATTCCAATGGATGTTTGAGACTATATCGCACTCCAGCTTGGGCCGCCAAATGTATGACTCTGGTAATGTTGTGGGCCTTTATCGTGTTTGTCAGAGTTTCTCGATCGCAAACGTCTCCCTTGACAAATGGTATATCGCGTTTTTCCAATTCTTGTATTCTCAAATCCTTGAGTTGGGTCGAGTAGTAGGGATTGACATTGTCGTATCCAATGGGGGTCATGCCCATTTGTTTCAATTCCAAAGCGGTATGCATGCCCACAAAGCCCGCCGCTCCCGTCACCAACACATTGTATTTGGGTCCATCTGGTCCCTTGAGCCATTGTATTCGTTCTTGTGTCATTTGTGGTATATTTGTATACGTTTCTTGTGGATGTAAGGATGATGATGTAGTACTACTACTACCATCCCGTGATGATACTTTCGACAATGATAATGGCAACGATAACGACGATGATGATGACGATGATGAAGTGACAAATCGCATGGTTTGAATCTTGCTGTTCAACATAGTATCGTGTAGCATTTCGCTGGCTTGAAAATTGCAAAAGACGATAAAGGTCCCAAAGAAGAGAGTGATGCGTTCAATGCAAAAATTATTGTTGCGTTTGTTGTTGTTGTTGTTGGCCGATAGACTGGCGACAGAAGACGACCTTCCCAATAAAGCAGAGGAGGATCGTTTGGCGGCTGATCCACTTCCTCTTGTTTTCTTTCCTCCATCGTCTCTTGATTCCAATGATAATTCGTTCAAAGAAGAGACTTGCAATGATTCCAAAGTGGCAACAGCAGTCTGTGATGTGGAGGTGCTGGCATGGCTGCTGATGCTGGTGCGCATTTTGGTTGGTGAAGCCATTTTCGATACTGACTCATTAGAACGCTCTAGCATTATTGTTGGCTAGAACTCAAGAGCTTGACGGAAGCAACCTTCGTTTGTGTGGTACCTGGTACCTGGTACTGTATCGCTTGCCTTTTTGATATGATTTTGTGGTTTGTTTGTGGTTACGTTTTACGTTTTCGATCCATGCGACCAAAATTTAAACCAAACCAATGCGAGTAGCTGGCTTGCGTGCGGCTAATGGAGAAAAAGAGAACTTGGGGCGTTCAACGTGTCGAAACTCGAAACCTGTCGCACGACTGGCAGAGAAACCTTTCTTCGATCTTCCAACGACCCTGTGTTTGAGAAAACAAAACAAAAAAACTGCAGCTCTCACGTCATACCTATTGAAACAAACAACAAACAATCCTACACTACAGGAACAAAACGACAACTTGCACATCACTGCTGATTTGGCACTTGTAACACCTCACAACAAGACATCTATCACATAAATATCCAACGGAAACCTTGATACAAATCGCTGCAACAAAAAACACAGTCACATCAACATGGTGGCTCAACGACGTCCCAAAGCACTAATGCTTGTCATTCCATCAATAATAATGGCGTCAATGATGATACTGGCATCCCTGCCTCTTTGCCACGCCATTTCACCGTCTGTGGATGCCTCCGTCTTGGAAGAACTCTTTCCCACCGGTGCCATTGACGATGCCCACTGCAGCAGCGAAGATTTGGAACGCGCCAACGATTCCCAATTGAACGCCATTTTTCGTGAGTTGCAACAAACCAACTTTTTCAAGACCTTTGTCGTCGACCTGGACGCCAAGTGTCCGTTGAGCAAATGGCGGAATGGAAAGGACAAGGAGGACGACGAAATGGAAGAGGAGGAAGAAGAGGAATTTGAATGTGATGGAGGTGCAGAGGAATTGGGATTGGACGAGGAAGCGGAACCTCTTTGTACCGTCCAAGGAGGGGCCGACGAGGGTGCCTTTGGGGGCTTTGGAGGTGGAAATGATCCCTTTGGATCCAGTGTCTTGCAAACCTTGGGAGAGCAAGGGTTTTCTTCGGAACCTCAACGAGAGACCTTTGATTGGAAGCAACAAACCGACATGGTCGTGGAAGGAGGGGGCACACCCTGTGACGACGATGAAAACCTACCCGAGACCTTTTGGATGGACATGTGTAGCAGTATTCAAGAGGGCAAGGGCACCAAAATTGTTGATTTGGAATTGAACCCAGAACGGAATACTGGCTACAATGGGACACATATTTGGAAATCCATCTATGAGGAGAATTGCATGACGACTCAGGATTCTTGCTTGGAAGAGCGAGTTCTGTATCGATTGCTCAGTGGACTCCACACGTCAACCACCATTTCGATTGCCAAGAACTACTATCCACCTTCCAAACGAAAGAATCGGACCGATTGGGAATCCAATCCACGATATTTCATGGAAAAGTTTCAGAACCATCCGGAATTCATTCGCAACATGCATTTCTCCTACGTGGTCATGCTCCGAGCCATCAAAAAGGCTTCGTCTTACCTCTATGATTACGACGTCCAATCCCGTAACATCGTGGACGACGAGGCGGCCAAAATTTTGTTGAAACGACTCATGGACACGGCCATTCTGAGATCCTGCTCCAGCGTCTTTTCCGCATTTGACGAATCACTCATGTTTCAACAACAGGGCATCAATCTTCAACAAAACTTCAAGGGAATCTTCCACAATGTCTCCAGTATTCTGGATTGTGTCCAATGTCAACAATGCAAACTTCATGGAAAAATGGCAATGATGGGGTATGGGACGGCACTAAAAATTCTATTCATGCCGACCGAACTCGTCAAGATGGAGCGCAACGAAGTAGTGGCATTGATCAATACTGCGGCGCGACTTTCCGAGAGTTTGGTCGAGGTCCGAGAGTTGACGACCAACTACTGGAAGACGGAACAACAACAAAAGGGCAAAAATAGACAATTGGCAGAACAACAGGCGTACGCAATGGATGGAGGACCTCCTGTGGAGAGTTTGGATATCATGGATCGAACAGTAGGAGCCATTGCCAATCTTGGACGACAAAATCTTATCAGCATGGCTCGTGAGAACGAACTAGTCATGCTGGCACTCTCCAAACATCCCGAATTATTGGTGCTGGGAAAACATTATGCAAGCGATCCAGAAAAGTTCCTTGCCTTGATTTCATCCATTGGGCTTGATTCCGACGATAGTAGTGAATCATCATTGGCATCCTCTCCCGATGCAATCGTTGTGGGTAGTGGATTGGCGGGTATGGCTGCGGCACTCAATATTTTGGATCGTGGCGGCACGGTCATCATGGTGGAGAAGGAACACCTGTTGGGCGGTAACTCCAACAAGGCTAGTTCTGGCATTAATGGCTGCTGCCCTCAGGGTGACTCGTACAATGACTCGATCGAGTCTTTCCGAAACGACACCATCAAATCTGCGGGAAGCGTTGCCGATTTGGATTTGATTGGAACACTGGTGGACAAGAGTGAACAAGCCGTCATGTGGCTCAAGGAACGGGCCAACGTCGACTTGTCACTTCTCGCTCAACTCGGAGGACACTCGCACAAACGAACGCACCGACCTAGCAATGGAATGGCTGGAGCTGAGATAATATATCACTTGCAAAAGGAGCTCCGTGCCTATGAAAAACAAGGAAAGATCAAGATTATGGTCGACACTCGTGTCAAACAACTTTTGATGGAGGGTGATACTGTGATTGGTGTTGCTTGTGAGTCCACCTTGGATGGAACAGCGGAGGACATTCGAGGTGACAATGTCATTCTGGCCACTGGTGGATTTGCATCCGATCGCTCCAAGGGATCGTACTTGGATCAGCATCGGTCTGAATTGATGTCCTTCCCAGCAACTGCTGGTGGCTTTTCCACCGGAGATGGAATCGCGTTGGCTACAGACCTCGGAGCAGCTACCAGAGATATGGACAAGATTCAAATTCATCCAACTGGATGGGTAAATCCTGAAGATCCATCCAACCCCACCAAGGTTCTTGCAGCAGAATTGATGCGCGGTGTCGGTGGAATGCTCTTTGACAAGAAAGGCAAACGGTTCTGCAATGAACTCGGAACACGTGCCTATGTTACAGACAAAATGCTAGAAGCTGACTCGCACTACCTCTCCACTGGGACTTGGAATCAAAACCACGAAGTCCCAACCTTTTTCTTGGTACTTTCGTCTTCTGCAGCGGAAGACGGCAAGAAACATGTCGATCTTTACTCTCACAAGGGCCTTTTGACCAAGGTTGAGGGTATCGATGCCCTCGCCAAAAAGATGAATGTTTGGAGTTCAACTCTTTCATATTCAATGAGGAGTTATCAACAGGCAGCCAGTAAGGGCTACGATGAATTCGGCAAGACATCATTCCGAGGAGTCCCAGATGCTGATTTGACAAAAGAAACCTTCTACGTGGGAACAGTGACCCCCGTACTTCACTACTGTATGGGTGGAATCAAGATTGATACCGAGGGGAATGTGATCAAGGAAGACGGCTCCATCATCAAAGGATTGCATGCTGCTGGCGAAGTTACTGGCGGTGTCCACGGAAACAACCGTCTTGGAGGAAACAGTCTCCTAGAGTGCACTGTCTTTGGTACCATTGTCGGTCAAAAGGTTCCTGTGAAAAAGGGAACTTCTCTAGTGAAACGGGCCACAACACAGAATGAGCAAAAGGGCGCGACTGTTGAATTACCGGAAATGACCATGGAAGAGCTGGCAAAGCATAACACTGAAGAGGATCTCTGGGTGGCCATCGATGGGGTTGTCTATGACTTCACTGAGTTCGCACATGAGCACCCAGCAGGATTCGCTTCCATCTATGATTTAGCTGGGAAGGATGGCTCGGAAGCCTTTGCGGCCGTTCACAACGCTGGACTGCTGGAAGACTTTGAAGAAGACAAGAAGGCGATACTGACGATCACATAATGTATGCTGCAACTTGTCCGGGACGGAATCTGATTGCCGTTCCATGGAGTCCAAGCGATCCGTTAAAAGATAGATTATACCCCTAGAATGTTTATGAACATAACCCTAGCTTTCTCGAACTGTAGCATGATCGACGCCCGAAGAAAACTGCACAGAAATTAGGAGGGCTGAGGATCCACTATAGATGGGCTGTCAAAATATTTTGAAAGTTGCGGTTTGACTTATGTAAGAAAGAAGCGTCATTACATAGGACGTACAATTGATTGACACAGAGTTATCCCTTTCTTTCTCCATCTATAGTATGATCGACGCCCTAGACTTGACTTCGGGCGTGATTGTGCCAGTGACGTGAATCAAAAATAGCAACCCTTCCTTGTGTAATGCGGATCTGCTTGTAGAAAACGCTGTCATGGATGGGCTGTCCTCGATCATTTCTCTAATGCACAGTTGCGAGTCAGAGGAAGGGCAATTGAGCTCAACGGCCACGGTGGCACCACGGCCAACCTTTAAAATATCGTCACGAAGATTTGGTGTATCTCTAGGATCGTAGAGGCTCTTCGTCATCTTGTACTTTGAGGAGTCCACACCGGTGAAACATGTCACACCTTTGAGCTCACGAACTGCACCTAAAACTCTATTGATGATACCGTGCTTGTTTGAGACAATCACCGCAGGCGCCAAAGTCTTTGATAGCCAAAAGTTGAGAATAATGTGCAGCTCCTTTTCTCCTAGAATCGTACCATATTTCTGCCGAAGTAGGTTGACGCTTTTACAACGCTTGAACTCAAACAATGCTTCGTTTGTCGGGTACAAGTTCAAGTTTGGACCGACCTGAAGTTCCAGTGATTGTGTTCCCACTTGCACACGCCATCGAGAGTCTACGTGCTTGACCATTGCCTGAATACTGCCGTTACAATCTATTGATGCGACTGGCACCAATTCGCCAATATATGCTGCAAGCATCCGCAAGTGCCTTACTATGGGTCTGGTGTCACCTGCATTTATCTGCATCGTCCCCTCGATGCAAGTAGTCACCTTTCGGTCGGTAATATGATTATTGACACAATTCTGAAGGTAGGCTTGGGCAAACGCCATTCGATCGGCACCTGAGACCGCCACTATTTCATGAGCTGAAAGATTATTGAACAAGGGCAGACGCTTCATGGCTTCCAGACATTCTGGATCCAGAATATAGTTGGAGGTAAATAGCGTCACCAGAGAAGCATCATTTTGAATACCTCGCTTTTCAGAATTTCTCGGCACCTTCGATTGCTTGTTGTAATCTCCTGTCCGTCCTCCAAATCGTTGGCTAATCAGTTTGGCGACTTGCAACTGATTCGGATCTGCTGCCGGTTCATTGTTGGGCATTTCTTCTAGATTGACAACTACCAGACCAGGTTTACTTTGTCCCATTGTCATCCGTCTACCTTGAATGATGCTCATCACAGAAAGGTCATTGTTGTTTGGTCGTAGCTCTAGCTCCAACTCGAGTGTTTCGTGTTTCTGAAACGATTGGACTTAGGGATGACTGACCAAGGTATCGGCAACCACCGCTTTCCAACGTACCTTGTTCAGATTTTGTTTGACAAACCGGACCAACATTTCTGAGTCTGCAAACCTTTCGATGGTTGCCTCCAAGGCCGAAGGAAAGTTGCGGACTAAAGAAGATTTGCCGGAACCAGCCTTACCGTACAAGTAAAGCGAAAGGGGAGCAGTGGGAGCAAAGTGGGCATGCCTGCACGTAGAATGAAGCGCAAAATATATGAGAGGAGATCATAGTGTAGGAGTCGGAGTTGGCCGGGCTTACATTTGTAATAGAGGCAGGGAAATGCTTCCAGTCAGTCCAGAACGAAAGAAATTGGCCAAGTCATTGTGAAGCATTCGTTTCAGGGCTAATGTTGCATAATAGCCTTGGTTCAGCATCTGAGACCAAAAGAAGTCCATCATCGTTTCGACAATTGTACCGGGGCCTTTCGTCAAGGCCACGTGTAAGCTTGGAAGGAACAAGAAATGTGGCGGTTTCTTGTGGTCAAGTTCTGCATCATAAAGATATATGGCAATACGTTCATATTTGCTGACAGAAGGGCTTGCCTTGAAGACCATATTGTCAATGGAAGACTGGTGTTGGGATTGAAAAAGTGTGACCAATGCATTGGATAGCGTCGATGTCCTAGAACAGATCCGTTGATATTCATGTTCAAGAACTTCGATCCGGTGTTGCTGTGGATGGGCGTTGTGTATTTCTTGAAGAAAGGTTGGGATTCTGGAAGGTATGGACGCTGATATTTCCTCCATACGCTTTCGCCTTTCATCTTCGATGCCCTCGCGAGTACAAGTAGGTTTTTTAGATAAGAGTAGAAGCCCACAAAGCAACTTTTCTTCTTCACGAACTATCTCTTCGAGTTGATCTCCATCTTTGCGAGAGACTTGTCGCATACGTTGACAGAACAAGAACAAACTGTAGAGGTTTCGAAGATACATTTTATACACTTTCTCCATCTCTTCTTGATGTGGATGAAGAGCAAACATGGCAACCAGGAATATTCTTCCGACGGTAGAGCTGTCACCATTCATATCCGTCTTGTTGACGTCTTCGAGAGCAAAGGAATCCTTGTACACGGAGATTCCTTGACGTGGAGATGAAATGAGGGAAGTTCGAAAACCATGGTTTACAAAGATGGTGCTCCATTTAGAAATGTTGTTCCGAAGCTGGCCTGATTGAAGCAGCGATTTTGGAAGCGATGATGGGTTGATTTGCATTGGCATATCTTGTGGTGTTTGTGGCGTAGTGCCATTCAAAAGGAGCTCCTGGAAAAGGCGAAACATCGACCAATCGTCTTCACTTTGTGTCTCTCCATCGTGTGAAGAAGTCTCCATTCTTTGCCGTTTGGAGGGCGATGGCCTATTGTTGGACGATTGCATTGTTGCATTATTGTTATCATACTGTACAGTACGTTTTGTATTTTCTCTTCTGACCATAGTCGGACGCACGAACCTTTGTGTCCGATAAAGAAATAAGTAACGGACGCAAACTCCAAAGCACGTGCAAAACCAAAACCTCCAACCACAACCATCACGTCATTCACATCTTCCTCTGCTGAACATTCTTCACGGAAAAATCACAATTTTCAATACAAGCGAACGCATTCTCTAGTCGAGTACAATGTCGGGTTCACCTCGTAGATCAAAACAGCACAAGCCTTGCAAATCGATTGCCGTATTGGGAACCATGTCGGATGCTGGCAAAAGCATCATTACAGCTGGGATTTGCCGTGTCTTTTCCAATCATGGTGTCCGTGTGGCACCATTCAAGGGCCAAAACATGTCGAATAATGCTGCTCCAGCTCTCATTCCGGAAAGAGATCGACGCGAACCACTCTACAAGGCTTTTGAACAAGTCATAAGCAAAAAGAAGGCTGGAAGCAAGAGCAAGAAAGGTGAAGGTTCTTCCTCCTCTTCTTTGAATGCTTCCAAGAGTGAAGAACAAGGATATGGTGAAATCGGTACAGCACAGGCATTGCAAGCGGAAGCTTGCCGATTGGTTCCTCGCGTCGAAATGAACCCCCTCTTGCTCAAATCCGGAGGCAAAAATGAAAAGGGAGAATACATGTGCAGTGTGGTCGTCTTGGGCAAACAAATTGTCCGAGAGACTTATGGCGACCTGGGCAAGAGAACGGGACCAATGAAAGAAATGATTCTCCAATCGCATCGAGCTTTGGCGCAAGCCACGGATGCCAGTGTGATTGTCCTAGAGGGAGCAGGGAGCTGTACTGAATTAAACTTGGCGTCACGAGATGTGGTAAACCTTTCGTTGGTGAGAGCTTTAAAGTGTCGCTGGATACTAGTAGCCAACATTGATTGTGGGGGAGTGTTTGCGCAGATCGTAGGTACTAAAGCGTGTTTGTCCAAAGAAGATTGGGATGCCTGTGCTGGTGTTATCGTGAACAAGCTCCGAGGAGAAGCCAAGTATTTTGAACCCGGTCCATCCATATTGGAGAAAATGGTAAGCAAACCGATTTTTGTTGTCCCTTATCTTTACAACCTGAATCTTCCGGAAGAAGATGGTTTAGGTATTGAACGACGGCTGGCCTGGGAAACCAGCGGTACCGTACCCAACCCAACAGGACCAGACGCCAACAAAGACTACAAGAAACCAACCGTAGTTGTTGTCGCCTACCCACACATTGCCATTGCTGACGACTTGTGCCCGCTCGAAAACGATCCCCGATTTGAAGTTCAATGGCGGCGTCGTCGTATTCCGGCTCGTCCCTATCCAGACGTGACAGCCATCATCTTGCCCGGATCCCGATTGACACAACTCGATTTGAAATGGTTGCATGATTCGGGCTGGGCCAAATTCATTCAAAAGCATGCAGCGGCAGGTGGAGTCGTCTTGGGTATTTGTGGAGGATATCAAATGCTGGGATGGAGTGTCGATGATCCCCACAATGTAGAAAGCAGTCATAGCAGTGACAACAAGGATGTTGCGAAGAACACGTCACGCCCAGGAGTAGGACTCTTGCCGATCGAGACAACCTTGAAGCCTGCTGAATGTAAAATTGTCCGGCCGTTAAAGGGGAAGCTTCTCCCGTCCAACTTGCCGGTCAATGGCTTTGAATTGCACTGTGGTATCAGCAAAATCGTCCTAGGCAGTATTCCCACCAAACCCAAAGATACAGCTCCTCTGATGGAATTTGAAAATGGCCGACCTGAAGGCATGGTTCACGGCTTGAACCAAAATGTCAAGGGGACCTACATGCATGGCATTTTACGACAAGCCAAGGCCAGAGAAGAGTTGCTGGTCCCGCGAAAAGAAGACTATCAGAACTTGTTTGGTATCAACGAAAGCTCAACAGAAAGTATAAAGGTTGAGGATCCACTAGATAGGCTGGCAAAACATTTGGAAAGTTGTGGTTTGACTTATGACACATTACAAAGCATGCTTCAACCGCAAGAGGAAAAATCTAGAAAATCTACACCAGTTGAAGTATAGAAGTATCCATTTTCAAATAGAATAACTTCAAGTATTATTTAGATTTTCGAGGGTCACTCTAGGATAGACTTGCGTTAAACCACAGTATCCACCAGAGTTCACTGTCAGAACTTTGCCACCAGTGACGCCAAGTGTTCCTCCTACGTCATAAAAGTATTTCACAGGGGTACCATCAATTGATACTCTTGTTTTCGTTCCAAATCCATTCAATCCGAAGCCTGTGTCAGAATGGAATACGAAGGGCGTCCCGGTCAGATCAATCTGCGAGCCTCCCATAAGGGCATCGTCCCAGCAACAATCGTCTGGACCAGCGCAAAAGTTTGCTGAGCAATCCCATCCCCTAGGTTCATATTCCAATTTCCAAAGTGGATTGGTTTCCCAATCAAAACCTGCATATGGAGTTGCGCGAGTAGACGAGGCAAACGTCTGACTGAACCCCGGAAATGGGACTACTCCTGCGCAAGCATCAGAATAGCAAGCGTAACCATTAGTCAAGCATCCCTCATTACCTGGCCCATCCTTTGCGTACGTAGTTTGGGGGCCAAAGGATATAGGATAGATCAATTGGGATGGTGCTGAACTCGGTTGTTCGCTGGGCGACACACTCGGCAATTGAGATGGGGAGGTACTTGGCAAGTTGCTTGGTTTTGAGGATGGACTGCTGGAAGGTGACAATGAAAGACTGATACTGGGTTGCGCAGATGATACTTTCGTCGGAGGATTGGAAGCCGACACTGTCGGTTCCCCAGTATCCGCGATAGTATCCGCGACAGTATCTGCCACAGTATCAGCGACAGTATCCGCCACGGTATCAGCGACAGTATCCGCCACGGTATCAGCGACAGTATCCGCCACAGTATCAGCGACAGTAGGGCTGGGTGTTGCCTCCGAAGGGACCAAGGAAGGTTCTTGTGTAGTTGGTGCGGAGCTTGGAACTTCCGTCGGTCGTTCCGTGGTAGGGCCAACTACGGGAGCCATGGTTGGGCTACCTGTAGGAGTCTGCGATGGAATCATTGTGGCGGTTGGAACAGCTGATGGGCTTAGAGTGGGAGCATTTGTTGGATCCAACGAACCGATAGAAACCAGAAGGATTTGAAAGTAGGGTGGGCCCAACTCCAGAAGATCGATGATGGAACTTTTATCTGCATCAAAAGCATTTGCAATCAATGTTGTCACTTTCACGATAAGGCGGTCAATCTCGTCCTTCACAAAGACACTGAGATTGATAGAGACCCGAAAGCAAGCTGAACCACCCATCTCCTCCTTACATGGTTCGTCTGGATTGAATTCTACAGTAGAAATGGCATTGCCTATCACATATGCATTGGGATCGACAGTGCGAAGCCTTCGTCTTGTGGCACTTGGACACCTTGCCAAGGATGGTACAAGGTACTCTTGAATGGCCTTTTCCAGGTCTGGCACAAATACGTTCTCGAAATCAACATCGCTGGAAAATGCCACATCCATACCAACAGCAAAACTAAATTCAGTCATATCATCCTGGTTTTCAACGACCTCGCCATTTTTCATTGCCACGCAATCGGCATCAGAGGGAGGGTCGAACAAAAGAGCCACGGTAGGGGTGCTACTAGGGCTGGTAGTGCGAGCACCAATGGGAGAACTAGTTGCATCGACCACAGGCGAGGATGTGGCCTCATTCGCTGGATTTGCGGGTTCTAGAAGAGGACCACTCAAAATGGATTCTTCATCTGATGACTTGGTCAGCAAGTATGCAGCGACACCTCCACCTACCACGAGGATAAAGACCGCTACTGCACACATGATCTTGCGCTTTCGCTTTTTCGCGTCTTCCTTCTTCGTTGCGGCTTGTTCCTCAGCGGCCCGTTGAGTTTCCGCCATTTCGTCCATTCGCTGGCGCAGTTGTCTGTTCTCCTCCTCCTGCTTTCTGGCTGCTTCGTTTGCTTCCGCATCCACGTCGACAGCCATAGCTTCCACGGCGAACTCATCTTCATCATTCGTCGCTTTGGCTGGCGCTTCAGCATCGATGGTTGGAGTATCATATGCTTCGCCCAACTTTCCGCGTTCCTTGTCTTGTCTTGTTGTATCCTCTTGGACTTTGCGGTGAGACTTATGCGACGACGAAGCAACGCTCTCAACACCGGGCCTGGATGCTTGCTGACCACGTCTGCCTTTCTCTTTGGCTTTGGAATCCCTATCCTTCCTTACGCTACCTTGACGGGATGCCTTTCGCGAGGTTCGACGATCATCAGTTTCGCTAAAAGCACCTACTTGAGGAGAAGGTCTTGAGCTGCGTTCTCGAGAACTTCGTCTCCCGCGTGCCCGATCTTTGGCTTCCTTGTCTTCCTTTGCATGGCGGTCCCGGCGTTCGATTGTGCTGGCTCCCACACCAGAACTTCGGCTCGCCCGAGCCCTGTCCTTGGCTGCCTTATCTTCACGTGCGCGGCGACTTCTCCGCTCACTTCTTTCGAGACCATTGTCAGCTGAGTTGCCTCCTCCAGAACGACTTCGCCGCCTTCGAGCTCGATCTTTGGCTTCACGATCTTCACGATCACGTTGCTCTCTTCTTTCACTTTTGTTGTTCGGACTGCGTGCTCTCTCTTTCGTGCTGCGGCGACTGGGGCGCTCTTTGGAGACCTTGGGTCTTTCCGCTTTGACCTTTTCAGTATCCATCGTTGTTTGTTGCAAGTTCAAGTTGAAAGTGGGCTAAAAAAACATGGATTTTGGAAAGACAAAAAAACTCGGCACAAGATTTGTTCTTTCAGTATTTGTGAAAACTTCCGTACTTGCGCGTGTAAGTTACTGTACGTACACGTGAGAGTGACTCTTCTTCAAAAAAGGTGACACCTTCGAACCTGTCCTGTACCGGTACCGTTCCACCATGTACCGGGTGCTGGGACATCGATCTTCCGAAATGACTCAAACCGGAGGGATGAAAAATGAAATTAGGCCCAGAAGAATGATGACTATAAATTCAAAATGCGTCCAGCAGAGCTTTTTTATTTGCAAATCGGTATTGTATTCTCTTCTGAAAAACGTCGGGCAGATGTTCGTGTACAGAATTCGTACGTTCATTATTAGATTCACAGTTGTACCCGGCAACAGCACCTCCAATTTCTCTTGCACCTTCGGATAATGTTGTACGACTGCAGGGTTCATCACACAGCACCACACATCAAGAATTGGGCGATTTGGCAGTCCAGAAATCCATTTGTACTGAATTCAAATGCACGGGAGAAGAATGGGATACTCCGATGGGGACACGGGAAAAAGCAATGTAATGCAAGTTGCACATAATTTCAGATTGCATCCTTAATTTGCACAAGTAGTATTCACATATTTGTGCTCAGTGACTCAGACTCTATTCACTCCAATATCAGAAATACGTGTGTTTGCAGCCTTGTTTGTGGTTGGTGGGAATAATTGCCAAGCTGCCGCAACGGGTTGCACAACAAATGAAGTCACCACTCCATTCTCATTTCTTACCACCAATTTTGGCTTTGCATCTACGCATGCACAGACTTCGACCCCGGATCCTTTCATACCTTCAACAGTTGGCTCGAGCCAAAGCGAATTGCTGCTGCAATGGAATCCTGAGACAAAGGAATGGTTGACGACATAAAATACTACAGTCATTCGCTTTGCATGACAGCAAATCGGGGAAATCAAGCCTTCTTTTTCCTCTGGTGGCTCATCTTTTCTTCTCCCATTGCATTGAGCTATTGTTTGATGGATCGTTGGTCAATCATATTCGATATCCGATGTCAAAGTTTAACGAAACATGGAGACGTCGTGCATTGTACCGCTATACAAACTTTCGAAATGTGCAGAGATTTGCTCCGGTCTTCGTCTTTCTGAGTTTGATACGGCAGCTTTTCTGGAGATAATCGCTTCTTTCATGGAAGAATACCCTAACTTTGATTTTCATGAGGAAGATGCTCACTGTTTTCACAATCTTGATTTGAATTACAAGGACCGCTGTATTATCAAAACCTATCGTTGTATCGATTCGCCTAATACTCGTAACTTAAATCTTCGTGGTAGTGGAGATATTAAATAGTAGTTTCCTTCTGTTGCTATTAAAAAATGCCCCTTCTGTAAACCTGGTAAAATGCTGTCGAGAGGCCCCCAGTATGTCACCGACTAGGGCTACTATGGCGGCTTACTCCCATAGCCATTGTTTGCCTGTCCTCGTGGTGCATGATGTTCAATGTGAAATGCAGCCTCCTCCAGCGAGCAGAATGCGGGGATACGTTGCCAGTTTCACAACATTCAATACAATATGACATGCAGTCGAGCAATCAAAGCGACAGCGCGAGACCACCCCATTCAATCCTTTTCCTTCGCAAAGTATTTCGTCTGAGAACACAATACAAATGCTTACTTCATCCAGTTCTTCTGTTGGTCCTAGACGCATATGCATTTTCCAGATTTCGACGATCGACTGAAGAAAATTCGTCCCATCTCTACATCACACTTTGTGGCTCCAGACCCAGTCTAGATACTTTCTGACTGGACGAGCATGAAAACACTCGACAAATCTCGCTTGAATTAACGAATGAACGAATCGGTGACATAATGTGGATTCTTAAAGTTGCAGAGTGGGGTATTAGTCACTAGCACCAAGGACCCGTACACGTATATTGGCCCGTCAAGGCAACTTCAATAGATCGTTTGACAACCACCAGAATATTCAACACCAAATCCAGTCCAAAAATGGCCACAAATGGCAAAAATATGAGATTGGCTGGCTTGGAGAAGACTCCTCCTTTTTCGTCATCATCCTCCGATGATCCCTTGTTCCTGTTGGATACCTTCTTGTTTGCACTAGAGGTTGTTTTGGATTTCTTGTATGCTGTCAGAACTGTTCGTGTTTTCAATATGGAGTTTGCACTGGATGTAGTTGCATGCAATGGGGCAAAGGCCTCTGAACAATGGGCCAGAGTAAGAATGAATATAAACAAGGGAAGCATAGGTTTCATGATTGCTTGTTTGGTGGGATTTGTCTGTTTAGGATGGGAGGGTCGAAGTCCTGGTTATCATTTCATTTTGCATCGCATTATTTATATTTTAAATATTTATGATAGGATGAGAGGTATCCGATTCCTGCGACTAAATACTCCATTCCGCCTAGTCGAACGGATGAATGTTTCACTTGAAACTGCGACATCACATTTTGTCCCATTCACAAAATAACCAAAACTCCAGCACCTAAGGCAGCAGGGTCTCCAACAAAGGCAATTCACGACGACGAAGAAGAACTTAAAGCAAGGATACGATGATAGAATCTTCGTCAGTCGTCCAAGACATGAAGAAGCTACTTGCAGCGAGTCGCAAGAAGAAAGATGATTCGTTGAATCCAAATGATCTTGCTGGATTCATTCCGCTCCACCAGCAATCGTTCCCAATGGGAAGCAAACCAAATCATAGCTCTTCCATGCCTTCCAGTGAAGAAAATCATGCAAAAGCACTTGAGCTAGCAGCATCGATTGTGGCGGTGGCAGGCGGAGGAACTGAAGCTTCTGGAGAACTCGTTGCGAAGACTTTTTCTAACCTCAAACAGGAGCTAATGTTACCTTCTCAAAACAATCGATTGACTACATTATCCTTACTTACTTCGCCAGGGAACCCAACGCCGAAACTAGTCAATATACAAAATGGAAAAGAAAGCAAGAAGTTGCAGCCGAAAACAACAAAGAAACGATCTAGCAATGACGAAAACAAAAAGGCGAAGAAACGAAAACTCATCAAGGGGAAAAGTTCGACATTGGCTTTTTCCTCTAGTAACTTTACAACTGCGAGTTCACATCGATCGGGTGCTGAATTACTAGTAGCGGGTACAAAGGAATACAACAAGTCGTTGACCCAGGAACAAAAGGGCAATTGCAAAATCTTGGTGAAGGCGGATCGTTCGAGATTTCTGGCAAAAGAACATGCATTGACCGAGTCGCAATCCAATCCCAACACTCCCTCCTCTTTGATGTATCCAAAAGAATCCAATCCCCATATTCCAGTACCAGTTCGGACCCAAGACGGCGACTTCCGGGCACTTTCGGACCAAAAACGGTTGCTACGAGACATCAAAACATTGCCAAACGCTGGTCACAGCGTTGGCATTCGCCTCGATGAGTCCGCCACTCTTTCTTCCCGACAGCATGAGAAAACAAAAGTTGACTTTCTTCCTGCATGTTTTCATGCCCGGCCACCAGTCGATCCGCTTTGCACATTGCCCCATTGCGGAAGTTTGGATTTTGAACATGATGGAAATATTGGTAGCGATGGGAAGAGGGTACAAGAAACAAACCAGAAGCAAGGAAAACAGCAGAGGCCATTTCCTCTTCAAAAGAAAAGCTTTCCCACCTTTCACCAAGCCAACCCACACGATACTGCGAAGAATCTTTTGCACGAATTCTTGAATCAGTACGGGGTGTTTTGGCCTTTTCAATATTGGATCTTGCACCAAATGGAGTCGTCGCAAAACGCGAAAATCAATCCTGACTCAAGACAGCAACAAGGAGTATTACTTGACCGCAATCTGCCAATCTACATGTATTATCATGATCCATACCATCCCTTTCGCAAGTTCTTCCATCCATGCTCTTCTGCCTACTTGTCCGTGATGGAAAACTTGGCCGACAAGTTGGCTCGTCAAATCCACGTTCTGGAAGCATTTCGATCCTTGGCCCATGATGTTGCCTTCGCGTATCCATCCTTTCGCGATGGCTTGCATTATGTCCTCCAGCACGCCGACGCAAAAGCGTTTCAACCTTTGTTGGGTGTGCCTGAATTTCACTTGCTTTCGTCCTCTGAAGCGATATACTACGGCACCCGATCGTAGGTGAAAACCGCATTTCACTCGAGGGACTAACTTGCTTTTGTAGATCCGATTACCCAAAAGTTTGTTCTAGCAGAATCCAGTTTCTATACATTTTGATCTCGCTACCCTAACTAAATGTCTGTTTGAGTAGGTTGGTACCACCAATCATTATACAAATTGGTGACCGTGTGCGGGCGCAGGTGTTTCTGGACCCTGGTAGGGATTCATGTACGTCGATCGTCGATCTCCGATTGTCAATGTGCCGCACTCGGATCCAATTAGAATAGCACCAAAATTTTGCGGGCCTGCACGTTTTACTTGTTCATCCCACCACTTGTTGATGACCCTTCGGTCCTGTTGACTCAAACACTTCAATCGCACTGTTCCTGTACAGTCTATGAGTCCACTCTCGTCTACCATCGTGTCCTGCCTTCCAAAAAGCGTATTCTCGTCGCCAAGCTGCGAGGGGGGAAACGGTTGTTCTGGTTTTGCCCTTGGGTTTGCTCTCAGAACTGGTTGCAGGTATGCCAAGTCGTATGGATCGTGACCTCCAATATTTGTGTCGATCTCACGATCCTCGCTCATTACCGATGTAATCGTCGGGCTGAGAGTATCTTCAGAAGGAGACATATTCATACTGTAATCAGATTGTTCCTGCGCCTTTCTTTTTGCTTCACGCTCTTGCCCGATGGATATGTCCATTACAGTCGCTACTTCAAGTGGCAGCGTAGAACTGGTTGGGTCATAACGAGCTCGTGTGCTCCGTAGAAACAAGTAGGTCATAAACATGAGAGCAATTGTGGCATATGCCTCGTGTCGGGCATCCTTTAAAATGAATTGGCCAGTGATTGTCATCTGAGCAATGATCAATCCAAACACAAAACGCCTAAAGATCTTTGGCCAAAATTGACCTCCACTCTCAAAGACGCTCTCGTATACATACATGTGATGGTGTGTCCACATGATGCGCGAAAGAAGACAGAATATGGCACATGGGAACAGTACCAACGGCGCAATGACAGCAAATACAACTGAAATAACAACCACCAACATGTCTTGGGCCAAGATCTTGTGAAAAGGAAACCAGCCTGGATCATCAATAGCCCTACAGCCAAGAATGATGCTTCTTGCCTTTCGCAAGGTCATATTTGGTACCAAAAAGTATCTGATTATTGATTGAACAATCGAGACAGTTCGAACCAATTCAACCCCTAGCCCAAGGACAGACTTGATCGTCACAAACGTAATAAAAAATGATGATAAACGAGGCAGCGAATAGCCAAGCATCTCAAAAGCCGTTTCTGGGTTCTCGACAATAATAGCAATGGTATCGAACACCGAACCGGCAATCGTTGTCACCAAGAAAACGTTCAGGACCTGAAACAAGAAGTATCGCGAGAAAGACCGCATCTGAACCTCACTGAACGAAACGCATCCCTCCATTCTTCCAATGGCCATTAAAATGGGCGGCAAGGCCTGCTGCAATGAAACAATGCAAAGCGGTTGTACCATGGCAATTCCAGATGCAAAGAGGGCACTAGCCTTGTCTAGTTGTGCCAGCCTTGGCGAAATTGACACCAGAGCCGTTTCACTGACTAGCAGTGAAATCAATGCGATGGGAACAATGTAAAACGAGATGATGAGGATCACCAGAAAGTCTCCAATGATCGACCGAGTACGTGTAGCACCTTTGCTGATGTAAATATTGTCCCATAGAACGTCCCGTGGTTCGGGTGCTGTGCTCACTTGCATCGCCCCTGGCTTTGATGAGTGCATCGATTGGATAGCGATAGTAGCCGCGGTGTATGAACTCATAACAACGAAAGCTTTGTCCGTAACTTCATTGACATGCTCTTCGATGTATCCTGCTTTTTCGGTTGGACCGGCTGGGTTGATTTGTCTCCCAAAGAATGACTTTTCTTTCGATATTTGTCGTGAATATCGTCTAATCGCAGTTTTTGCCTTAGCTCTCGGTTTTCCGTTCAGTGTCGGTGGCTCATCGACCTCTAGTGACGGCTTGCTTTTGGGAACCGTGCTTGGGCTTCTGGATCGTAGCTGTGGGTTCTCTTCTTTTCCAGAAATTGTCTCCATCTGCATACCACCATCAGCTTCTGACAACTGATAATCAACATCCTGGTCCTCCTGTTGAGATGTCCCTCCCTTCAGGCCCAATACCCGTCGTTGATTAGCATCTTCAGCCGACACAAAAGGAGCTGCAAGAATGTAGTCAATATCTTGCTTTCCTTCTCCGGCCTCCATGTGATCCATCTTTGACATTATTCGCCTACGCCGGCGCTGCTCCATCTCCACTTCACTATTCAATTCTTCCAATTGTGAGTACATAGCTGCCAGCCTTTCTTGTGCACTTTCGACGATGCCCAACTCTTCCAAGCTGAATAGTTTGTTGTAGGCTTGCGCCGTGGACCATTGGGAGCGCTGGAAAAGCTTCTTTTTCTCCGTCCGACAGAGTATCAGGACCTCTTTTTCTATGTTTGCTAGCAAGGCTGTTCGCTGCGAAACAAGAGTTTCCAGTTTGATTAGATTTTGACACATGAATACACTCTTTACGGCGTCAGGATAGACATGTCGGAAGTAACTTGTGATCTTGCTTGACGATCTCAAGTGTCTGGGAATGTTTGTGACCAAGACTGTTCGGAGATGGGGCTCCCGTGAAAGAAGATATGTATGGCGAATGCTGTTATACGTTTCGTATTCGGCCAACAGTTCTCTAACAACAATACCAGTCAAAAGATATGCTGCAAAGCAATGAGCCCATAATCGTGGACTTCCGGAACGAATGTTTGCCATTGAGAATCGCATGAAGTCAGTAAAGACTACGTCCTGGATGTAGTCTGTAATATCTTGGGCATTCGCACCACCATTTCCAGTGTAGTTCAATGGCAGTAGAACTGCAAAGCTGAAGATACTCATCTTCACAATACATCTCAGAGCCAGACGGTGAAAACGAAGGAAAATCAATGTATCAAACCCAATGCGCTTGATGATCTCTTCATCCGAGACAAAAAAACAAATTTTGATCTTAAGAATGCATCGTCAGTATCGATGAAATCAATGTACAAGCAACAATGAATCACTGTCAATCCTTACCCAAGAAAAGTACCCATCGATCGGAAGCGGTGGTGGTACAAGTTTTGGAAGTCGATGCCGCCTTGGACTAATGAATAAAGGACTTGTCTTTTGATTGTGGTAGAAACAACTCAAGAAAACCAGTGATATGCAGCCCATGATCATAAACAGAACCACACAGGACGCCATTGTCATTGTCGTTTCTCGTTCAAATTCAGCATCTTCTACATAACTCGGGAGAAAGCTCAACCTTCGGTGTGTTGCGTCGACCCCAGAGATGTTTCCAGCGGCATGATAGCTGAATTGCTCTTGATACAAAAAATTGTCCTCCAGTTCCTCTTCCATAGGACCCAAGAGCGTCACAATGACAGGCTCTACAGTTTGGAGGAACAATTGTTTCCGGAAATTGACAAACTGAACCATCCAATTTGGAGGAGTAAAATCTGGATCACCGGATCGAAAAGAATCCCAGGAGCTCGCGTCATCGTCCATCTCTGGTGTGGTCTCCAAGGATGATATTGCGTGGGCGGCAACTGAAGTTTGATGTTGGTGAATATTTGAAACAAAGCCTTCCTGGTTTTCATCGTCTGAAGTTGAGAGACGGCCGTTGCGCGCCAGCATCGCTACGTTTTATGGTACTTTGTAGCGCGAGCTGAGCTTCATATTTCTACACATCGACCCAGCAAACAACTTCGAAGAATATTGGAGTGATGGACAAACAGACATGACAGAATGCATTACCACCCAATTATTATCAGAATAAATTGGCTTACAACTTACGCTGCTGCTATTCTAAAACTAGTAAGAATTGTCTCTTGTCTTGCGCACATCAGTGTAGATTCTGGTGCTGATGGACATGGACATCATTTCTTGAAGCAAAAGCTTACAAGCATATGGGATTTCAATCTGACAAATCTTGGTAGGGCGCCCAACACATTCGGGTGAGCGACACTCATAAGTCATCTTCTTCAAGTTGGATTGTGCCGTGAGGCCGCAGGTCTCGCAAATATGAATTCTGTATTGATCAGAGTTGCAGAAGAATCGATCTCGGATGAAATTGGCACATCCGTGTGTAATCAAACAATCACGTTCCATCTCCCCCATACGCAATCCACCATCTCGGGATCGACCTTCCAAAGGCTGACGGGTCAACATGGCAACAGGACCACGGGCTCGCGAGTGAACCTTATCATCGACTAAATGCTTCAAACGCTGGTAGAAGGTTGGACCGATAAAGACTCTGGCGTTCATGGCACGACCAGTGTGGCCTTGATACAAATGCTCGTTTCCGTGCTTTTGATATCCCATAGCATGCAACCGCGTACTGATATCTTCCACAGTAACGTCAGTAAATGGCGTAGCATCACCTTCGCATCCTTGGAAGACAACCACCTTTCCGAGCAAACACTCAATCAACTGCGCGATAGTCATACGAGATGGAATGGCGTGCGGATTGACAATAATATCGGGAACAATACCCTCCACAGTGAATGGCATATCTTCTTGACGGTACGTCATACCAATGGTACCCTTTTGTCCGTGACGCGATGCAAACTTGTCACCAACTTGTGGGACACGAACGTTGCGAATCCGAACCTTTGTGAATCGGTACCCTTCCTTGGTAGTACTGATGAGCACATTGTCGACAATACCATTCTCGTTTGCCTTCATGGATGTACTGCAATCACGCTTGGTGTATCGCGATGGCATGTTCATACTGCTATCCATTGGAGCCGTCTTTCCAATCAGCACATCGTCACCAGATACACGAGTACCAGGAGCAACAAGGCCATCGTCATCGAGTTTGTCATATTCACCATGTTTCATTCCTCGAGTACTGTCGTGCGAAGGCTTTTCAAAGATTTCCGAATTCAAAGATCCGACGGTTCCCACAGAACTGGCCTTCTCTTGGTCAATGTAGCATCTGTAGTAGGAAGAACGGAACAAACCACGGTCAATAGCAGATTGATTCATAATGAGGGAATCTTCTTGGTTGTATCCAGTGTAGATTAGAATTCCGACAATCACATTCACTCCACTGGGTAACTCTCTGAAATGCAAAAACTCCATAGCTCGTGTAGTACACAGAGGCTTTTGTGGATAATGCAGCACGTGGGCCATTGTGTCCATCCGGACTTGGTAATTGGAAGCATAAATTCCCATAGCTTGCTTTCCCATGGCACTGCAGCGGTAAAAAAACGTTAGTGAGGAAAAGAGCTTAAAAGGGAGAAAGAACAACACCTCTGGCACATTGTAGTAGCTTACCTTTGGTAGACATTACGCGGAGATTGGTTGTGATCGGGAAAGGGAATAATGGAAGCACAGACGCCCAAAATCATGGAAGGGTGAATCTCGCAGTGCGTATAAGTGGAAGAGTACGATTCTTCAGAATCCAAATCCATGGGGTCCATGGCAATCATTGTCGTTTCTTCTTCTTCCGTATCAATGTATTCCACGATACCTTCATTCAAAAGATTGGACCATGTCAGTTTTGTTTCGCCATCAAATCCTTGAAGTTGAATGATATGCTGCTTCTTCAATATCAATTGCTGATCCTGCACAATGAAGAGAGGTCGACAGATACGACCAGCATCCGTGTAGATGCGGACTTCCTTGGCCGCAATATCTCTCACAATAGACACTTCCGCATCGATATCTACCATTCGTCGGAGCGATCGGAAGGTATCCACCAGCGCCTTTGGATCACGATGAATACCGACCCAGTTTCCGTTGACAAAAATCTTGCAGGTATTGGGTTCGGCAATGACCGATGGCAAAATGTCCGTCAAGTTTTCAGTAGAAAACTCTTCCAAAAATTCCATGACAGGAACCTGAGCGGTACCCGTCGTAATGTAGGCCATGAGGGCCAGGTTCTTGACCAGTCCGACAGCTTGTCCCTCGGGAGTCTCGGCAGGACACACCATACCCCAATGCGTGTTGTGTAATTGACGAGGCTTGGCCTGTTTACCTGTTCTAGCCAAGGGAGTATTACAACGTCTCAAATGGGATAGCGATGACGCATATGTCAAACGATTCAGCACCTGTGAAACACCTGCCTTTCCAGCATTCCCCTTGTCCCCCCCTGAAATGATAGAATGATGAATAATGGATTTGTGAGCATGTATGTTGCAACGTTGCAAAATCTACAATAATAACAATCTTGTTGCCAATTCGAGACTTACAATTTCCAGTCGCCAGACTGTATTTCAAACCATCCGTAATGTGGTTACTCTTGATAGCAGCACCCATGTTAAAGACCTTTCCTTCGTCCAAACACCGTTGCAAGTGTCGGCGGACATCTGTAGTAAGTTTTCGAAAGAGCAGACGAAACAAACCTCCCAACAGTGGACCAGCCAGATCCAAACGCTTCTTTCCAAAGTGATCACGATCATCTTCATCGGATCTTCCCAATTTACAAGCCAACAGTTTGTGAACTGCATATCCCATGAAGAATCCCTTTTTGGTTTCGCAATGCTCTTCCGTTCCCACATGCGGCAAGACTTCCTTTTGCAAAATGGCCGAAGCATATCGAATACGATCATTCTTGGTGACGTCTCTGGCCGACCCACGTCTTCCAATGAAATCCAAGGCGGCTTCTTGCCGTTGAATCACAAAGGCTTCTTCCAAAGATGGTCGAAAGAGATCCATCATTTCTCCATCCGTCAAATCGTACACCACGTGCTCAATAATGTCACGATCCGCCACATATCCCAACGCCCTAAAGATAATGACTACAGGAATGTCGGTTCGAATATACGGCAGAGTGGAACGAATTTGATTTCCCTCAATCGCTCCACGACCACCCTTTTGGTACATTTGAAGGTACAAGGTACTCACAGGTCGTGTTGAATTCTCCACCTGGGATCGGGTTTCAATGACCCAGGAAAACTTGGCCGGTTGCTTCTTCTTGAAGGCATAGACGTGGTTATTACTCAGACGTTCTTGAGCAATGATAACCTTTTCACTTCCATTAATGACAAAGTATCCACCTTGATCGTAAATGCATTCTCCCAAATCTCCCAAATCGGCATCGTCCTTATCGGACAAGACACAAAAGAGTGACCGCAGCATGATTGGAACATATCCCAGAAACTCTTTGCGGGCGTGTTCGGTCTGAAAGGGCTCTCCGAGATCTTCCGAGGGATCCGCAATATTGAGGTCGCGAGGGACGTGGTACTGATTTTGACTAATATCGACATACAGAGGGGCACTGTAGGTCATGTTGCGCAATCGTGCTTCGTGTGGAAACATATTGGTGACCGTTCCGTCCTTTTCGACAGTGGTCGGTTTGGACAGGTACACTTGACCGAAATGGATCTCAAAAACGTGTTTGGTAGCGCTCGCTGCTTGATCTTCAAACTTTTCTTCGTCGTATCCCACCATGTGTTGCATTTCAGGAGAAACTCGAATGTCGCCACTGTCGTCCACCAGCTCTTGCATTGTGTTTTGAATGAATTCATCAAAACTATCTAATTGTTGTCGCACGAGACCCTTTTCTTCGAAATAGGCGGAAATCACTGCCCAAGCATCTTCTTGTGTGACGGGCACATCGTCCATGTCCATTGCCGAGTCCTCTTGCATCTCTTGGACGCCCTCTTCCTGATAATCGCCTTCTCCATAGCCGTAATCCATCTTGCTTGCTTCCTTGCTTCTGTGTGTTGCTGTATTGCTGCGTGGGGAGCTTTGTGATATTCTTATTTAACTTGGTGCTGTGGCGGATGGTTTGTTCTATTAGTATATGGACGAAGGAATGATAACTTGTTGTTGCGTCGCTCCTGAAAAGACCCCCGATGTCATTTTCGCATCGATCGGAGGATTTCAAGTCTACTGTACGCGGTGAAGTACCAAGTCACGCGTACAAAATTTTGCGGCTGTGCCAAAGACGGACACTGTCCAGACGCCAATAGGTAATATTGGATTTGAAATTGTGAGAGTGACAAACAAACAAGATACCAATGGGACATTCCAGAAGGATATCTACATGCAACATGACTAGTATTTAGGTTTATATCCAAATCTTTGAATGCATTAGACATCTCACATAAAAGACTGACTCATTGGATGAATCAATCAATCAATCAATCAATCGTTCTCATACTAAAAGACTTCTTGCTTGCTTCTTCTTGTTCTCAATCCCAATTGTCCTCTGCAGTAGGAGTCTCAAGGATACCATCGTCTGCTGGAAAGTTCGCCTCTATTATACTATCGTCACCCTTGACTAGCATGATGGTAGGTGGCACCAAGGCAACATTTTTGAAATCATTTTCGGCGTCGTCCGCTTGCATTTGTTCCACCAACGTGCAAAAGTCCGCTACATTAACTTCTGGCTTGTATTCCTTGTTGGCTTGCTGACAAGATTCTAACAAATCTTGCAATGAAAAGTACATGGGAAACTTCTTTTGGCCATCTCGGCCAGTGACACGAAGGGATTGATCGACAAAGATTGGCACTTTGTCATAAGATGCGGAAAACAAGGAGGGGTCCACACCCTTGGGGTCTAGAATTTTTCGGGCGGCTTGAAGCTCCTTATAATCTGGAACGAATCGGTAGTCAATGTTCTTGGTAGCGTCGCCTTTGACGAGTTCAAACCAAACAAGGCCGAGCTGAAACTGGGTGACATCCCAAGCAGCAGCATCGACGCCTTCTTTTTGTCGCAAAGGGCCAAAGACTGCATTGGCCGTCTCGGGATTGAAGAAAAAGTAGGCAATTTGATTCTTGGTGCCCTCTTCATCGAGCAGAATCATACCTTCCTTATTGGATTGGGTTACGGCGTATACCGGAACATCATTCAAGATGCTAATCACTTGTTGCTTGGATAGTCCCGTGTTGGCAGAAAAGGCACTGGTCAAATAGGAGGAGCAGCTCAAGATGAGCGCAAAGATGAAGTAGACGTATTGAATTCTGCTACCAGTTTGGATGATGGGCATGGTTGTATTGTATAGTATTATTGTGTGGAATAAAATGGAAGATGATCTTGGTTTTGTTGATGAGTTGGAAGTTCAACTTGGAAACATGTGTCTGTCCTTCTCCCGTCATCAGCACGCTCGCCGAACTGGATACACTGTTCAAGATGGGTTGGTGGACTACCGTCTGATCTGAAGATCGCTCATCGCTCTTGTGTTCCAAGCCTAAGTTATAATATCAATCTATCATTATACAAACACCATACCAATGTAGGTCTATCATCCTCACCACCATACGATCTATCATTTATGCTGCTTTCTTCGTTTTAGGACTAAACAACGAAGTTATCGGTCGAAACCCCCAAAAGGTTGGATATTGTCGTTTGGCGTTCCAGTTGTTAATCAGAGTCGCCGAAAGAACGGCGATCACATTCCCCAATATCATCAGACCCGCTTGTCTCCACGACTGTCTCCCACTCGAAAAGACCAAAGCTGCTGCTCCTGCCGGAGGGTGCGTCACGCCAAATTTCACCATGACTCCGATGGCTAGAGCCGTAGCAAGACTTTGTCGCAGCCAAAGTTCCAATTCGTCTAATTGGCCAATCAAACACGCAATGATCAAGGCCAATGTTTGACCGACAATAGCATTTCGAGGTTGGGAGGCTGGGGCAGCTGTCAAACCGTACTGAAGAGTCATTAATGCTCCAAATGGTCTTAGGAGGAGAACAGATACAGAGATGAGATAGATAGTTACTTAGTCGAGGATTTCATGAATACCATGACAGAATGAGGATTGAATAACTTACGGGAGAACGATGGAGTATCCCGAACCATAGCCTTCAACTAGTGCCTTGTTTAGATTCGTCAGAATGGCTGGAAAACGATGGGTTAGACCATTGGAAGTAACGCGACCAACCACAAAAGCAAAATAACATATGAGCTTACCAAGCGTAACAAACGAGCCTGCAAACGTAAATAACGATGGCATCCAACCAAAAGTTGGTGGTGCCTTTACGTTTGCACCAAAGAATTTGGTCGCTTCGATTTTCAACTTTCCAATGAAATATCCTACAATCGTGTTGCAAGTTCCATCGACATCATGGATAAAGTCACCGATTACTTGTGAATTGTGTGAAAATTTTTCCTTTTCACTCTCTTCCTGGATGACCTCCTTGAGCGTCTTTCCCATTGCCTTGATAGCAGCTAGCCGCTTTCGCACCCGTCGCCAACTTGCAGAACAAGCAGCCTTTTTCCTATTCACCACCGCTAGTCTTGGCTTTCGAAGGGAATATGTAGAACCAATCACAGTCGTTGCCCGTTGCAGATACTCTTCATTGACGCTATTGGTCAGCTCTGAATGGTCGTCACTCTCACGAGCCATGTATATTACAATTCCTTGTGTTCCACCAATGTTGAATGGTACACCTGCTGCTAGTCCAAGTCCAGCTTTTGCTAGATATTGCAATCTTTCATTGTAAGGTTGGTCAGGATCGGCGGCTAAAGGCTTCACCTCGCACCAAGATAGGGATGGTGGAATAAGCTGGGCGCTTCTATCACTCATTCCAACTGCACTGGATCGTAGCCCACTCTGTCGACGATCCACCATGTTCCCGCTTTTTGATTGCGACCATAGGTAGCCAGGTAATCCAATGCCTGGAGCCAAAGGTGCGGCCGGGATGAACTCAGGAAGTGAAGCATCGGTCAACACAGAAAATTTGTGATCTTTGTCAGCGTAGTAATCCATCCACCAACCGCTCTCAGGTCGATACAGTTGGGTCGCCGCATCATTCAGAACCCACAGTTCCACAAGCTTTACTCCGTAGGCCCATCGACCAGCATCTTCGATGACTCGATGAAGAAATTCTCTATCGTAAGGTTCGTCAGTGCCCCTCTCGTCATCTTCGATATCTATGGCAACATGCTTGCTTGCAGTAGCCATGATCGGATCAATTGACTATCTTTGTAAAATGGTTTTTGATTATGATTTTGATGGTTGGCGACGTTTTTTCGTTGGTGTCAAAACTTCAACGAATCGTTGACTTGTTCGACTGATGGAACATCAGACTATTCATCTTGTAACCTGCTTGGTCAATGTACAAATAATTTTAGGAATAGCGCAGCCCCATATGGAGGCAAATATAATCTGGAAAAGTGCTCTCGTAGAAGTTATCCCCATCGTACCATTTACAGTGCTGCTTTCTTCTTTTAACAGCCCCAAACTACTGCAGCCAAGAACGAAGTAATCTCCGAACCCCCAAAAGGGTGGATACTGTCGTTTGGCGTTCCAGTTGATAATCAGAGTCGAAGACAGAACAGCAATCAAATCATTCCCCAATATCATTAGACCCGCTTGTCTCGACTACTGTCTCCCACTCGACAAGACCAAGGCTGCCGTTGGGGCACCACTCCTCCTGCCGCCTGTGGGTGCGTCACTCCAAACTTCACCATGAGTCCGATAGCAAGAGCAGTAGCAAGACTTTGTCACAGCCAAACTTCTATTTGGCTGATGGAGCAAGCTGGGTACGATTCCTTATTGTACCAAAGTTCCTTTTCGTACTACCAAAGCTGCAGCTTTGGTAGTACAGCTAGTAGTAGAGGTATCAATTAGGCTGCTCCTTTTGTTATTCACACCAATTTTGCTGGTTCGAGGCCCACCCTTATCAATGGCACTGGATCGTCGAAGCCCACTCTGTTCCCACCTTCTGCTTGCGACCAAAGGTAACCAGGCAAACCGATGCCTGGAGATGCAGGGGGTGGACTGGTGCCGGGATGAACTCGCGATGCGAAGGATCCGTAAAAACAGAGAACGCATTAAATTTGTCAGCGTAGTGATCCATCCACCAACCACGCTCAGGTGGATACAAATGGGTCGCTGCAACATTTAACGAATCGTGGACCGAGAACCGAGAACGTTTTTTACAATTTCCCAAATGGTATTTTTTAAAATATTTTGTTCCTTTTTACACAATAATAAAAATAGAAAATAAGTGCCAGCAAAATAGTACGTACTTTACATGGAGCCAGAAGTAAATACACGGCAAATGGACGTATGATACTACAAGCACCAGATTGTACGAAGAATTATTATATACTTTGCATGCATTGTTCCTCGGCCATCTAACATCCGTCGACATGATGGGTGCAGCGGTGGTTTCGGCGATACCTGCGAACTTGTTGCGCACAGCCCGCTTGCTGTCATACCTCAGCATAGTTGGAACTGTCGCGACAATTTTGTGGTTGGTTCTGTCGTTCTGTCTTATGTTTTCGAGGGAGACATCACGGAACGAATTGCAAAAACAATCCCAGATAGTGAACCACCCTATCATGAAGCCTTGTTGCGCCTTCCATCGACATTCGGACTATAGTTGCCTACTGCTTCTCAGGACATGCAATCGTTCCCAGTAACTCATGTTCGATGGAAAGACCTCAGGTTTTCGAAATTGTTGAGAATATCTCATTTTCGCTTGTGCGTGTGGCCTGCAGTTATTGGATTGACGGGCTATGCGCTTGACCAAGTGGCTTTATCTCTCGAAGAAAACTCGTCAGCAGAATTTGACAATCTTCACTTATCTGATGATCTTGATAGCCTTTTCCAAGTTGACTCTGACAACGTTCCCCCTGGCAATTGAAATGGAAGAAATCTTTGCTCTATACCTGTCTACAGAGAAGGGTGTCGAGGCAGTGCCCATCTTGATTAAGGTGGTCTTGCTCTTTCGACCTTACTAATGGCTGTCTACCTAGATTCCCTCTTTCACATTATTATGTTTCATGGTTGGCATGGTTTGCACCATAATTGTCTCGGTAATCTTCCCTTCTGCGGCCTACCTCCGCTTATTCGGGACTAAGCTTGGTTATCTAGAATCGCTGATGTACTGGTGCTTTTTGGTAATTGGATGTGCCATTGCAATCGTCGGCGGTACTGTCCTCTCTGTCGGATAATAATATTGTGCTGGGAATGTGCACTGCACTGGAACCCATTAAGCATAGATTCATTCTCTGAGCAACAAAGTTTTTTCTTTAGTTCCTTGTGTATCATCCGTATATTGCTCGGTAAAACACGTTTTCGAGAATTCGTCTTTTTACATGAGCAACAACAGTGTTGTGGAAGAAGGGTACAATCCCACTTTTGCCCCTATTACCACATTGACAACTCGCCAAGACGCAGGTGTTCGATGCCATTTAGGAGTTGTATACCTTTCTTGTGGAAGACTTCGAATTCGAGTGTGGCGTCCTTCCCACAGTGTTTGTGTATCATATGCGAGCCACCTGGATGAGTCTTTGCAAAAATCGTCACATCGAATACATTTCCATGGATGCATATCCAGCAATCGGTTTCTGAATTGTGGAGCCACACAGTATCCAACGAAAGGTTCTCTTCTGGATGCTTCGTGTTGACATTAGCATTGTTAGTGTTCTTGTTCAGGTCAAATTCGGCACTGGCGTCCAGCCTACCAACTATTTGCGATTCGAGGCGATCCAATATTCGACGGCTGTGCAACGCCGCGAAAACGTCCGTTCCATCCATGCCCGACAAGGATGCTACGGAATCGATCCCACCAGGATGTTCCGGCAAGAAGGACGTGAGGTCGTAGACATGACCATGAATTGCCACCCAAGAATCATTGGCCGTGTTGTGTCGTGAGAGTTCTGCTTCTGTAATCACGGGAAGCAGTGGATTCTGAAAGATGGCCGAGTCGAGTGGATGTGCCACTTCTTGATTCTCACCATTGTGCGAGTCATAATGGCGCTCCACGATTGGTATGGACTCTCCCACAATGGATCCAAAGACAGCACACTCTAAAAGACTATTTCCTCCCAAGCGGTTGTTACCATGTACGCCTCCAGTTACTTCCCCTGCTGCATGCAGCCCCCATATCCGTTCTCCGTTTTCATTCAAGACGTGTCCAGCAGCATCGATGCCAATTCCTCCCATGCAATAATGAAGGACAGGTGTCACTTCGCCGACCAAAAAAGTCTCCGTGTCGAAATTGACCAGAGGAAATCCGGAGAACACTGTCTTTCCATGTTCATCAGCCTTGCCCGTCACTGCATGTGTTTGGTATTGCCGCAGTGTTTTCTCAATGACGTCACGGGAAACTCCAATCCTTTCGGACAGACCTTGTACTCCAGAGACTTCGGTCATTAAATGTTGATACAAATAGTGCGAAATATGGCTCTTTGCCTCATTGGCAGAGTCTGAAGGTAAGACCAAGAAAAAGGTGTGACCACTTTGCCGTTGCCCCAGCCGTCGTTGTGGTTCGCCTGATCGTTCTTTTTGGTTCATCATTTTGTCCACGACGTAGTTCCTTCGGCCTAGTTCATTGCAAAAGCGTTGTCCGTCCCGGTTGAGTAAGATTCCTCCCACTCCTCGTAGCAGCTCTGCGGCAAGTACTTTGTTAGGATTGTCTGGTTGCTGCGGATCAACAAAGCCAGTGGGATGAATCTGCACCTTTTCCATGTCCAGTGTCATGGCACCGAGGGCTTCTGCCATGACAATTCCATCCCCCGTGGAAAAGTTCCCTGCCGTGGCGCCCAAGCTGATGAGATCGGGTCGATATTTTTCTAGTAAGGAACCACGCGAACGATCGGATGCGAAGCCTCCAGTTGCCAAAATGACATCATTGGCATAGAGGTTGAGAGGCTTGAGATGATGTTTATCATGAAGTTTTCGTATTTGCACTCCTCGAACTTGGTTATGATCATATTCGTCATGTAAAAGTTTTAAAACTTGTGTATTCAGCATGACGTTGATACGTCCCGTTGCGCGATAGTTGTAGATTGCTGCTTCAATGGCCGACATGATCTCCGCCCCAACAAACCCAAATTGCGGCCGATGCGTCCTAGGTTTGGAATGTCCTCCTAGCAGCACTAACTGACTCAGATCGACGCCGACTCGATTGTAAAGCCAATTGACAGCTGCAGCGCTATGGTCGACGAGGGTTTCAATCAAGGCAATGTTGGCATGAGGTCCTGCCGATTGGAGTGTATCCTGCAAGAATTCGGCAATGGTATCGTTGAATTTCTCGTCACGTTCTAGACAGCAGGCATTGATTCCAGAGCTGGCCTTGTTGGAATTTCCTCCCAATATTGATTCCTTTTCAATCATAATGACCGAACCTCCACGGTCTAATATTCGAAGGGTTGCCGTCATGCCCGCCAATCCACTCCCAACCACAATGGCATCCACTTTTGGAATTTGTGATGGATGAACATTTTCTCTAAGATGATGCTGCAATTGATGATGATGATCGCCCTTGTTGTGATGGACTACCTTTTGTTCCACTTCAATTTCGGCAAATAAAAAGACTGGGAGTCCCAAAAACAGCAAGGCCAACACAATCATCCAGGATTTGGCAAATATCGTCGTTGATTGACCTGCTGCTTTGGATTCCCATTGGCTGTGTCGTATCGTTTTTCGACGATTATTCGGACTCCTGCATAGTATTGCTGCTATTGTTTGCTGTTGTTGCTGATGTTGTGACATTGGCGACAATTTGTACAGTAGTAGCTGTTGTATAATACCGGTAGTATTGGTGCTGGATGATGGTACCAAAAGGAGAATCGTGTTTCCGCTTCTTCTTTTTTTGTAGTCGTTGACATGTTGAAGATAAGAACCCCGCGCTCGAACGAATTCGAATATTCCGCCACCCAACATTCAGAAAACCTGAATCCCGGATTCTGGATTCCATCGACCATCAACATCTTGATCATATTTGCTTGTCAACAAAATCTACAGTAGGTACTGTACCTCTCACGCAGCTGCAAGATGAAGATGAATACAAAAGGCATACTCTTCGTCTATACGATGCCACTGGTATTATTGCATGAAAGCTATGGATTCTTCGTTCCAGGTTATCCTACCAAGCACATTTCAGTTTCGCCTCAAGGAAAACTATTGTCGACGAGATCCATTCCTTCCACCACCACCAAACCATCGCTGTATTCACCAAGTACCAGTACGAGTTCTCTTGCATTAAAGAGCTCGGCTAGCAGTGATGACGTCCAAAGTATAACAGCAACAAATAAACTGGATAGTATTCTATCCAAATTGACGTCTGCGTTTCCATTCTTCGTACTGGGATCCGCCATTCTCGGCTTGATGAAACCTTCTAGCCTCCAATGGACCAACCAAGGGACGCTCATCAGTTGGATGCTGGCCAGCGTTATGTGCGCCACTGGATTGACACTCGAAAAGAAGGATTTCACCAATGTGCTGGCCAAAGATTTTGCCGCCGTGCCCGCGGGAGTCCTGTGTCAGTTTCTGATCATGCCCCTGACAGCATGGGCCATTGGTCGCACGTTCCTACTTCCACTTCCCGACTATGGTCCATCTCTCTTTCTTGGCATTGCGCTGGTGGGTTGCTCACCAGGAGGGACAGCCAGTAACCTTGTCTCACTGATTGCCAAGGCGGATGTCGCACTCTCGGTCCTCTTGACCTCGTGTTCGACCATTCTAGCCGCCGGTGTCACACCTCTGCTCGTCAAGGTATTGGTGGGCAACGCCATTCACGTGTCGGGATGGACCTTGTGCGAAGCCACAGCCCGCGTCATTTTATTGCCAGTACTAATGGGAATGATTGTCAATGCCAAATTACCCAACCTGGCAAGTAAAGTCTCAAGATTCACTCCCTTTGCTTCTGTGGTGTTGGTGTCCTTGATTTGTGGAGGTGTGGTATCCCAAAATTCCAGCATGTTTTTGTCCTCCAAGGCTCTGTTGCCCTTGATTGTGGGGTCTGTCATGATGCTTCACTGTGTTGGATTTGCCATGGGATACTTTGTGCCGAAAGTAGGCCTCAAGTTTAGTGAAGTGACCAGTCGGACCATTTCCATTGAAACGGGAATGCAAAACTCGGCTCTGGCGGTGGTATTGGCCCGATCCATGGGGGCGTCTCCCGTGGCAAGTTTGCCAGGAGCCTTGTCGGCCACCGTACATTCCTGTTTGGGGTCCATCCTTGCTGGGTATTGGCACAGCAAAAACAAAAAGGGTAAAGAAGAATCTTCTGAATCCAACAAAAAGGATTTCACGGATCGTCCAGAAGATGACTATCCGGAACTATTGATATAGCTACAGTATTGCATATTGCATATTGCATGTATTACATTGTCCTACTGTAGTTCAAAATCGTCGACTTCTATTGTTTACAATTTTATATGGTGTTTAATTCTAAGCAGTGTGCTTGCTTATTCGGCCTTGGTCTTGGTTGGGGACATGGAAGCTACGGCAGCAAAGATTCCAGTCGCCACCGTAATGGCTTGGTACAATCCTCCGTTTTGAAATGGCTCGGACATCATGGACATTTGCACAATTCCTTCCAACAGCTTCATGCCAGAAACAAGAAACAAGAAATTGGCTTGAATGCCCAAAGGGAAATGGTACAGAGCAAACAGGTAGATAAGAGCCATGCTCAACTTGTCCAAGCACCAAAAATTGACCAAAATCTTGGCCTTTTCTGGTAACAAAGTAGCAGTCTCGAGAAGGGCGTTCTCACGGCCAAATTCTCCACCACTCAATCGGACCACATCAAACATGGACACAGCAAACAAGGCCATGAGACACATGGATGGCTGCGAAGTCAAACTCAATGGCTTGTCGCTCAAGAAAGGAATCTTTTCCCGGCTATTGGGGACACAGGTACAAAGCAGGGCAAAGCAAATGAGCATCATGGAAATGTATTTGCCACTAACAAGATCTCCCTGTGACATGGTGATTCCAAGAATTGTCGTAGACAGTGGGCTCATACATAGACAGGTCGTCAACTTGGAGAAATAAGTCTCAGAGTTCCAGACGACCATGATCATGATACACGTCAACACCCAAAGATTCACACTTGAGTAGAACTTGGCAAGGATCATCGAAGGGAAACTTGGATGCGAACATGTAACTTCATCATTCAGATAAGCCATACACCAATATCCGTCCTCAGAAGTTCCTTCATCGTAAGCATTCCATAGTTCGTAGAGCTTCATGGCACCAACGCCAAGCATGATGAGACCTGCCAGTTGCGACGGCGTGAACATGTCTCCTTGTGGCTCATCGACTGGTTCCTTCTCAGCTGCTGCTGCTGCTGCAGCGACCTTCTCGGTCTTGACAGCTTTGGACTTTTTGTTTGCTGTGCTTTTCTTGTTCTTCTTTGTCACCATGGTCTTCTTTTATGGTCTTCTTTTATTGATACTGTAGTAGTGTCAAGGGATACCGGTAGGTCCGAAATAAATAAAATGACGAGTTGATTTGAAGATTTCGTTCCAATGATTTGAAATATGAGGGGCGGCCATCCTTGGCCGCGGTTACAAGATTAACGTTGGCCGGGACTAGCCTCACTCGCGATCCACTGTTCGAACACACGAGCAGAATTTTTTCAGGAGTCGTCGACCTGCACGATATAACAAACAGTCATCCGTCCTTCTGAGATCCAAACCCGCTTACATTAGTGGCATTACTGATGGTCCAAAGGAAAATCGCACAGACTACAGAGAACAATACCCATATTCATCATGCCAAACACCAAAGTAGTAGTTGTCGTCCGACACGGAGAACGGTTGGATTACACAATGAGAGAACGTGGTGAAAATTGGATTTCAACCACGAATCGTCCTTGGGATCCTCCACTTACAGAAAATGGAAAACAGCAAGCCAGTGCACTCGGGATGGCTTTACCTTCCATGCTCAAAACATTGAATTTGCCTTCAATTGCTGCTGTATATTCGTCACCATTTCATCGCTGTCGACAAACCGCTGCTGGGTTGTGTGCTTCTGACGAAATGCTGAAGGTGCAAGTGGAGCTGGGGTTGGCGGAAAGTCTCAATCAAAATTGGTTCCGAAGCTGGTCGATTGAAGGAACAGATGGAACTTGGGGATATGGAAAGAAAGAATGTCCTGATGCCAATGATCTCGATCCATCCAAATTGAATCCATTGTCCAAGGTACCCGTTCAGCCCCTGTTGGATTGGAAGCAGGGTGCCTTGGAAGAGGAGCTCAAGAAGAAGATGGACATAGACTACGAATCCAAGAGTTCTATTGAAACTCCATATTCCTTGCGTCCACCACTGTTTGAAAACTACAAGACTCAACAAAAACGAATGCACGCAACGCTGGAGCAACTGAGCGAACTTCACAACAATGAAACAATTCTGCTCGTTTCTCATGGTAAGTTTATGCGGGCTGAGAACTGAGCTGGAATCAACCGATTCGGCCTCTAACACACTGATTCAATTATTCCTTTACGGAATATTTAGGCGGCCCTGTGACGCATCTCTACGAAAGCTTGACTGGAAACACTTGGGATCGACATGGAGTTGCAAGATATTGCTGCTATAGTATTTATCAGCAAGAAGAAGGAGATGATAAGTGGAAACCGCTAGTCGTGAATCGAATCTTGGGCGAAGAAGAAGAAGAAACAAAACCGACCGACGAGGATGCTACTTCTAGTCCGCCAAAAGACTTCACATGGGCATAATCGTATATGTTTGGGTTTCAACAGTAGAAATGCCGTCAATTGATTCGAGCTTCTTCAAGAAACTTTCTTCTGGTGCAAAACCGCTGGCTTCCCAGGCCGCAAACTTCTCTCCAGCTGGAAGTGACGTAATTACCTAATGTTCAACGATACAAATAAAAGTTAGATTACGTTGGATTACTTGATGTTTTCTCATGCTAGCGGCACTTGCGAACGACCATCAGTTACTCACCTTGAAATCCAAGCATCCGCCACAAACCACGCGGTCAATTTTCTTGAATCCATCTACACCCTTGACCTCGCTAAGGATTTCATTCAATGCTTTCTGAGCTTCAGCAAGCGACTTCTTGTCATCATCGGAAGACCATTTGCAACGCCATTCTCGAGCGACTGTATCAAAGTCGACACCATCAACAATAGTGGCCATGAAACTATGGAAAGAAGGTTTTTAAATGTGGTAGGTAGAAAAGAAACGATGAGGTTCTTGTCAGCAGACAAGTGAAAGAATCCAACCTACAGCCACTTATCGAGAACTTATCGAGAACTTACCGTGCACTGGCTGGGCGACCATTCATGATAGCTCGTTGAAAGGAAGTGGTGATGGGGCGTACGGCAAACATGGTATCTTTTGTATATGTTGGCGATGGTAGATGATGGGTTAGGAGCAAAAGAGATGTGATTGAAAGATCTTTCTTTGTTTCGAAGGGACGGGAAAAGAATCGACTACATTGACTCGTTGGACTACAACTGACGTCACAATAGCGGAGATTTTGATGCCGTGTCAACGATACCGGTACCGGTATGACACTGCCCACCGATAGCTAAGTCATACACAAACACTGCAACTGCAGAGGAATCCGATAGTCTGCAAACATGAAGGTTTTAGTTCTTTCGCTGGTCTTCTGTAGCCTCTGCTCAGGTTTCGTGCAAATCAATGATGCATCATCAAGTCGAAACTTTGCTTTGGGACAAGAGAATGCCAATCTCGATGAAGCACGTCGCCAAGTATTATCTCAAACGCTTGCGATTGGAACAATGGCTATCCTCCCTACAATTTCCAATGCTGCTGATTCCAAGGTTTGTAACTCTGCCGATTTTTTTTTGCAAGCTCTGTTTCAATGTCTCCTCGCTCAATCCGTCATCATTTATATGCATTCATAGGCATTGTCGGAGGAATATCGTCAAGGAACAGCAGCGTTGGGGGATATGGACGATCAAGCCCCAGTCCCAAGAGAAGCATACAAGAAACTGTCATCTGGTGTCATTTATGCCGATTTGAGACCAGGAAATGGAGAGGAGGTCAAGGAGGGTAGTCGAGTGAATCTGCAGTGGGTGCTTCGAAAGTCCAATGGCTACTTTGTAGATTCTAGTGAGGTGAATGGATCAGTCCCATTCATATTCACAGTTGGCGATGGCAGTGCCATCAAGGGCGTCGATGAGGGTATGCGAGGGATGAGAGCTGGTGGAGTGCGTCGTCTTCTGATACCGCCTAGTTTGGCCTATGTTGATGGTTTGGAAGATGGCAAGCCAGGTCCACTACCTGTAGGCTTTGGCCCTAGACAGCAAATGCGCCGAGTGCAAAATGCTCGAAAGGATGTACCTGGAGAATACGTGTACATTGAGGTCCAAGTCACAAGAGTCAGGTAGGGGTATTGTCACGCGACAATATTCATAGACACCTGCTCCGACTAAAATGACAGATCAATGGTATTAAAATATTGTTTTCATGTTTTATTCTTACTGTTTTTAAAAAATTATTCATTTTATTCTTCCATTGCTACTTTCTTGGCTTGGATGCATTGCATGGCCAAGCCACAGACAGTCATGAGTTGCAAGTATTCATCGGCCCCATCAATCATGCGATGTTCCGCTTCGGCTATTCGGATTGCCAACCTGGCGCGTCCCATCTCGTCCAAGTCATCCGCATCCATAAATTTTTCCAGCAAAACCTTGAGTAAAAGTTGACCCGCATATCCTTCGGCACAAATGTCGTCAACAGCTTGTCGCATGGGTTCAAATTCATTGCAATGCAAAGCTTGAATGAGCTTTTCCACTTCCGAGGCTGGCGGTACCCCAGCCAATTCTGCGACTGCTTGATCGTCAATGCTCCCCAATGCATGAGCCGATTGGAGAGTTGTGACAGCACGTCGCATGTCTCCTTCGGCAAGCTCCAAAATCGAGTCCAAATGAGAATCGGTAACCGAGCAGCCTTCATTTTGAGCAATTTCATTCAAACGCATCTTCATACTATGTGGAGGGAGAGATTGGAATCGGAACTTGGCACAACGAGAAGCCAGTGGTTCAATCACTCTTGTCACATAGTTACAAATCAAGATGAATCGAGTAATTCTCGAGTTAGCTTCCTAAAAAAGCAAACATTTCATCAAATGCTAAATTGTCAGAAGTGCCCATAGTCATACAAGAAATGCAAAATGAGCATTGCAACGTACAATGATTCTTCGAAGTGCCGCTTGAGCATCTGCAGTCACTGTATCCGCCTCATCCAGGATGATAATCTTAAAGGGTGGATTAGGATACTCTTGCTCGTCATCTTCGTCCATCGTTTTTTTCTCGTCCTCTTTTGGGCCACCAAAGAAGTTGCGCTTGGCTGGTACATTGACTTGTCCCACAGAAAGACTTGCAAAATGCTTGATTTTGTCACGGACCACAGAGATTCCACGTTCATCACTGGCGTTCAGTTCCAAAACGCGTTTCCGCCATTGAGAAGGGTGCCACAGTTGTCGGCACAATGCCAATGCCACGGAAGTCTGGAAGAGTTTCATGAGCATTACAATCCTTGTTGACTCACACTTCGATTACACATCCTTAAAACTTACCTTTCCACTTCCGGGAGGCCCATAGAACAGCAAATGCGGAAGACGACCAGTGGTGACCGCATTCTGCAGAGTCGCAACAACTTCGCCTTGGTGAGAGACGTCTTTCAATGACTTGGGTCGATAGCGTTCAACCCAGGGAACACCGGCTGCTGAAGCATTTGTAGTGGACATATTTTTTGATATTATGGAGGGCACAAGCAAACAAGCAGGGATAGAAGGGCACTGTTTGTTGCAGCAAATGTGCTTATTGTTTGGTGCTCAAGAAATCAATGCGATGAGTTGTGGACTCAACTCGTGACTGATTTTTTTCGCGCCAAAAATGACGAGAAAAAATGACAATACATAGAGACAAAAGAAAGGGTTGATGCTTCGATGATGTATTCATTCTTCATCATGAACTACATCATGAACTACATCATGAACTACATCATGAACTACAGCACGAATAGCAAAAATCATGTCACCTAGAAAGGAGGATGACACTTTGCTGAACGCATAGTAATACTGTCTACTTCGCAAACTTGTTTCCTTTCACAATTGTTACCGACTCTGGAATTTCGACCTTGGGATTACTCGTGTTGTGATCAGCATACCAGTGAGTTATACACGGCGACACGACACGAAAAAACTTGCGATAGCCAGGTGTCACTTGCGGTATTGCTTCATGCGGAGTACAATCGGTCATCCAAATGAGTTCCCCAGCCTTGAGCTTTGTTCCTTTACCGATAAGTGGTCGTAGATACTCACAGCCACCGTGTCTATCGACAATGCCAGGGTGGTTTTTGTCCACAAGAGCGTCCCATACCTCGCTAGTATTGCCCACACTGGAGGCCATGAAAATACCTCCTTCGAATCGATCCGGGCAAAACACAACTCCCATACCCCAGTGGTGCTCTAGGGCTGGCTTGAAGGATGTTTGGTCTTGTAGAACATCTTGGAATACACCAGGAGACTCAATGTGCAGTCCCTCTCGTCTCTGTGCCTTGCTTGTATCAACATAAGTCTCGTGTACTGTTAGGTAACCAACCTTTCCAATCTCCTCCCTCATGTATGGACAGCGTTCAATCAGTGAATGATAGCACCGAAGATCATCCGGTAGTGATTCCTTACTGCCAAAGATGAATGGAAGCATATTGACATTACGATTTTCTGGTGGAGGAAACTGAACATAGCCGCAACGAGAAAAGGCAACGAAACCATCATCGAATCCACTGGAAGTGACATCGGTGATATCATTCTTGATTTCCCTCCTGGAATAAGAATTTGCACCATGTCTACCGTGATTGAATTGCAATCGGGAATTTTCTCCGGCTCGGCCAACAAGGGCAGCTGGAATCGTGATTTTAACATGTCGAGCTGCTTGGCTTGCAATGAACGAGTAGATGTTTCGGACAAGGGTGTCCTCAAAGTCTCGAAGCATCTTGAGAGGTGACTGCTTCGTGTCTCGAGTTCCACTGAAAACTGCTTTCAATATACCATCCCAACCATATTTTTCGAGTTCATCAGAATAATAGTCCTCTGCCAGTGCTGGCAGCATCCCCATCTTGTGTGGATCAATGTCATCGATATGGGGATGACTTTGATATCGGTACCTGGTGGTGGCATGAACCGTATCATGGTGGTTGTCTTCTTCGTCCGACTCATAAGGTCCCAAACGGCTTGGATGATATGCAGGTGTGTTATTGTCGTCCATCATGTTCTTCTAATTTCAACTTTCAATGGAAACAACAACACATCAACACTGTAATGTAAGACCCGCCACATGCTGCGATTGTCGAATCGTGGACCGAAGAGATGAGAGATCCAAGTTTGCATTTTGATTTTTGCGATGGTTTCGAGTTAGTTAGTTTTAGAATCTCCAAAGTTGGACTACTTCGATTACCTCTCGCAAAAGCCGCGCATGATCAAAGATGAGACCATAACTTCAACTTGCCCCTTCCAACTCACATCCAACTCACATCCAACTCCTCTATTACTTGCAACAAGATGATGCGACTTGTCATTCTAGTAGCACTGATCAGTGCTGTTATCGCTTTTGCACCTGCCCATGTAAACAGAGTGAAAAATACTCAAAATCCATCACCAAAGTTGTTTGAAACTAGTGGTGAAAGCAACAGGAGTCAAGAAGAAGAAGAAGCCAATGAGTATGATCCAAAACGAGAGCAAGAAATTATATTGGAGAGCATGTCGCTCGATGGAGCCAAAGTGATTGCTAACATGGATATTCCAGAAAGAGCGAAACGGGCAATGCTGGCCGAGGCGGTGGAAGATAGGATCTTTTCATTGACGGAAAAGTTGGAAAGTCTCATTGACGAAGATGGTATGATTACCGAGCAAAATCGGGGAAAGGCAGTTGAGATTGCAGAAGCCACCAAATCTTTGCAAACACAGTACCAAAATTTGGTCAGTGGAGAGGAATCATCAATTTTGCAAGCGCTAAGCGCCATGGGTAAAGAATAGAGATCAGCCTCGTTGTATAGTTAAATCTAATTTTAGTACATCCACCACAAAACGCTAGACACAAGCATAGAGCATAGAGGGCACAAAAATAAATGACTTATAGAGCAACAGCAGACTTCGACTTCTGTTCCTTCGAATTTCCAAACTTTAACCACGGCAGATTTCGTCGCGTGCCCTTTCCAGTATGGCCTCTGAAGAACCACTGTCGCTTCTTGGGCTTGGGCATATGCTCCTTCTTTGCCAGTGGGGATGGATGGAAACCATCATTAAACCAACTCTCGAAGAACTTTTTCCGAAGTGTGTCTAGCCACAAAATGTTGGAACTCAACAAAATGATGTATATCATATCACTGAAAGACAATGCCTCTGTCTGGAAAACTTCTTGAAGTGGTTTGAAGTAAACGACAAGGAGCTGCCCCAGGACGGAACCCCCCACTGCCCACAAAAATGCAGGATTGCTGAAGAGGCCCAATTGATAAAATGTTTTCGAAGCGGACCGGCAAACGTATGCATTGAACAAATCACAGTTGACAAATGTCATGAAGGTCATTGTAGTATCCCTCCTTGAGACCTTGCCATCATCCAACTCGTTTGAAAACACCTTCAGCGTCAAAAAGACAATGAGTGCTGCACTTGAAACTGCTCTCAATAGTAGGGCTCGAGTCACAATGGGATCGTCCGCCATACGCGGTTTCGCTTTCAGTATTCTCTCATCAACCGGTTCAACTCCAAGACTCTGAAATCGAAGGAGAGGAGTTAGCAGCGAATTGTTGATATTACAATGTCAACAAAGTACGTGTATCTTACCTGCGCTGGTGGTCCATCCATGATAATATTGATCCACAAGATTTGCATGGCATTCAGCGGAGTGGGGAGCCCTAATGCCGTTGCAATACTTGCCATTGTCAATGCAGCGAATGACGTACTGAGCTGAAAGGCAAGGAAACATCGAATGTTGAAAAATATGCCTTTGCCTTCTGCGATTGCCATGGTGATGGTTTGGAAATCATCGTCTGCCAAAACAACATCAGCTGCTTCCTTTGCCACGTCAGTTCCTTTCTTTCCCATGGCAATGCCAATATCTGCACCCTTTAGCGCGGTAGCATCGTTCACCCCATCCCCAGTCATGGCGACTATTTCCCCATTCTGCTGCAATGCACGAACGATTGCAAGCTTGTGCCTTGGGGCCACTCTGTAGAAGACCTTGACCCCAACGACACTATCGGCGAGATTTTGTGGTGGGATGGAATCAATGTCTTCTCCACTCATTGTTGTGGAGTCACCTATTTCAATATCTGACAAACCGCCACTTGAATCACCATCGCTTCCGGTTGAATCAAGCGACGCAAATGATTTTCTGGACAAGTCAGCATCCGATTTACTTCCCAGAATTCCACATCTTTTTGCAATGGCAACCGCTGTTTCTTTCGAATCACCTGTGATCATCAATACCTTCACACCCCCATTTCGCAATTGCCACACAGCCTCAGCCACACCTTCCCTCGGGGGATCTTCCATTCCAACAATCCCTGCGAATGTAAGTTCTTCAACTGATGCTCCATATGCCATTGAAAGAACTCGGAGACCAGATGCTGCCATCTGTCGCGTTTGTGCGAGGACCAAGGCCTTGCCGTCTTCATCGAGCGGCGCCACTTCGCCTGTCGCGGTGACATGGGTTTTGCATTCCAAAAGGACACTTTCTGGCATTCCCTTCACAAAATACATGGATCCATCCATAGATTTTCGTTTTTGAGCTCTTTGGAGTGAAGAAGCACTGCCCAAAGCTAGATCGAAGGCAGCACAGGCATGTCTTCCACCGACCGGTCGGGCACGAACTTCCATTCGCTTGCGTTCACTCGAAAATGGAAGCTCTTGCGTTCGATGATATTGTGGACGAGGATCCGCAACACCAGCCTTTTCGCTTCCGATGATTAAAGCCAACTCTGTTGGTTGACCAGACATTGCCCCACCAAGATGACCTTCACCAATGTCCGAATCAAGGTCTGCAACGACTGTTGCGTTGTTGCACAAGCACGCTGTAGAGAACAACGCGGATATTGCAACGAATTCTTCACTAGCAGAACTGACATCTTTTGTTTTGCCAAAGCCATCTTCGTCCGCAACCATAAGCTTTCCTCCAGTAGTATTATAACCAACACCAGAAAAGGCAAATGTTTTTCGTGGAAAGGCCAAAGTGAAAACGGACCTCGAAGTCATTTCGTTTTGGGTCAAGGTTCCAGTCTTATCAGACGCCACTGTTGTTGCGCATCCAAGCGATTCAACGACGGGCAGTTTCTTGACAATTGCATTTTGTTTTGACATTTTCAGCACGCCTAGAGCCAAAGTTACAGTTGTACAGATCGGAAGACCCTCTGGGATAGCCGCGACTGCAAGACTCACTGCGACATTCAATGTCTCCAAGAATGGTCGTCCCATTAAAAGACCAAAAATGGCAATAATAACAATGGCAACAGTGCTCAAGTAAGCAAGACGTTTGCCTAATTCATCAATTTTGAGTTGTAGTGGAGACTTGCGAGTCTCTACTGTTGACAGAGCAGCTGCCACTTGGCCAAACTCAGTTTTGACTCCAACAGCCAAGACCAATGCTCTCCCCCTACCAGCAGTGATCAGCGTTCCCGTAAAAGCGACGTTTCTTTGTGAAGTAATGGCTGGATTGGCATCAATGGTAATACCTTCGCTTGTTTTGTCCACAGGATGATTCTCTCCCGTGAGAGAAGACTCGTCAATCCGAAGCTCTATCGAATCCACCACGCGACAGTCTGCTGGAACACGATCACCGGTTCCTATCAACGTACAGAAAAAAGCAGCATCACATGTCAGCAGTGAAACAATATATCTCCTAGCCCCCCTATGGATACTAACCTAACAGGACAAGATCGCCAACAACTAATTCTCGAGCTGGAAAATTGTCAAGCACCCGGCCATCTCGCAAAACAGTACAAGTGTGTGGAACCAGGTTGTTTAGCTTTTCCAGTGCCTGCTCCGATCGATATTCTTGAACCGCGGCCACAAGGCTCACAATGAATAGGGCGATTCCAATGGATATCGCATCCGTAGTATTGCCCAGAGCAATGGAAATCAAAGCGGAAAATAGCAACATGAGAATCAGAGGTTCCTTCATCTGTTCCAAGAGCGATGATAATACCGGCTGCAGAAAGGGTAACTTCCGAAATATTATGTTCTTGGTTTCTTCATCGTCTTCACCAACCATGACGTTGGACCCAAAGGCTGATCTCATGTGTGCAATTGTCTTGGAAGACCAACCATGATGTAGGAGATCTTCACTGCTATCAACACTCCCTGCTAATGAAGCCATTCGACGAGCGACATCTTCTGGTTGCCAGGAGCATTCTTCTCCCCGATTGAAGGGGTACGAAGCAGACATGATGGAGATAGTGTTTGTCAAATGAGATAGGCGCTATTGGGTTTCTGGTTGTGACTGTTGTTGTTGTCGCGTTCATATTTGTCGTTTGAATCAATGAAATCGACCCAGTCCAGCCCAATGACGATACGATGATGACGGGTGGCGGTCAAACCAACAAACATGAGGAGTATCAAGTTCCCATTCGGGTGGGTCCAAAGTTCCACCTTCGGCGACTGCACTGCACTGACGCAGCACGGTCGACGAATCTACAACCGACGAATCTCCACCGTAACGGTAGTCAGTTTTTCTTCGAAATCAATGTGCAATAGGAAAAGAACTGTTTTCCTGAGACCGCTGCTGACTTCTGGAACTCAAGTCTACCCATCATAGAAAGAAGAAGAAAAAGAGACAGTTTGTCTGTTTGCTACCAGAGAATCACCAAATAGAAGATATTCTGTACATACACGATGCTGAGGCTCGGATTATCCACGGTCGGCAAGACGACGTCTGGTCGGGTCGCAATGAGGATACGAAGCCCCTCTGCCCTCGCAGGAAGGCGGCTTCTTAGTTCCCAAAACATTGACGGTAAACGCGCTTCAGAGGAACGACCATCTGAAGAGAATACCAAGACTGTTGGTTCCAACAATGAAAATACCGATGCCCTTCGTCAGTTCTTTGAAAAGAGACGAGAATCATCCTTCAAAAACGGCGGAACGCAGGAAGCAGCAAACTCTCAGAAAATGAATCCAAACCCCAGAAATCAAAATGGAAATAGAAATTTTGCACAAACGAAATACAACAATGGCGCAAAAGCATCATCAGATGTGAAACAAGGTGGCGAGAGTGATGCCTTGCAATCCTTCTTTGAAAAACGGAAGGCAGCCTTGCAAAAAGAGAAGAAGGGACGAGATGTATCTCCCAACAATAGTAACAAACAACAGCAACAACGACCCAATGATCGAAGGCCCAATCAAAATGCTGGAAATCGAAACAATCGACGACAGGGTCAACAACAACATCAGACACAAAACCAAAGAAATCGCAAGCAACAACCACAGCAGCAGCAAAATAACCAAGGAAACGACTCGTCACGACTGGCAGATTTAATGAAACAACTAAGACGGGATGGTCCGGTGAAACCTGCTGCTTCGGCAACAAACAATGATGATCAACCACATTGGAGACGCGGTGGTACCCAACAAGGGCGTGGTGGTCGAGGGCAGGGTGACAGTGCGCGATGGCGGAGGTCGTCCTTTCTCAACAAGAACGAACAAGGAGGCAGAGGTGGTCCTTCGCATCATCATGGTGGACGCGGCGGTCGCGGTGGCCGAGGTGGTCAGAGGCAGCAACCAGTATTCCGAGCCGACATTGACTTTTTGGAAGGGCGTCGGGGTCGAATAGAAAAGGACAAGGCTCCCGGCGAAGAATCCGAGACCATTGTGACCCTCCCAGCAAAGCCATGCTCTTTGACAGATCTGTCTGCGTTGTTTCGAGTCAAGGTGGATGTTCTTCAACGCAAGCTTAGGTCCATTGGCGAGCGCATTCGCCCCGACAAAGAGCATGTTGTTGATGTGGACATGATGGAGCTTTTGGCTCTTGAATTTCAAATCGATTGCCAGCGTTCGGAGTACAAAGAAGCTGCTGAAAGTGAAGAGATTTTGATCAGTCAAAGACGAGTTGGAGATGATGGCGTTGCCCTACCTCCAAGACCGCCTGTTGTCTGTATCATGGTATGTTGATTTCATGCTTGTTGGTTCGAAGGTCGGGGTGTTCGACTGACTGACTCTATGTTCTAACAATGGGCTTGTCTTTCTTTAGGGACACGTTGATCATGGTAAGACAACCTTAATGGATGCTTTACGGCGACAATCTGTTGGTGGTATGCAAGGAAATGCTAGGAAGGCGAAAAAGAGCAAGAAAAAGGGGAAGAAAGATGTATCGTCTGCTTCTGGGGATGTTGCTGGAACCGAAGCTGGTGGTATTACTCAGGTTATCAGCGCATTCCAGGTTGCAATGGAGGGGCAAGATATGCCAGTCACATTTCTGGACACACCCGGTCACGCGGCCTTTCGTTCAATGCGACTATCTGGATCCCACGCTGCAGATGTTATCGTTTTGGTGGTGGCTGCCGATGACGGAATATCCCCGCAAACCGTTGAAATCCTAGACTTTTACAAATCAATTGTCACTGGCTCTGAAGGTGGAATTTCATTGGTGGTGGCATTGAACAAAATTGACAAGCCTGGTATCGATGTCGATGAAGCCCAAAGACGTATCGAGAATCAACTGATGGAACATGGAATCACACCAGAGAGTATGGGATCAGGCGATTCCGAGTATGGGGCTCCAGTTCAAGTTATTCCGACGTCGGGTCTGACTGGGGAAGGTTTGGAGGATCTTATGGAAGGTCTTCTTCTACAGTCTGAGATTATGGATTTGCGGGCCGACGAAGAAGCAGAGGCAGAAGGAATCATCATGGATGCAGCAATGGAGAAAGGATTAGGAGTGGTCGCAACGGCTATCATTCGTTGGGGAAATATCAAACCTGGCGACGTTGTAGTCAGTGGAGATCAGATTGGAAGAGTAAGAATACTCAGAGATGGTAAGTTGGAGAGGTTATTTTGACGCAGAGAGGCTGTGCGCTGACCCTTCGAAACTTTGTTTTGCAGTACATAACAAGCCACTGAAGAAAGGAATGCCATCACAACCTGTCAGCATTGTTGGATTCAAAGCCATGCCAAAGGCAGGCGACCCGATAACACGCGTCGAGTCAGAAGAGAAAGCCGAAGAACTAGTAGCAAGGCGGGCATCCCTGGAGAAAGAAAGCATCCGGTCCGAAGCAGCCGTGGATGACATCGAGATTCACATACCTGGAATGCGAACGAAGGGCAATAGACGGCACCAAAGAGTTTATTCAAAAGCGAATCTTCAGGAAGGTGATGGATACTTGCGCATTCCTGTCATTGTAAAGGCAGACGCCGATGGGTCGTTATCAGCAGTCCGAGAATCTCTCGTTCAACTTGGTGAGAATTCCAAACACAAAGTAATGATTGACACCATATCAGATGGAATTGGTGATATCAACGCCACAGACATCCAATTGGCGAAAGAAAGTAATGCAATCATTTTTATGTTCGGCAACAAGCGTGTTGACCAAATGACATTGAACCTTGCAGAATCAGAGGGTGTTCGAATCTGTTCGAATCCAATCATCTATTCGCTACTCGATGAAGCAAAACAAACCCTCGGAACTTTCCTTCCACCTTCTCCGGTCAAGCATGTCCATGGATCAGCTCTTGTGCAAGAAGTATTTTCTGTTGGTACTGATGATGGGTCAGAAAATGTTGCTGGGTTGAAGGTCATGGATGGATACATTTACAAAGGCAAGGCCAAGGTGGGTTCAGCCAAACTCAATTGTCACTTCCGAGTGATACGCGATGGAAAGCAAATCTCCCCAGAAGGTGAGAAGGTTACAGCATTCTCGTTGCGTCGATACAAGGAGCTTGTCGACAGCGTACGGCTTGGAGATGAGTGTGGACTGGGACTATCGGGATTCGGTGATTTCGAAGCAGGCGACACAATCGAATGCTATTCAATCGAAATGAAGTACGATTCATTGTAGACAATCAAGGAAAGCATGGATTCTAAGTTAAAATTCAAATTTCTAAAGTGTCAACAACATTGTGTTCCTTTTTGCTGAAAAGATTCCATTAAGTTTTCTGCCATGCAAGAAGCGCTTACTCTGGAAGTGTCAAAATTTCTACACCATCCCGTGTGATATGAACCGTGTGCTCAAACTGTGCAGCCATGCCGCCGTCTGTGGTTGCGACTGTCCATTGATCATCCCATTCAAAACAATCACCCGCATCCTCCACAATCATTGGTTCAATCGTAAAGATCATCCCAGGTTGTAGCTCAAGAGTGTCATTATTTCGGTAGTGCTGAAATAGGAGAGGAAATGAAATTAGTCATTGATTCATATACAAACTATACCGACAACCTCATTGAAGCTTCGTACCTTTACGTATGGAGCTGTGTGAAATTCTGAGCTGATTCCATGACCTCTGTACTTGGTAACTGTACTATAACCATAGGAATCTGAAACCTCCTGGATCGCACCTCCGACTGATGTCAAGCACTTGCCGGGTCCACACTCTTCGATAGCCGCATACAAGGATTCTCGTGCCGCATGCACCAGCCTTCTTCCCGAGCGCATCATTTCTTCATCCTCAGGTTTGTCAAAGGTCGAAAGATATGGCACCCCTCTCCAGTCTACACCAATCTCATCTTTCTCTTGTTCGTCACCAACAATCACTGTGGCACAGTTATCACCATGGACGCCGCCGATGAAACAACTGACATCAAACGAAACGATATCTCCAAATTGCAAGGGACGCCCATCAGGAATTCCGTGACAAATAACTTCATTAATACTGGAACACAACGATTTGGGGAAACCATGATAATTCAGTGGACTGGGGTAAGCACCCTGTCTGATAATTTCCTCGTGAACTGCAGTGTCGATTTCATCCGTAGTGACACCTGGTTTGGCCAGCGTGCAAGTGAAATCCAATACTTGTCGGGCCAATCGGGCGGCGCGGCTCATCTTCTCGACGGAAGCGGCATCATGAAGCAGTATTTGATTTGAAAAAAGAGAATACGGAAGCTCTCCTGTATCTGCATAGGGAGGCCTGGCAATATTTCCAGGAACTGTTTTCATTGCACCACTCAGCGGGTATTGTCGAACTGGTTCTCGTTCGTGTATTTCAGCCTTTGCGTATACCTCTTTCGAGTCAAAAGCTGTAGATGCTTTGCGAAGATTTATCAGCTTTCTCCCAGTATTGAATTCTTTTATCCTTTGTCTAGCCTGTGAAGAAAAAGCGTTCATGGTCCTTCGATGATTGAATTTCAAATTTTTTCATTCAGTGAGTTGCTTCGGTGATTCATTCATTCGTTCTCTCATTCATTTTTCGGCAGGTATTCCATAAAATAGGTGATGAATATTTGAAAATCGTCGTAGTTTTCATACTACCCCTACGATGACGGCACATTTCCGCTTGGAACAACCAAAGATCGAAGAACAGACGAATAATATTTGATTTCAAAAAATAGAGGCTCTAAGCGACCCGGATATGACTGTAGCAGGGGCATTTTTCGTCCGTTTTGGTACCGTTTTTGACGGGAGCTAGTTTCAAGCATTCATCCATAGTGCGTCTCATCATCATTGTTTCCATCGACAACACTTCGATCACGAGCCTCCAACGAGCAACAAGAGCAATGGAGCAGGACAGCACACGACACTGACCACAACAGACGCTAAATAGCCATGATGCAAAACAGCCAGGAGCCAGAAACATAACGTCGTGTACATCAGGGGCATCAATGAAGAAGCGATGAGTTCTAACAAATCGGCATTGGCGCTCTCGATCTGAGTAGGTGCCGATTGATTAGAATGAAGCAATCCAACAATCCACTAGAAAGCGAAAGTAGAGTGGGATTATCTTGCTACTGCACTGCTTAAACGAGATTCGGAATGTTTTGCCTTTTCAATGGTCGGTCAAATCGTTTGCATTCAATACCGATCCACTTCCCAATCGGCCTCAACCGCGGAGACACAGCCAACTTGAAAGGAATATACAACACAGGAGGATGAAGACAAGAAGGTTTCAATAAATTCGCCGTTACCTGCTTGTCGTGACCTGCTTGATACAGTAGTCTTTGAAGAACAAGCTTGATACAGTAGTCTTTGAAGAACAAGCAACAACGTTATGAATTCGGCAAGAAGAATGCAACAATCCAGATTGTTTGAAAGCTGATGGAGCGGAGGGTGATTGATCTTGCTACTGTACAGCATAAATGCCTATTCTATGGTCAAAGCATTGTTTGCATTCACTACCGCAGCAAACAAGACATGAAAGGTGTCGATAAATGCAACAATCAACATTGTTTGAAAGCAGGAGGGGAGTGGGATTCATCTTGGACCTGCCCTGCTAAAATTGAGATTCGGAATATTTCTGACTTGCCTATTCCACCGATACGGTCACATCATAGTTCAATACAGCAGCAAGCAAGACAAGACAAGAAAGGTATCGAGCTTGTTATTCTGAAGTAAGTACTTTGTTCAAATCACATTGAATGGGAAGATTAATCCTATTAGATGAGATTTGGAATATTTATAAGTTGCCTATTTTACAGTCAAAGAACCATCCAACTGATAACCGGGTCGCGCATGTCAATCCTTTGGTTCACGATTGACTTGTGAACATGGCGTCTGCACTCTCTACACATCCTGGGTTGCATTAGTAACATTTTGGAATCAAACTTAACTATTTAATCAACTATGTTATCTATAGCATCTCAATTATTGGCTTGCGACGATTCATTTGTGATCAAGTCGAGAGTTCGGCAAAGAGAGAGTTCAGCAAAGATATGGCAGTATGATTGGAATCTAGCTACCTGCATCATCTTGCTGCCTCCTTACCATACTCTCTATACTAGACGAACTACAACGATGTGGTAGTTCGGACACTAGCAAGGGATGAATTCCGGTGGAACAGCCTCATGCCCAATTGGAGAAACACGAAGCAGCGGCTCCGCAGTATATATTTTTTTCAACCATGGAAAACAAACGGAAATGAGCCTGTGCAAACTCATTCAGCCGAGAGTTGTATGCATTGAGTGCCCAGCCAAGATATAAACGGATCTCCTGGCCAACTGTCAGATCCTCAGCGAAGCCCACGAAGTTGGATTGTTGTGTTTTCCTATGAAGCTGCTCCGCACAGCTGGCTTCCACTGCTTCCTCATGCCATGGTTCAGTTTTAAAATGTGATGGCTCGTTATCGTGTGTAAAATTCCTTGTCTGTAGCATTGGTGAGTTTCTCCGTGACGAACAATATTTTTGATTCGCCTTTTTTGAATTGCAGTAACCTGGATATGGCACCAGCTCCCGTCACGTACCGTATGTAGAAACTGGTAGACGCAAGCAAACGGTTTGACCAAGATTATGTGATACCTGCCCTCTCATGGAACGAAAAATCGGCACTTTACTTTAAGCTCATAACCTATTTTATCTGGCCTCAAAAAGGGGTAATTTATGGGGAATGATTTGGGGTTCCACGTGGTCCGTTGACGTTGATGCAACAAACATCAAAACTGCCAATACTGGATCAGCAAAACCATCGTCACCATGAGATCACAATTACAACACTTGCTGCTCTTCTGCATCACAGGAATCGCAACGGCTTCCTTCAAGATCCCTTTCCTTTCCAAAAAGAAACAATACACTCCACTCATATTTTTCACTGTTCCAAAAGATGTGATTCCAGAATGTGACGAAATGGAAAAGGTGGTGTCGGAGGTCGAAAGGGAACTTGGAGTAAAAGTTGAGAGATTAGACATCGTGAGGGACCCAGCAGCGGAAGCCACTCTTGCTGCCTTGACGAACAGAGGACCACCTTACTTGTATAATAAGGAATCATGTCAGGTTATATCCAAAGAAGCCGATGATTCAGGAGCCATAAAGCAAACAGTGATTGATAAAGACCGAGTGAGAGCGTGGGCAAAGGGCCGATTCTTAATGCCCAAGTCTGCCAAGATGGGAAATATGAAGGTTTTGTCTCAAAAAGACAATTCTCTGGACCAAAAGGATTTGGTAGAAGACATGTCCTTGACTGAGATGCAAAAGAGAGGCAAGGAAGCCATCAAGAAGCGAACTGAAGAAAAATCAAAAGAAAAGCGAGAAAGTTAACTTGGATAGATTGGGTGATACACTATCAGATCGTAGTCTTTGGGATTTCCCGACTCCCTTTTGCAACTTTTAAAAACCACTACTAATATGATCTACGATAGTCATGATTTTCACCAAGAAGAAGAAGCTGGATCTATTTTGAATCTAAACTGCATAATATTAAATAATAGCTGCCCAGTCACCATACTACATGTATCCGTCTCTTCCCAACATTCAACTTCAAAGACGCCTGCGTCACTACACGAGGAAACATTCCATTCCATGGCGACCTTATTCGTGAATCAATCACCGATTAAACCCCAGTTCATTCCTGGAAGGACTGCTCGGAACTTTGGTCTGCGCACATTGATCGCGCACAAGAATTCTGGGGCTTTGAAAGAGAGGATATTGTCTGAAACGTGAAGGTTGCAACTCCTTTGTCCATCATTGGAACAACATTGCTTGCACTACAATTCAATCCCCGGAAGCGAAAAATGGCAGAAGAAGGAGGAATGAAGCTAGAGCGCATTCCCAAGTTGACCAACTTGTCCAAGGACGACATTGGCAAGCACGTCAAGCTTCACGGATGGGTCTACTCCGTGCGTACTCAGGGAGCTGGAACACTGTGCTTTGTTGATCTTGGAGATGGAACCACTATTGCGCCAGTTCGTTGTTTGGCGCAGAAACCAGGAGAAGAAGGCGAGCATGTCTACAAGGCATCTGATGTTGCCAGTCTACTCGCAGATGCCAATGGAGATGAGGCTTGTTACTCTAGATTGTCATTTGATGAAATGACGCAAGCTTCCAGCTTGAGTATCGGATGCTCCGTCATGTTGATCGGATATGTCGCTGCTCCACCAGAAGGAACCACACAAACCGTCGAAGTAAAGGTCTTGGAATTGTTTGTCGTTGGCGGTGTCGAAGATGCCAGCAAGTACCCTATTCAAAAATCAATTTTGAAGAAACCTCTGGCCCTTCGCGCACAATACCACTCTCGATTCCGCGCTCCTCTCATTCAGCAATTGATGAAGATTCGTTCGGAAGCTTTGTTTGCTGTGCACGAATTTTTTCATGAGGAAGGTGTCCCACTTTTGGATCCCAATATTTTGACCGCCAATGACTGCGAGGGCGCTGGAGAAGTCTTCAAGGTTGGACCACAGATGTTCACCAAGGTCGAGGAAGATCCCTCGAAGAAGAAGAAAAAGAAAAAGGGAAACCAAGAGGAAGAAGTGAAAGAGGAAGAGGCACCAAAAGAGCCAGAAAAGGTTACCGAAGTCGGATTGACTGTATCTTCGCAACTTCCATTGGAGGCGATTGCCATGGGGACTGGAAGCGTTTACACATGCCAAAAGTCGTTCCGTGCCGAGCACTCTGATACCAACAAGCACTTGGCTGAATTCCTACATGTCGAGTACGAACAATATTTCATCACCCTCGATGATCTCGTAGATCAAGCGGAACGTTTCGTGAAGCATGTTTTGAAGACTGTATTGGACCGTTGCCAAACTCAATACGACTTTTTGAACCAAAAGCACGCTTCCCCACCAGAGTTCCATGGTCATGCCGACTATCTTCGAACTTTGTTGGACAAGCCGTTCGTCCGCATTAAGCATTCTGACGCGATTGATGTCATGCTTCAAGACATGAGGGACAAGGTCCAAACAGTCAACGACCAAGGCAAGAGTGTTCGTCTAAAGTTCAAGACGCTACCAAAGCAAGGAGAAGATCTTGGAAGTGAGCACGAGAAGTACTTGGTCCAAAAGTTCGGAACCTTTGTTTTCGTCACTCACTGGCCTTCCGATATCAAGTCTTTCTACATGAAGCAAGTCGGAGATGGAACATGCGAATCTTTTGATTTGTTGGCACCCCTGGTTGGTGAGCTGTTTGGAGGAAGTATGCGTGAATGGCGATACGACGTCTTGAAGGGCATGATGGAGGGCAAAAACATGGACATGAAGCCTCTGCAATGGTTCGTCGATCTGCGAAAGGACGGTACTGCCCCTCATGGTGGATGGGGTATGGGATTCGATCGTTTAGTGATGTTCTTGACCAACACTGCTAGTGTGAGAGACGTTGTACCTTATCCTGTCTACTACACGCACTGCCCATACTAAGAAGTGGAGTGTTTGGATTTTATTTTATGAGAAAAGATGGAGCATTGTATCGGCTGCTTGGTCTGACAAAGTTAGAATAACAGGCATAGATATTTTGCAATAGACAAACCAACTTCAATGTTTTCTTTTTTTCGTAATTATTTGGTATCTGAGTATACAATACCTGTTGTCCAGCAAGGTATGATAGTGGTACGGTGGTACCGATACCATACTTGAGTAGCTGTTGCAAAGGACACCAGGCGGTAGTTTAGCAATACCTGTTTTCCAAACAAGGTATGAACGCGGTATCGTGGTACGGGTACCATGCTTGGGTAGCTGTGGTGTAGCTTAGTACTACTACCGATACCTGGTACAAACAGTACGAACCGGACTTTTTTCGCAATGGACGAACGGTAGTTCAGATTTGGCGATCCAGCTTCTTCCAGCGAGGGTTGTTCCGACGTTTTAGCACGGTATCAATAATGAGCTTATATCAGTGCTTGTATAATACAGTGTCTAAAGATTATATGATACTTGTTGTGATCTATGCGTCGTATATTGTTGGTTCCCTGGCCTCAGTATCTTTGTCTACAAAACAGTTGACTAGCTTCTCTCGAATGTGCTTGGGAGTATCCCAGAAGTTGGTACCCGACATCTCTGATAGGACCGTCATCTCAGTAGACGTGGAACATCCGGGAGTGACCATTTCAGAATTTGAAAAGTCGTAGAGTAATGTGTTGAAGTAGAGGCTCTCAACGTGATTTTTTAGCCCTTCGTCCATGACACGGACTGCCTTTTGATATTTCTTAGAGGAGGGCCGAAGGAAAAGTAGTTTACCTTCAAATGTTTGAGTATGTACAAGTTCCGTTTTGTTGATTCCAATGGGTTTCAGTTCCACGGTATTTGTGGATTCGCAACATCCAAGCTTGGTAGTCCACGTAAAAGTGAAGGTCCTTCGACTAACCTTGCCGAATTTGAATGGCGCTGTTGCACGTCTACCACCTAGAACGATCCGCGATTTCCCGGTCTCCCCCTCCATCACGTATGATGCATCAAGCCGGAGGCTACGGTTCCACTGCCATGTTTTGATGTCAGTCAAGCTTTCCCACACAACCGTTGCAGGAGCGCTTATGATAGTAGATTGTGAAAGCGATTTTGTGCTCTTATCCTTTGTGACAACCGACATGTCGCCGTCGCTTGCATCCGTAGACAGTTGTTTCTTCCTTCGAAACGTGAGCATTGGAAATGATGGGTGTTGCGTTTTGCTATTCGAAGCTCTTGAAATGAAAGTGAGGATGTGGAGAAAAATCATCATCATTGCAAACCACACTATTCGTGAGCTTGGACTCAGTTCGATACTGTTCGCATAACGACTGATCTATTTAACGCACAAAAATGATCCAGTAAAACCTGAACACTGCATGCAGTTTTGGACGTCAAATTGACTCCTTTGACCATGATTTTCGCAGCACAAAGTGCTCGTATTGGATGGTTTCTGTTTGCTCGGAGATATTAGATTGGCCTGTCAACGGAACGGCAACGAGTGGTCATGCTGCATTTCGCGAGTGGGGTGATCCAGTGAGGAACATTTAGACGCAAGGAACCATCGAAGCAAGACTTGAATTAGCAGGATTTATTTTTAAAGGAATATCAATAATAAGTGTTCTTGGATAGCAGCTCGATATAAAAAATCATTGTTGTCATTTCTCACTGGTACTTTACAGTATTGGCTGTGCAGGGTCGTTTCCATCCAAAATCCAACAACGGTGATGTACCGGTACATGGTACCAGTACCATGATGCACTCACTGCCTACAACGCATGGCGATGGGTACTGTACCAGTGCACCACATGATATTCATTGAACACGACCACTCACTGAAGACCATCATTGCGAGTTATCAATAGTCTCTACTACCAGTACGCCAAACGCTCTCTCCTAGCAGGAACCACAAAATATGCGAGATCTGCCATCTGTTTCATCTTGTAATGATCAGAAGGAGGATGGAGGATCATAGTCGGCGAAGTACAGTAGACGCCGGAAGAAGAGAGGAGGCAGCCAGGCCAGTCGACTCAATTCGATGCTGCAGCAATGCACCGCAAAAAATGGAAGGGACGAGTACTTTACTGAGATTACATCAGAGGCGATATTGTTACTATTAATACTGGTTAATACTGGCAAGCGCATTATAGCGAACGAATTGAAATTGTGGAGCCGCGATTTTGTTACATAGGTACCAGTACCTGGTACCAGATACCGTCCGAGTACCGATATTTAAAAAATATATAATACAAGATGTGTGCCCCTCCCCCTCCCCACCCCCGAAGTGTGGAGTGCGTGATAGCACGAACAAATCGACCCGTCTGTCATCCACCCCACCGCGCACAGCGATGACGAAAGAAAAAAGTCATCGGCTTGCTGTTGCAACTTGATCGTTGTTGTTGCATCAAACCAAAGTAGTTCGAGATGATCTTCCGGGTATCGGCAATTGCAAGATCGCGTGCTGGTCTTATTGGCCGCCGCATGGCTTCTTCCGAGGTTTCCACTCAAGCAAGTGGTATTCATTCCTTTGCTTCGGCATGGTACAACCTGTACGTACTACCTTCCGCTCGTTCGTTGGCTTGTTCTATTGTTGTTTAGGATATCTCTAACCATTTAACTTTTTCTTTGAAATCCACTACAGTTTCGGAAAGAGTACCGCGCGATATGCTACATTCATGGCCGTTGGAGTCGTTGGTGTTGAACTTCTCACCAACTCTTTCACTGATGCCTTGTGGGAGGCCAACAACTCTGGAAAGACTTACTCACAAGTTGACTGGAGCCGATTCGACCCCCCTGATGATGACGAAGAAGATGACGATGATGACGACGATGATGACGATGATGACGACGAATAAACACAGAGTTTACTTTATCAACGCTATCGGTGTTGTCCAAATCTATACACCTTCTAAGCATCACATTTTCCAATAGAATTTGAAGATCTTTATTAGGTGCCCTTAATGTTTTTTTCTTTGAATAGCGTCATTCAAATGAGATTTTTTGCAGCATCAATTTCTATTTTTTGCAAGCTACATTTTGCCTCTTTTTTTCATGAAGTACCACAACCCCAACAAGGTGTGGGGTTGTAATCTGGATTTTACCTATACCGCAAAAAAGTCCAATATTGATTTGGAACAGGTGGCAATTGGCTCGAGGTAAAAGGAGCTGGGGAGCATTTTCAGATAAGATTCGCACAGGTTGGCTGAATTCTTCTTCTCTCCTTCCGTCTGTTGCAGACTGATTTCATACTCAATCGCAATCCGATTCTCTTCCACATTGGGTTCCCACGAAGTCAAGGATAATACCAACTCTCTAGGTCTATACTTCGACCATCCCTGTCCTCGCCAATCACCCAGTGAAAAACCATGTGGCGTCAGGTCTCCCGTTCGGAAGAGTATCGGAACGTCCAGTAGTATCGGAGCATGATCCGTAACTTGTACCAACATATGAATCACGGGAGGACCATATCTGCAATTATGGTAAATGATGGATTCGAAAGTGTGTATGTTAGAAACAGACACATATAGTACTCCAAATGGTATACATATATTCCTACTCGGTCTAAACACTCCTACTTACGGTGACCAATCAAATCCAGAAGGTCCCAAACCGCCCATCAAGCCACTGGATCCAGGTGCGACCGTTGTGAATTGAATGGTTCCGTCATCATTCATTTGCACCTGCGCCCGACACTCGTCCGAAGACCGCAAGGAAGAATATCGACCATCCGGACGTGTTTGCCACACTTCGACTCGATCACTCGGTGAGGAAGGGCGCTCGACCTTGAAGCATTGACATTGTTTGCTATCATTCGAGCAACTATTGAATCGAATAGTAATGTCAAGTTCTGGTGCGGTTCCCTTTCGAAATGTCCTTCGAGACAAATTCCAAGAGGCTCTCTTGTATTTATATTGTCGAGCGGCTTCCGGTTCGCATACTGTCGATGCCAAGGGTGCATTGGGTTTGTAAGCTTGCGCCGTTCCGCCCTGACTGTAAATCGTTCGGCTGGGTCGAGGACAAACTCCTTTGACTTGTTCTACAGCAGTATTAGTAACAGGAGAAGGATCTTGATCAGCCGGACAATCTCCTTCCTTTGCGTCACATACGTCTTCACTGGAAGTGATTGTTACAAGAAGAATTAGAACTAATAGAAATAATTTGAAAAGGTGCATCTTGGAGGATGAAACTTTTGCCATGTTTTGAAAAATCTCACTATGGCACCTTCTTCGAATTGGACGGAATAATGTCAAGAAGACAAATGGGAGATAAATTCTACCCTTGGCTGTGTGCAATTCAAATGCAGAGAATGATGAATGTTCTCAACGAATAATCAATCAAACCCCTTCCAGTTTCTTTGTTTTGACATTGGAGAAATGATTCGAACAGACATAGTCTTTCCTCACTTTATGGATGAATTTGTGTCAACGCTAAAAAGTGAAAAATTCCCCCAAATAGTCGGAGTTGCTTGCCGGCGTTGAGGACATGGTTCGGACTGTTTTTCGAACCATCGAGAAAACGCAAAAGGCAATGCCACACGAATTGAATTGGAAAGCAGTCCAGATAACAAGGCAAGACTTATTGCTCCAATCTGCCAAAAACTAACTAACGAGCACACGACCACAACACTTACAAAAATGGTGGAAATCTCATGTGTACTGGCAGCAGTATTTTTAATGACTGGAAACATTCTAAAGATTGTGTATTACGCCAATGTATTTCGTGACAATCATGGAACCTTTGATTGGGAAACCTACACGACTTTGGACCCAGGGTTTATTTCCGCACAATGGGAGACTCGAATCTCAAGGCATAATTTGTTTCTAGCGTCTGGATTCATGAACACAATCGGATGGTTGTTTTTGGCGTATCCAATTCTGCAAATGGCTTGGATTCTGTCCAAAGGAGGCAGTCGAGCGCTGGTGTTGAACGTTGTGATTGGTCTTTTGTGTCTCGCGGGAGCTATCACGGAGTTGATTTCCAACTTTGTTTGGCTTGGGATGTCGTACATGTCCGAATACATGGTTTATCTTTATGGCATTAATCCAAATGAGGGCGACTGGCTGGACCGACCAGACATGCCCGACGATGACGGTTATGGTTGGAGAGTCTTGGAAATGGTTCACATTGTGTGCCGTGGTTTCATTATTTACGTAGATTCTTTTGAATGGATTGCATTGGCGGGTGTTTTCATCTTTACGTTTGCCAGTGTAAGAGGCTGGTTGCAAGAAGATCAAACCAGTTTTGGATCCAGATGGAATACTCTGGGTCTCTTTATTGGATTTGTCTGCATTCTCGAGTTTGTGGCTGAAATCCTTCGATTTGAAGAGAATATGAGATTTAGCTCGAGAATCTTTGGGATTGTCTCCATCATTTATGCCGTCCTAAACCGCATCATCTTTATTCCCGCTTGGATTTTGAGTTTGGGCGTCATGATTCCAAGGGCCACCATGAAGATGGCCTTTGAGAATCCAGCACACCGACAAAACGGTGGTGGTGGCGGTGGTGGCGGTGGTGAATTGCAAATGACGGAAATTCGACCAGAATCTGCAGCGCACGATGGCAATGATTTTACCATTGACGATGTCGAGGAGGAAGAGGATCATCCACCAACAACAAAAGATCAGGGACCCGCACGATCCCCACCACCTGCAGCCTTTACTACTACCACTACCGAGTAAGAAATTGGATTTCGAGCACGGAAGTAAGTTACTAAACACTAGATTATAATCTTATTCCATACATTAGACAAAAAATGTACAAAGACTTGTTTATAGTGATATAATGGTAGAGTGAGACAAAAGCAAAAAGTTGTATTGTATTATGGGTTTATTTTCTACACTTCATAACCCGTACTGTTGTTACCATCTTCCGAAATATCAATGGACCCAGACCTCGATTTGCTGGTGTCGTTATTATTAATACTTCCATTGTCCTCCTCCTTGGTCTGCTGTTGCCAGAGCGATTTCACACCGGTTTGCTTGATGCGTTCAATCGCACCCGCCACTTTGATGCGTTCAATCTCATCTCCACCCTTGGCCTTGATGTTTTCCAACAAGTCTCGTCCTTTGAAACGTAACGAATCAAACATGATTTGTCTCGAGACGGCAGTATTAGAAGTAGCAGCAGAAGCAGAATCTTCCATGCTGGCGCCAATGACATCGTCGTCTGAAGCCTTGTTCTCGTTGACAGCATCTTCCACAACGGATTGCTTCTTGGACACTGTATTTGACACCCACTGGGTAACGACGGATCGCAATTCATTGACTTGAACAACCTTTGAATTTGTCGCAGTACCATCCTTTGCAGCAGTGTCGCTACCACTGCTAATGCCGGCAGCTGCTGCCACTAACAAGCCTTCCGAACCTTCGTCCAAGAGTTCCAAAATTTGGTTCTTTTCGGCAATCTCCTTCTCCAATTTGGCCTTTTGCATCTTCAACTCTTCCTCAAGAGACAAATGCTCTGCCTCCAATGTGGTCAAACTCATTTTGGTATCCACCAGCTGGTTGGACAGCTTTTCTAGACTCACATCCAAAGACGCCTTTTGGGCCACTAATTTGAGATATTCCTTGGTCATTTCCGACGCCTGTGGATAATCAATCATGACGCGAGAGCGAGTCCATTTCCGACGTCGTTTGATAATGTTGCGAGTACCCACGTTGGGCATTCTAAGTTCCGAATAGTAATCCGAGCTGGAAGCCGAGGCAATTTCAGGGCTGTTCGAGTACGACCAACCCTTTTCGTCGGTATCTCCCGTCTTTTCAATTCTCCATCCACCAATCCATTGCCAATCTCCACCATCTTGTGGAAGTGGATAGCCCTTGTCAATGTTGACAATCTGGGATATATCCAAGTTGGTGAGTACGCATTGTCTGGGAGGGGATGCACTGCTGGGCGTCTCGTTGACTGTCCGGCCAGGTTCGGGATTGACAATGGGAAGTGTCTTGAAAAAGACTGGGAAATACCGGAGTTCCTTTTGCCAAGATTTATCGGATCGATACATTTGCCACTCATAAACCTTCTCTTGTGCAAACAAATGTGGACGGGCCCTTGGATCCCACGGAATGATTTCGAGCATTCGCACGACATGAACGGGCAACTTTTGTTTGGTGGAAAAGGCGGGGCGAGCTTGAGTCAGTGCATTCAGCAATTCCAAGTAGCCACCTGCCTCTGCCTGAAGTGTCATGTAATCCCTCGCTGAAACGTTGCTGGATTGGCTACTCTTGCGTTTTTCCGTGTGCAGATTCTGTTCCAACTCGCGAACACGGGATTCCAGTTCGGCCCGTTTGGTTCGTTCTCGATCCAGTTCTTCCAATACATCATTCAAGACTCCTTCTTCTTGAGTTTCTAAAAACGATTTCTGGGGACTGGAGTCATTCGTCGTTTTGGCACTGGGAAGAGAAGCTGCCGCGGGAGCCGAAGCCGTTGCTGCTGGCGTTGCGGGAGTTGTGGATGTGGCGGAATTTGAGGAAGCGGCAACAGAGGGAGGCAAGGCTGCCGTTGTGGCGCTCGCATATCCGATGGATGTAGACGATTCCATCTTTACTATTTGTAATCGCAGTTGTCTATCCAAAATGCTTTGTAGTGCAGGCAAGGATCATCAATGACATCGACACAGATCTGATTTGATCCAAAGACCTGTTTTCGTTTTCAAAAGCATTCCTTTTAGTCAAACGCTGCTTTCAGAGGCGACTCACTCGAAAGACAACCAACTCTTCTCATCCAAGATTCAATACATCTGCTTCTATTCATTCTAACTTTGGTATGGGCACAGTTGCCACAAAGAACAGCAGAGACAAGATGAAAAAAAGCAAGGCTGGTTACAGCCGTCGTGCTGCTCACGCCGGATCTTGGTATACCAACAAGGGACACCACTTGAAGCAAGAATTGACATCCATGATACAACAAGCCGCCGCTCTCAGCACAGAAGCATCTTCTTCCATGAGGCCGTTAAAGGCAGTAATTTGTCCACATGCGGGATTTTCTTACTCTGGGTCCACTGCTGCGTACTCTTACAAACGTGTTCAAGACGAGCTGGAACAAAATCCATCCATCACTTCGGTTCTGGTATTGCATCCATCCCATCACGTGTATTTGGATGGATGTGCGGTTTCGGGTGCCATCTTACTAGAAACTCCCTTGGGAAATTTGACTGTCGATGGTAATTTGAGAGACGAACTCTTGGAGACTGGTAAATTCTCAGTCATGGAACAATCAGTGGACGAAAACGAACACAGTGGAGAAATGCAATATCCATTCTTGGCCTTGGCAGCCCAAGTGGCAAATTGTTTGGAACGAATACAAGTGTTGCCCGTCATGGTGGGAAGCATTTCTGGCAAATCCGAAGCTTTCTTTGGAAAGATATTGGCTCCTTTTATTGCTCGTCCCAATGTACTTTGTGTGGTATCAAGCGACTTTATGCATTGGGGATCACGCTTTGGATATCAACCAACAATCGTCTGCAAGCCAATCCACGAGCACATTTCGGAATTGGACAAACGGGGAATGGATTTGATTCAGGATCAAGAACCAGAGGCTTTTGCCAAATACCTGAAAGAAACCAAGAACACTATTTGCGGGCGACATCCTATATCTGTGTGGTTGCAGGCCGTTCAGGTCAATTCATCATCACAAGTCGAAACCTTGGACATCTCGTTTATCAAATATGCTCAGTCGTCGCAGGTCATGTCATTGCGAGATAGCAGTGTCAGTTATGCAAGTGCCATCGCCTTGCAACAACAGCAAGTATCATCATGACGACATCAATAGTCAAGAAGGAGGAGAAGGCACCAAGGAACAGAAGTAGTCGAGAAGTCGAGCAGTCGGTACACAGGTCAACACTATTCACTATACCTACATAAAATATGCACAGTACATTCAATAGCACTCTTCGATAGATAAATTTGTACCTACGAGGGAACTATCATAGTGTTTCGTCGAATAAAGGAACCCGGAGAGGATCGCCACCAAACTACAGTACAGTATAAAAACTTCGAACCAACAGACGACCCTGGACAAGTCATGCATCACTGCAAGCAGCTGAAGCAATAGCCCCTCAAATCTGCTTTCAATCTTTGAGTTAATGTCATGAAATCACTTCTTTGGCTTCTCACACTCGTCATAGTGTTTGGGGTGTCATCGGCATTCCACACCCCCAAACCGCCGCTACGTTGTTCCAACAGGGCAAAGCTCTATTCATATTCTTCTCAAAATGACGAGAGCTTAAACTCAGTGGGAGATTATGTGAAGCAAGTTCATGGGGGCAAATATCAGTTTGGTGATGCCGGAATCAATAGCATTGGTCAAGAGTTTGCAGAGACTGGATATGGCTCCGAAGCCCCAAAAGAAGATGTCGAGTCCTCGCTGCTAGCAGAAATTCCTCGTTGGGCAAATCGAATGGGAACGGAAAGAGGTATAGAATCAAAACTTTGTGGTACCATATCCCTTAGTTCTAGTCCAGTATCCATCAGCATTGTGAATGAGGAGCGGACATGGGAACCTTTCTACGTCAAGGTCCTCATAACAGCTGCTAATGAACCCCAAACTGATGCTTCTGGAAGCTTTGATGATACCCACCCACTCTCCATCCACCCTAGAGCGGGTACACTAGCTCCTAGAGGTGGAGCAGTGAACCTATGCGATCCAAACAAACCATATTCAGACGCCGCAACCATCACGGTCGACGCTTCTGGCGACTTGTCGTTGTTGTTGTCAGAAGAACATGCTCTCTATGTGCTGATAGGTACCGAGGAAGAGAAATGGTATTACCAAATAGAAAGGTGAACTCGTAATTTCGCATATACCGTATATTCTGGTATAGACCAGTATTATCATTCTTAGAATCAAGGGAGATTTCAATCATCCACCGTTCTGTGTTTCTAGTCCAAGTCAGATACCGATATTTCAGATTTGTCGGATCTTTTTCTTAATATGCTCTCGTTCTGGTGTGCTACTAGTCCAATCTGGTGCGTTGGGCGCCAAGTCCGATACTGAAATTATCGTTAAGGACCAGCTTGCTAGATTCGCTGCATCTTCTGCGTTTGCACTTGCACCGGTAGTATGTACCAGTATTTTGCAGTCCTTGTAGTTTTCATTTTCGCTCAAGAAGGCACGGGCTGGTGCAAATGGCGAATGTGCCACGCCATATTGATCCACCTGAACGAGTAAATGTGGTTCTTTTCCACGAAAATGGGGGGCCAATTGACTGACAGCATCCAAGCTACATCCATACTCCAGGGCACTGATTTGTCTGCTTGTAGCAAAAGTTCCATCTGCAAAGGATACAGCAGCTCCGAACTGTATTGGATGGTTTTCGGAAATATTGGCGCTTGCTTCTTTCGTAGCCATTTTCAATAGCTGCTTCCACGGATCGGACTTTGATTCTGTCAGAAGTATTGAACTAGTGGATTGTGAATAGGTTTCCCCAAACGAAACAGATTGCGATGAGTTGCATCTTGTGTATGGCGATGGATACGGATACAGTGCTCTTAAAGTGGTATCCAATATTGGAATACCATCCACACATCCCTCTTTTATTCCATCATCCATAAACAAGTCACCGTCCCGTTTGTCGCACTGGGTACACTTGCATCCCGTCGAAATGATGCGCAAATCCCATGGAATACAGTCATGCCCCGCCATAAATTCTCGACACAGCATCCCTGGCGCAATTGGTTCCGTACTGTCCGTACATATCACCAATTTGGTCACTCGAGCGGATGGTAGAAATCGCAGCTGCACGATTGTGGATCGTTCGGCGCAAATGGAACCACCCATGAATCCTGGTTCATCGTTGGTTCCCACAATGTAAGATCTGCCATCATCGGTTCTTTGAGGGACCCAAGGTGGAAGTTTGGAAGACTGTTTCAATTTTTCGTTTACTTCTTCGTAAAACAGTAGCGCTACTACTCGAAAAAATGATTGTGGCGGTTTGGACAGCGATAATCGGTATCTGTTTACCAACAAGATATCCTTTCGATCTTCGGTTGACACCATGACGAACGAATATTATTGGATGTTGTGCAACGTTTCCAGACTGCTTAAAATAAAGGAACTATGCAAGGACTTGTGCAAAGCCGAAGTCTTGATCAACCGGACTTGGTCATGAGTTTGTTTGTTGAGGCGAAAGATTTATTACTGATACAGCTGGTCCAACCTCCTGCGCACTGACGGAACTCTAAAAATATCAAAAAACACACAAATTACGTCACTTAACAATCCATTCCCTCACTTCAGATCTATCTTGACGTGAAAACGCACGAATGATGCAGGTATGTTCCCTCATTTAAGAGATACAAGCTCACGACAAACACATTGTGACGTCAATCACACAAGAATGACGCTGGCTTGCGTGGTCGAATTCGGCGTGGTACATCAACGTGGCACATCTGCTGAAAGAAATCTACGGCAGCTTGGCCATGCTTCTGAAAATTCTCATTGGCTGCAGAATTTGTGTACAATTCATACCAGATCCTACGGGCATTGAAGCTAATCTTTAGACTGTGTGACATCGTCTTTGGCCCCATTCTTCTCGAGAATTAATGGGAGTTCCCCGCAGTACGTACACACAGTACCAGCTGGAAGTGCCAAGTACTGAGTTCTACAGCAAACCCACGAAGATACCTTTTGGTGTTGAATTTGTATCATGTGATCCCGTTGCTGTCTCTGATGTGTCAAAGCTGCGTGGAGCACTCGCTCCACTCAGAACCCTCGAAAAAATTTGTTTCGTTGTTTCCATCATTTTCAAACCTTCAGAAAAGCGAAAGATGAACTCATCGACAGCACAAAGAAAGTGCAAACGGAAAGCAAGCGAGATGTCTGTGAACCATGATAATATCACAGAGCATCGTGTAACGAAAATGATCAAAGCGGAAGCATCCTTTCGAACGATGCAAACCATCCGAATGACAAGCTCGTGGAAGAACCAAGTTTGGAGGGAACAGGTAGCACAGTGGTGCTACGATGTTGTTGATCATTTGGACGCATCCAGAGAAGCTGTGTACGTCGCGATGAATGTGCTGGATAGATACATTGCTGAGACGTCATCATCAGCAGCAATGGACAAGGTTGAATATGAAAAAATCGCAATCACAGCGTTCTTTTTAGCATTGAGAATAACAAACTCTGTCGAAATAAGGATCCCAGAGATCCTTTCCCTTAGTCGTTCCTCAATACAACCTCAAGACATTATCTCAACTGGATCGAGAATACTTGAATGCTTAACATGGAGCAACAGAATTCTTACACCACATTCATTCCTCAAGGCGTTTATGGGCTTGAGGTCGCAGAGCTTGAACCCAAGCACTGTGACGTCATGGTTGGATCTTGCAGTCTACCTTGTTGAAATTTCTGTTTGTGATGGAGAATTCTCGCAAACAGCGGCTTCTCAGCTTGCAATGGCTGCCATTATTGTAGCCATGAAGAAATCCGGCGATTATGATGAAAACAAAAAGCAGTGCGATTCTCTGGTGCGAGACATCTTTGAGCATGCCTCCATAGATCCATGTTCAACCAGTCTACGATCACTCTGTGTCCGTCTCCAAAACATCTACAATCAAAGTCAAGAAAGCCCTCAAGCCAATTCTCCACACGTAATCGAAGCTGAAGATGATGAACAAACCGACTCGTGTCAGACAGGACTAGACAATCGATCTGAGCTCGACAGAGTGACATCCGTCTCAAGACCGATCTCACCTTTACAGAACAAGGACTGGTAATAGTCAGTCCATTGTACTTACACTCTTACACCCTCGCTTGGCATGGAGAAATACTCTTCCCTAGATCACACCACCACTACATACTCACAATTTGATGGGAAGAAGTCTTTGAATCCAATTTTGAACCTAAGGATCCAGTTTTATCAGACAAAACCACATAACGATAAAGATCCACATGCCTTGTACTTGCCATTATAAATTTGTAGTTATTATTTCAATAGCTAGAGTGGAAAGCAGAAAGCACTATCCAAGATCCCACCGGCCAAAACCATCAATTGGTTGCGTCCGTGGAGGAGGGCATCTGAACTTCCACGGAGAAAGCAGCTCAGTTTTGCTGCACACGCAGCCTTTGGGTAGAGGATGACACAAGCCTGACACAAAGGAAAAAGGCTCAGAGTCTTGGCCCTCGGATTTCTCAGCAGCACTCTCAGCAGTCGCATTTTGTTGTTGATCTGCTTCATTATTTTCTTCAATTGCTTCAAACTCGAACTCACCATCATTCGGATCGCCGTTTGGCTCAGTCTTCTTCCGCTTTCCTACAGGATTGGACCTATCCACTTGTGACCTTTTCCTCTTCGCCGCCGACTCTTCTACTGTTTGAGGGCTCTGCTTTTTATGTGTGGCGATAACGTGAGAAATCTGCCTCTGCGCTTCCACAACTCGAGTCATATGTCTCTGTGCTGCATCGGCTTGAGAAACCTGCCGCTGTATTGTATTCCCTTTTTTAATATATTCAGAAAGTGATTTCTTTGCTATTTTCCATACCTCAGAGAATTGCTCTGGAGTCAAACTTTTCAAAGTCTTCTTCCAATACTGTTTTCTGTTGGTGAACGCTTCTTGCCTCCTTTTAATATCCTGAATGTTTCCTACTTTTTCAATCAAATCATCCAATATTGATGTATGCAAAGAATTATCACGGTTTTTGCGAGGTACTTGTGGGGGTTTTCGTGATTGCTCGAGCCTTTGTGTAGAGTTCTCCCGCTCTTGTTCTGTTTGTCTCCTTTCTTCCAAGAGTTTCTTCTTTTTCTGATATTTTTGGTCAACATCTGCTGCATGTAGACTACAATACATGGTGACAACGGGGTCCCGGTGCTCGCTACCAGGAAAATAGTAGACTCTCTGCACATCGAACGGATTCGATCCACCCCATCGAGAACAACCGACATGGAGTGCTGCTGTACAGGTCTCGTCGTTTGAAAGGCTCGGATGCTTCCCCCGAAATTCAGAATATTCGTTCTCGTCGTTTGCGTTGCACTTTTGCAGAGAAATTAGCTCGATGACCATAGGAAGAAGAAACAACCATCAACCCGATGCAACAAAATCTTACCTGGACACAAATACGGAGTACACCCTCAGGCTTGTCGTCTGCCCCGCAAATAGTGCATATCAACGACCTTATCTTTTTGAGCCCTCTATAGAGCTTTTGGCTTTCCTTATTGTTATTATTCAAGCCGATGTATACGAAATGATGAACTGGCACAGAGTTTCCGAACTCATCGCCTTCTTGAGTCTCGTCCATCAATTCAGAATTTTCCGACCTGTCATCGATTTCGGTATCTTCTTCTGATTCGCCAATCGCGTCATAATTTCCATCACGAGAACAACCGAATAAATAGGATTTGGTATTCAAGACAAAGGCGCAGAGTGTGTGTGCCCAAGCAAGACCGCCATCGTTGTAGATCTGTCGACCACCTGGCCCGGCACGATCATAGAGTGGATGCATCGCATGGGTTCCGTCACTAACACTGCAGAGAGCGCATTTAGTGGGGCGAGATCGCTGGAGAATTCTTCTACGATTCCCTAACTCGTCGCGGTCTTCGATCTCAAATGATCGACCGACTGCTTGGCAAGCCCAACATGTGAATGTTTTCAAGGTATATAAAGTGAAGCCATAGCATTCCTTGTGTACTGCTAGACCGCATTTATCGCAGTGAATCATGGTCAACTGTTCGTGACTATCTTTGAATCCGCAAATATCACATCGTTTTCCTTTCATCTTTCATGGAAGGTCCATTGTGAACATGGAAGTTGAAAGTCAGGGAGCGAAAGATTTGAATAGATTGATTAGACCACTTCGACTACTGAAATTCGACCACTTCGACATCAATTCTTTGCAGATTTCAGATTAGAGAAACCGAGACCATACTGTACATACCATTCTTGCAATTTTACGAGTTGGTCATTACAATCTCTGCCCGCAGAGACAAGATATTCTCCAGCTGTATGATTCCAACTGCGACAATCGAAGGTTGCTGATAGGGCATAATCTTCAATGGTTTCCTCCGGCAGCACCTTTTGGCGCTTTATTGCAGTGTCATTTGCAGTCGCTTTCTTGGCTCAAACACTCTTGTTTGCAACATACTTTCACCACAGTGCCTCGAATGCAGATCAAAACGCTGTTCCGGCGGTTCAAGCGTTTGTGGTGGACTCAAAAAAACATGATGATATGGAACCTAGTACGCCAAATCGACAACTGGAGACTGTTCTGGAAGGTGTTGCAGTATCAGTAATGTTAAAAGCACCAAAATGGTTTCATCGTCGATACACAGTGATGCTGCACAACGCCTTGGCAAACTTTCCAATTTCTTGGAAAATACAAGTGTTCTACAATGACAGGTGGCTAGAAAAAGATGTTCTTCCATTGCATCCAGGTGCGTATTAAATTCGAATAAGAACCAAGATGCTAATCCGGACGTAGCTGCTGCCTGCTTGAAAAATGGCCAACAAGTCTGATATTTCCCAAATTTGCTTTCGAAAGGTTTGAGGAAGATGAAGTCAGGCCACGACCGTATCATATGGACACAAATCCCGGAAAAGATGACTAGATGGAAACCAAAGGATATAATGAAATCGGTTTGGCTTTGGGAGAACATGGAGCATGATAACGTTTTTCTTTTTGGAGGCAATGGGGCCTTTTGTGGGAATACAGATGTCTCTCTTGATAGGTTCCTTAGCTACGATTATGCTGGTGCTCCATGGAATGCATATGGTGGGAACGGAGGTGATGGGTCGTCACACTCATTTCGGCATCGATCAGTCATGTTGGAAATTCTGAAGGAACACCCACCAGATGATGGTGATCAGGACTACAAGTACTTTCTGAAACATATGATGAAGGATTCGACGAAGTACAAGATTGCAGATCGAGATACAACACTTGCTTTTGGAGGCGTTTCCAATGTCACACCTTTATTGTTGTCGGGAACTCAACCGCACTTGAACTTCACAACCAGAGAAAGTATATTATTCATTTGTCCAGAGCTGAAAGTGATTTTCCCATCCCTCCATGAACCCACTTGTTTTGGTGCTCATCCAAAACCGGAGACTTGCCAGAGTTCCATATGTGCACTCAATGATATACCGCCTCAAGGGTGCTAGAATATCGATGAAGTTGGAATTGCACGAAACTAATGTATTTGATGCCGGCAACAATGAAGAAAACGATACTTCTTTCGGTGCACTGTGGCATCATCTGGCTGTAACCAGCTCCTTTTCTGATTGTCTCACGTTATCCACTACATGCATATCCACCAACACGAAAGACTAAAAACACCATTCCTCCGGAATAATGGATAGATTCAGTCCAACAGAATGCTATGGAAGCATTGAGGTATGTTACAGTAGGTACTAAATGGTGATTGATTTACTGGTACCGGTATATCGGTGCAATTGATTGGTTATTGTGATTGGTTGATTCGGTCGATTGATTCGATTGATGGATCGATTGATTCCTTCGATTCATTTCCACAAGAAAAGCGGAAACAATCCGAACTCACATACGACGAATTAGCCACCGACATGGCAAAGAGCACAAGAAAGTGGAGCGCAGAACTCGAAGCAGATGGGAGGCACAAAACATTCAGTCGGTTCTGTCGCTTTTGGTATTGGGCGCAGAGCCTGTTTGCTGGAACAATATCCTGGCACAAGAACATTTAGAGCATTGTTGAAGAAGAATTTTGATGCATATCGGGAAGCCAATCAGGAGGGACGGGATGAAATCGCCCAAGACATTGTGGACCAATTTCCGCCAGACGCTTTCTTCAAACTCGAAGATGGGGAATTGTCCCCTCTGGACAAGCAACTGGCCAAAATGGAGGTGAAGACTTCGATGGCCAGGTTGAGGGGACACAAGACATCAAAGGAGAAGGAAAACAAAATGAGAACCGAAGAACCAGAGGAAAGTGAAGGTATTCCTTCCGTCAACGATCTTCTTTTTCGCAACAAAATGCCAATGTCCGCCAAGAACCGTGGTACACTGCGGTTTGAAAAAATGGTTATGCTTATCCTTGCTCAGCTTCGAAACAAGGGAGGGAAAATCTACTTGAATGCTTCAGACGAGAAAGCAAGAGGCCTAGCGCGCCGACTCCTCAAGCAACAGAAGGAAGTGAATCCTGGCCAAGCGTACTTCGAATACGATGCTATAACCAAGAAGTACTGCAAACAGACTGACGAACAAGCATTTTGGAGAGCTGTAAATTTTGTTGAAAGTGTCAAACGTTCTCACAATAGCAAACAAATGCCGATCGAGAAAAGGTGTCGAGATTATGGAATGAACCTAAACAAAGAAGGTGAGATTTGTTTGAATGAATTAGTACTGACTGCAGCATGGCTTATATTTTTGTTCACCATGTAGACATGCAAGATGCAAACAATGCTCCTACCATGTCCGATTCTGCCGTCACAAATTCTGTCCATGAGATTACCAAAGCTATCGACGCTACGACTTTGCCTTCTTGTACTGTCTTTGCTCATGCCGCGTCATTCAAGAACTCAATGGTGAAAAATGGCTCACCTTTTCGAGCTAGTACTAAAACCAGTGCAAACGATTGCGGTGTCGGGTACAAAACCAACCAATGTTCCATAGCGACAACTGCAGTAACTAATGCACCCCAAGGCTCTACGAAGGAGGAACTACTTGCAAGGGAAGCAGATGAGAATGGAGGGGTCGCGTTGTCTGCTTTTGCTGCTACATCAGAAACTGGTAACAAAACACTTCAAGAAGGCAATAGGATCAATGCAGCGCGTCGTGGAACAAAACGGCCATTTGATGAGACCAATGCAGTTTATCTGGATGAGACGGATGACTCAATTGCATTGCCGATACCATTGCGCGATCGGGTCGGGCCTTTAGACCAAAAAATGCTAAAGCACCTGTTGGAAATCTGCGAGTCTGACCCGAACTTCAAGCATGTTGTCTTGTCTCAGCTATGCCCAGAACTCACCAACTTCGAGCAGAGTGGTTCTGGGTTAAAACGAGCTACTCGCAATCCAGAGAAGCAGCTCAAGGCAACTATCTCCGAGAATGAAAGACTTCAAAAGAGCAATGAAATGATTGAGAAGGACAACGACGAGAAAGCCCGGAAGATTGCCGCGTTGGAAGCGCAGCTTGTTTATTCGAAGAGAAGAGAGGAAGAGCTCAAGGTATCCGGTATGGAAGAACTCAAATCAGCTCTGTCACTACGCACCAACTTGGAGAAGAGTCTTGCGGAGTCTAGAAGAGCTACTCAGAATGCAGAGAAGCAGCTCGAGGCAACCATGTCCGAGAATGAAAGACTTAAAAGGAACGAGCAAAGGATTGCCGAATTAGAAGCAAAGCTTGATTCTATTAAGGAAGACCACCAAACAGCTCTGTCCCGGAACCGCAGGCTTCGAACGAACAACGGAGCGCTTCGAACGAGTAATGAACAGAACAAACGCACGATCTCTGGGTTGGAAGCCAAGATTGGAAGAGAGAAAGACCTTGAAGAAATTTCAAAACGCTACGAAGATGCCTATAAATCTATGGCCGAGAAAAATGGAGTACTCGAGGATCAGCTCCAGGCTGTCAAAGACTGGTTTGAAAATGAAGCGAGACTAGGGCAGCAGCTTGAGGACCAAATCGAAGCCATTCTCGCTCCGTAGATTCGATACAGCGTAGAAAATCACATGCTTCCCCGTAGCGTGTCATGGCATCAAAACGAGTAGATAATGCAACAGGAGAGTCAATAGTACCGGTAGGAAGATTGAATACCAGCACTCGAAATGACTGTATGAGTCGAAGTAGTCGACGCAAAGTTTTCCCATGATATAATATGAATAAAGATGATGGTGTGACTATTCCTCATGAATCTATCCGCAGAACCCAGGCACTTACTTCGAGGCAAGATGATGAAATTCGTTATCCTGTGTTTTTCGCTCTCCAATACCCTTGTTGAGGGCTCAACCAATCTATTCGATGGGTACAAGAAAAGGAGTGGTTTGATTGCCGACGTGCCAGCTGCAATCCTTTCCAATGAAGTGGAATTTCCTTTAGTTGGGCTCGGCGTCGGAAATCTGCAATCCGACAGGGTAGAGAACATGATTTACGAAGGGCTCAAGGGTGAGAACCGAATTCGACTTTTTGATACGTCTCAAGTGGCAGGGGTCGATAATGAAATCATCCAAGGGATCAAATCGGGAACTAAGAGGTTCAAAGAGGCGGACGGCATTGATGACCGTGTTCAAGTACATCTGGTCACAAAGATTCGACACACTTATCTTGGATACGAACGAACAAAATTTGCTGTAAAGTCAATTCTTCAAACGTATTCCCCTGTTCTCAAAGACTCGAACATTGACTTTCGGATACATTTTCTCATTCATCATCCTCGGTGCATTGACAGCGTTGATGGGATGGATTGCGAAAAAGATGAGGATGAACTCCCAGGAAAAGTCAAACGGGTGGGTTCTGCACCACATCTAGGTGATGGAGATGCCTGGAAAGAAAGCTGGCGTGCGTTAGAAGATCTATACAGCTCTGATGACTACCCTGCAATCTCCAGCATTGGAGTTTCAAATTTTTCGGTCGAGGAGATGGACGAGTTACTTGGACTCTCCCGAGTAAAACCTCACCTAGTTCAAATGAATATTTCATCATTGATTGAGGATACAACACTAGTGGATAGATGCAAAATGCATGACACCCACATAGTGGTTTTCAACGTTATGGAACACATCGTCATGAGGGCGGCGGGGACACCACGTGCTTTCAAATCAGTGGCGTTGACAGGCGACGCCTTGTCAAACGGTCGGAATGCTGCAAATCCAGGGCAAATTATACTCAAATGGCTGACTCAGAATGGAATTTCGATCATTCCTCGGACGCATGATTTGGATCACCTTTCGGAAAACTCGGTTGGAGCACTTGCTAGGCTATCAGACATATCCTCCAACGCCAACATCGTCCTTCAGAAAGCAGTAGAAGCTATACACATGGGGGTGGACTTGGATGAAGATCCTCGGGTTCAAATGAGCTTTTATGCTTCGGACGGAGATATCTTTCTTTACAGGTATAAGGAGAACCTAGCTGACCAAACATATGTTGCCTATGTTGGAAAGGGTAATTCCGCTAAAATTTGGGTCAACCCCAATGACACCTTCCGAGTATATAATGCATACGATCCCAAACTATTCAAGGACTATGTGTTGTTGGAACATGATGGTGATGATCGCCACATTGCTGTTGGAAGTCTGTGATAGTGCGGTATGTCATTCTCATGCTATAGTACAAACAATATTCTTGATTGCGCATGCGAAAATAGGGAAACATGATCCAAATTTTGTGACCTGGAATTCTGTTATCGAGACAATGGGTAGTGTCCGCTGGAATAATCGGTTGATCCGGTCCAACAGTGTGAAGTAATAATCAAGGCGTTTGAAAGATCTTTTGATGGAGAGGAAGGTGTGAGAAATATTGAGTCATAGGTTGAGATGGGAAGTATGGATATCAATATCATACTATTTTTTTTTACAACTCTCGCTTCACCATGATTGACTTGTTGAATACATGATCGCCAGACGAGAATCAAAAAGAGTCCTGCAGGAATTGGCAGTGGACATCAACTCAAGAACAAATTCGGCCACTTTCAAACGAAGAAGATATTTAACTCGATGAGAAGGCCTTTTTCTTCAAACTAATTAGTTTAAAAAATCCAACAAGGGCTTTGATTTGATTGATACCGGTGGCAAGGGAGTGGTTGTGGTGGAAGATTTGGCCCCAGTCGTAGCTAAGGAGATTTGACAAACGAAGAATTGGTTGAAATGATGGAGTTTGTGAACAGAGCTGGAGTTGGGACACGAAGCATTGACATACATACGGAAAAGATGGGTGACTTCTTGTACTATGCAATTGACATTAATAGCAACAAAATTCTATTTTTTATATAATGAAATGACGTTATCCAGTATTTGGTTCGTAAAGACGCACCAGAGCTGATTCGGGGCAGTCTCTTCCAGTAATGGGACATTTGGGATTTTCTCGCACATGTGAGGTAATGCACAAGAGGCAAAAGACATATCCCGCCGTAGTAGCAGTTGGATTGATCCTCGTCTGGCGACAGAGTGGACAAACGGTAGCTGGAAGGCTCAACAAGTCGGGATTCTTGGCCGCCAGCGGTGCGGGTGGAGGTGGAATGAAATCATTATTTTCTGACTGCTGCTGCTGCTGCTGCTGTTGTTGGTTTGGTAGTACTTGTCGTCGCAACCGTTGCCGTATCTTTCGGACTCGGGCCATCCAACCGATTGCTAATGCCGTTGTCAGTACCCCTACCACGGTCTTTTTGAAGAGTGCATTGTTGAGAATTGCCTTGGACGTGTCCAGTGTCGATTCAAGGAGCTTGTTTTGTTGCTTCTTTTTACTGCTGTTATTCTTTTCGTCTTGAATCTGGTCTTGTTCTGTCACTCGTCGTACCACCAGGTTCAGAAATTTTGAGTAGGGGTCAAAGAAAACCGACCTCCCTAAGAGAAATCTCCATTGTTCCACTAAATGTACCCCTTGAATCGATATATGCATAAATGGATGCAAAAACTTGATCATCTTTTTCAGTTTCTGTATCCTGGAAGGTGATGATGATGATGATGATGATGATGATGATACTATTGTGTCCGAATCATCAACGGACGACGTAGGCGATTGAAAGTAGCCATCCACCCGTTCTTCAAAATACGTACTAAAGGAAAGCAGAAATGCCAGCCGTATGCCATCTTTCCTGCTCATGGGTGTCAGGCGTCGTTTCTCGCTATAACCCAAACTCGCTCCAGTCGCTCTGGTTTCCAACTTGACCCGCTTTCCTCCATAAATAGTTTCCGAAGCAGCAGCGTCGGAGGATAACAAGGATCCTCGTTGCACTAGATAAATAATTAGGCACCGAATCTCGGGATTCCATGGCTTGAGAATCTTGTAAAGTAGTATCCGAGCAGCTTTTTTCTTGAATTCAAACCAGCGACTTCTTCTTGGACTTGTCTGATTTTCATCGGTATTATTGTTATCATTTTCGGTTGTAGTAGGGGATAGATCACTATTCGAGGCAGCACCAGCAACAGGTGAATCGTCATTATTCACAAACTCGTCCAGTTTGGATTCCACGAACGAAAAGCCTGATTTCAAAGCTTCGTGTCCAGATCGGCGAGCTTCGGCAATCATCATCATTTCGAAAAAGGATGGAAGAATCGATTGTGGATCTATCGTCCATTCTTCTGCCAGAAGGGCTCCCATGGTGGTTGGAACCATGGGGTTGACGTCGTTCACGGTAGTGGTTGGGTGTGCGATCATTGTTGGGTTGTATTTGTGTATTGGGAATATGTGCTTTGCTTTGGTGGCTTTGGTATGTGCAGCGTTCAATAAATTCGATCGATAAAGTGATTCTTTCTCGTTCGCAATATTATCTCATCGTTGTGGTCGTAGTTTGATACTCTTGTGGTTACTGCTGTTTGTTGATATACAGAGAAGAAGAAGAAGAAGAAGACAGGCTCCTGTGTAATGCAAAACGCATACTATGGTTTGATGATGGTTGGGCCTAATTTAGGCTTTATCTGGGACTGATTTAGGCTTTGTTGGGGCTTCATTCAGGCTTTTGCTGTGGGGCCTAAATTAGGCTTTTGCGAAGAACAAAGACATCTGCGCATGCAACACTTTGAAGCTTGACATTCGGCGCCATCCGCGTATATTGTGACTCCATTCTACACGCTGGCATTTTCCTTCTATTGGTCTTACAACACTATATAAAAGTGGTACAGTACTCCTATCTATTCCTCCCCCCCCCTTCCTTTGACACAATGAATCAGCTACCAGTGGATCTGTTGTTCGAGATTGTCGATTATTTGAATCCAAAAGAACGGCAACGGTTCGCGGAAACGAATCTCTGTCATCGGTATCTTTTCCCCCTCCCATTGATTCTCAAAATAACGTCCAAGTCTAGTGGATCCGCCCTGCAGGAACGATTCTTTGTATCCTCTCGCAACGATCCGCAAACCATGCTCTTGGATCACGAAGAATTGATATTTGAACAAGATTATCTGTTTTGGGCTTTTGATTACGAACGAGGAAATCGAGTCTATTTGAGTCGACACGGCCAAAAGCTTTTGAATACAGAATACACACAATACATGTTCACCATGGGGCTGAGACCAAAACATCCAACCCAGTTTGTCCGGATCAAGGGCGGTGAAGCGGGCACCAAAGTTGGTTTGGAAGACAGCATCGGACTGGACATTGGAGGCACCTCCAACATAAAACACACGCCCGATTCCAAAGATCGAATGTATCTGTCATCGCAAGCCTTGACAATGGGTGCCTTGTGGTATGCTATACAACAAAAGTGGGGAAATTATGAGAAATTGCAACTCTACAAGTGTCAAAACTATCATGCTCAAAAACATTGCACGGCCACAACCATCACTAATAATCATAAGCATCATCAGCATCATCAGCATCATGGCCAGCCGCAGGACGACCGAGCGACACCCTTGATCATCCATGCCATTCCCGACATTTGCGACGGACTTTGTTCACTCTACAGCCCGAAAAGTCTAAAAGATGGACGAGCTGCCTGCGAACTCCATCACATCAATATCAAATTTCATTTCTGGGTCCTTGGTGGTCTTTTGTGTTTCAAAGCAAACATGTCGTCAGTTCCATTTGCCTTTGGAGTGCCCATGTTGGAGGAGGATAAGGCTGGTGGAATCAAGGATCCTACTGTCGATTGTCTCAAGGTACTATTGAAAAAGAACTCTTCGAGGTGGTGGGCCGTCAAGCATTACATGTCGGTTGCGGCGAGCATTCAAAGCGGAAATGTCATTAAGATTGAAGATTTCATGCGGACGGTCAAGGATCACGAGGACCATACCATAATACGAGACGACTCCAAGAATCTCGTTTACATTCAGGTTCAAGATGCCGTTGTGGAGAATGGAATTGCGGACCATCCAAAGAACGAAAATGAAGTTTGGGAATTTATGTTTTGTGGATCATAACGAATGACTGAATTTTGGAAAAAGTGACCTGCACCTGACTTGCAACTGATCGGTTGATTGCAATTGTTATCACTATCGCAGGAAAGAAAGAAGTATCGCCAAGGTTGGGAAAACATATACCTTTACCCGCGAAATAGATTAGGAGGGATAGAAACGATTGATTGAATCATTCATTCTTCCAATGTAACATATTTCATATACGAGACAAAAGATTATTGAAATAGTTCAAAAGTGTTATTCTTTATGAAACAGCTTCACTTGAATGTTATCATGGTATGTTGCAAAAACTAGCTATAATGGTGATTATAGGGTTATAATGAAATTCCATCAATAAAAGTTTCTATTTTACATGATTTATAATTGCCCATGATGAATGAATGGATGAAACGTGAAATGAAATCCTCTCTCTCTCTTTCTTTTCCCCTTCCATAGATGTGTTTGTTATTCATGAAACATCATATGAGTGTTGTTTGCACTAGACTCGTGTTCAGCCCTTTGGTGGACCAAACCACACCGAAAATGCCCCCAGTATCAGTGCCGCGACAAGCTCGTGCCCCGCTTCATACTCAACCCAATCAACATTTGTGAACGTGGGGTGATAATGGTACAAAGAACTCGGCGCTGTTGAGTTCACCAGCCATGTCGAGAGCTTTGTACGAGCCGTCTCGGTTTTGGCTTTGGCCTGAAATACGACGCAGTAACTTGGCGGGGGAGAGTGGTGTTTTGGGCGCTTCTTCATGTGAAGCCAAATTGTTCGCTGGTGGATCCTCCTTAATCTCGTTGGATTCCACATCAAGATCTTCGGGTTCCCCCTCCTCTGATATCGTATCTTGCGGTACCAAATCTCCAATCGGAATCTCTGGGGACGAAGGATTGCCGATCAAGTTGTCAGTGCTATCGATACGACTGCGTGCTGTCGCGACAGTGCAATCAGTACTGTCCATTCGATTTCGTGACGCTTTGCCCCCCAAAACGTTAGCGGATAGACATGTTGCTCCACCTGATATGCGCGCTTCTATGTTTCGTTCCGTTTGTCTTGGAATAAAGAGACGTTTAAACCATCCTGGATTCACGGGTTCCGTTTGCCATTCAATGACATCATCATCATCTTCCAGTTCGTAAGTGTTCGTAATCACCACGCACAACTTTTCATCGGCTGGTGCCTTGGTCCATCCCAGCTTCCAAGACCATACGCAATAAATGCCAATGAGAAAGGCTTCGACCAATCCATAAAAGAGAGGAACGCTGATAGCTTGAGTTCGAGTGGTTGGATCCGAGAACATGGTAGCCGCAACACTGGTAGCAATGGCAGTGTTTTGGTAGCAGCATTCAATCGAAATGGCAACCGTCTCGGGAAGAGAGAGCTTGAAACCTCTTGAAATGACGTTGGCCAAAAGCATGCCCGCCACACATGGAAAGGCAGTTCCAACATAAAAGGACCAGTGGAGACTCCAAAAGTTGGCCTCTCCACCACCTCCACCAGATCCAAGGAATCCAGAGAATAGAATCAGCAGCAATCCACAGATAGAGCCAAACTTGTTGGCCCGTTTGTGAAATTTGGGTGTGCTGTAGACGAATCCCGCGTACAAACCAAGGATAATGGCAGCCATTACCACTCCGAGCGAGATAAAGATGGATTTCAAGTCCAGAGCATCCATAATGTTAACTTCGTTCCCGTTGGGCATGACCACCACAAAGGCAAGCCAACTGTAGAGTATCAAGTTAGCAGGCAAAAGCCCAACGGACAAAACAGAGGATACCGATGTCATAGCAACAGACAGAGCAAGATCAGCATTGAATAAGGAACACCACCAATTGGAAAAGGAACCACCTGGACTGGCAGTGACCACCAACAGCGTAATTCCCATGGCTTGAGTAAATTCTTCCGAGTTTCTCAGCATGCAAACCGAGGCAAATCCAAGCATGGGCATAATGATAAACTGCATGGCGCATCCCGTCAAGATTGCTGCCTTGTTGGTAAGTTGGTTCTTCAAACTCTTCACTTCCACGGTCGCAGAAAGCCCAAAGACGAGGAAGAAGAGCAAAATGTTCGTAGCGATGGCTGACAGCATATTCAGTACAGGATCTCCTGCATCTTCCTCGATCATTTCTTCTAGCCATCTCTCTTCAGGGTGTATTATTTCCATTTTGATAGATTGATAGATTGATAGATTCTTGAATAAGATTGAACAGTTTCCAAATCCTCGTTCCTAGGATATTTCAAATGCAGGTCTCAACGGTGGTTTTAACGATAGACAGTTGTAGCAGCTAACAGTGAATGGGTTGACAGCGGTGGATTAAAAGTGCAGTCGTTTGTCCCAAGGAAACAATTTGGATATATGTCTTTCTGAAGTTGTTGATAGTATGGGTTTGCGTTGGGTGACTGCCAAATTGCGAAGGTTTTCATTCATGCTCAGACCTCAGTATGTTTCCTACGTGAGATTTACGTAGCTCGCCACAAACCATCTTATGGTGGGGACGAAAAACCGCAATGCGGAGTCACTTCAGTCGTATGGATGCACATTTTTGAGCAGTAGCTGAATCTACTGATGGGCGCAGGTCGTGTGAAGCAAAAACCTGGCGCAAACCTGGCGATGGCTGGCCGTAAACAGAGATTTTTTATTGGCTGACGCTTGAGTGACGCT